CGAGACCCCATGGCTGTCACTGCAGCCTAAAACGCATGTCAATCCAAGACTATTACAGTATTGGCTAGAGAAAGTCAGTCAAGCGTCCGTTGTAGATCCTGAGAATAATCCGTTCTCTTTCCCTCTCTTGGAACACATTGCCCAATCGCCTGCACTTCTCCATGCTATCCAGTCAGTCAGTGCCAGCCATGAGCAGTACTTCCCGGCCAAGACTCCCATTCTGGCTCTTGAGGAACGTGGCAAAGCCATAGCTTGCCTTCGAAGAGAGATGAATACCATCCAGCGCACTCCTTACACACAGTTTCTGACCATTATGCTACTGGCCCTGACGCAAGTTGCTGGTTCCAACCCGAAGGATTATGGAAAGCAGCATTTATTTGGCGCCCGCGCCTTGATCAACAGTATGCTCCAAGACATATCTATGTCGACGACTAATGACCCTGTGATTCGACTCTGCCTGGGGATATATCTTTACTGGGACATGTGCAGTTCATTCTTGGTAGATCCATGTGAACAACAGGGTCTCAACTTATTGAACATATCCCTCATGGTACACAGGATGGGAGACTGGCACCATCCAATGTACGGAACATGTAGCCGACTACTCCTTATCATAGCAAATGTCGGACGATATTGCCGAAAGGTACATGATATGCCACAGAACCGCAACCCGACGCAAGAAGCCATGCTGGAGGCTCAGCTTAGTACCTGGGCGACGAGACCCCCAAATTCCGACCTGGGCCACTTATATGAAGCATTCCGCTACCATGGGCTTGTTTTCCTTTGTCGATCTCGTGCACATGCACGGAGAGGTTGTCCTATGGGTCTAGATGTGACTGAAGCACAAGAGTCCTTGATCCTACAGTACGCCAAAGAGACAGTCCGCCATCTGCTACTAATTCCTGGATGCTCGTACTCCCTTAATTTTCAATCTCTCCCTCTCCTCGCAGCCGGATCCGAGTTGACCGAATCGAATCATGTCCTGCGCGATGAAGTGCGTGGGAGACTGCGAGCCATCTATTCATTGAATCGCCTTCCCACAAATTTAATGGCCCTTCAACTCGTTGAAGAACTCTGGGATGCCCGAGACAGCGGTAACCCCTCATTCTGGCTATCACACACACTGCAGAAGGATTGGCGATTGCTTCTAACATGAGGCTTTACTTTGTCAGAACTGTGCTATTAGTCCTTTGGATGTACGCCCCACCCCCCTCTTCGACGGCTCATGAAATACTCTCCTAATCACCGTATTTAGCTTTCGTAGAGATACAAGATATATCTAGCTCGTAATGCTACCTTCGGGGAGAAAGAAAAGGCAAGCACAGATAGTCAGTAGTCATTGAACGCCATCGAGAGCATGAGCGACCGCACAATATTAGAAAGTCTTGTTTCCCCGAAACCCGGGCTCCTCTGTGCCGTGGAATCGGGGCCGTATCATCCTGCTAGCCTTCCGGATTTCTACAGAATGGCATCCCCTCTCATCGGCACTGGACAAAATTCGAAATCAACGCCATTCCCCACCCTTTTCACGGAACCATGTCTCGAGACGTATGTACCGGCAGAAAACCCAATCAAACCATCGATTTGATCCGTTATCTACAAGATGAGCAGACGGGCGAACAAGAGATTGATGCTCTTAATGCGCTAAAGTCGGAAATGGTCTTGCTCTTCAAGGATGATCCGAGATCGCTCTTTTGGAATGAAGCAATGCTGCTGTCCGAAGTCGTTAACAATAAAGAATTCAATGACCTTATCTATGGGTTTACAGTGGCTATCAGAGACGACAGGCCGATTGCTCCGGACTTACTGAGATACTTTGCAGGTTTTCTCGGGCATTGCATTTCGATCGTTACGAGAGGTTTGCAAGTTATGGGGCCTGTAGGCATGTTTGAGGATGGTTCTGATAGATCGCTTGTGGCTTTGCAGGAATGCCGTTATTTGCCCTCGGACTTAGTCCATACATTGTCATGAGGCCCATGGATTTGAAATCGTCAAGGATATTTTGAGGATGCAGGAATTACTTCCGCAGGATATCTTGAGCGGGATAGTTGATCACATTGAAGAGTCAAATGGCGAAGAGAGAGAAACCTGGGGAGGCATGTTGTCGGGACAAGGATCTTTGCCAGATTCGATCATTGAGTCTCTGGTTGCTCTTGCTGTGGAGGGCGGAAGGAACGCAAGTTTTATCCTGCGCCAGCTGGACAAAATACCTCTCCGTTTTTTGGAACGTTTGGCCGTACTTGTTTCTTCAAATAATCCCTTTCATGCGCTGTCTGGTGAGATGATATTGCGAAAGCACGCAAACCTCGAAAATATTCTCCCTCGCTTAGGGCGAGAGTACTGGGCAGATTTGTTTAGGATTCTTCTAGTTTATTCTGAGCAGGGCACATTCTGTTATTCTCAGGATCATTACGTTCATGTCGTTACGCCAGAGCTTTCTTGGAAGGTAAGTATTGAGAAGCCTGAGCAACGTCAGAAAATGGAGTTTGCGTTGGATGCTATACATAAATGCATCCAGGATGAAGTAGGCAATGCTTGGAGTGCTCTTCGACTTCCACTTTTGAATAGGAAACGTTATCTTTGATTTTCTTTTCAATGGATGCGGACCTGGATAGGACAAAACCTTCAGTATTAATGTTACTTCTGAGTTCAGGTGCACTGGCCCTTGGTGCCTAAACATTGATCTTAGAAACTGACTCTCTGCGATAGTACAACGTACAACTGTGGCCCCTTCCCTAGCAAATATCCAACCTGCCACTCTTCTTCGGCCTTCTCCCTCGTGAGCGAGCTGACCATATCCTGCGCAAGCAGGTGAAAACGAAGCCGTTCAACGAACGGGGTCCATTGCAAGCAAATCAAAATGCATTAACAAGAACTTTATGCTTTGGCGAAAAGACGTGGTGGCTGTCCTCCGGCTGATCAACACCGAATGGCCGCGGGATACTCGCGCTGACATGGACATCCATATAGTGCTCACCAACTGCGTCAGCGGCCGTTATTGCGCTGCTCCAGCAATGAGCACCACGGATGGACGGAGTCAATGGAACACACTGAGCCAAGGGTCTTTACAAGAAACCGCTTGTGTATACCTGCGAGAACAAGACATGAATTCTGGCAGATGCTGGACTGCGAACTGTATGCCGGTCTCCTGTTTCTTGTCTTCTGACTATTTGTCGTTGCGCGGTTGAGCATGTCCACTAAGGCCATCAATTGATCCAGTCAAATAAATGCGTAAACAACTTAGAAATTTATGGGTTTACTTGAGAGAAGAGCTACATTTCGTATATTTTGGCTTCCGGACCTTGCTCCACTGGCAGACCTGACTAGTCCCTCAAAGGGGTAAGCATCGAGAAAGTGATCTCAGATCAACTAACAGTCACTTTGAGCTAAAAAACTGATGTCTTTCAACAAGTACCAAGTACTTGCTTGATACGTTGTTGGTTGGCAAATGTTGACAAATCAAATAATAACTGGTCAGCGCATAATGTCACAATTTTTTTCAGGGAGAGGCAGAAGAGGCGACGGTCGATATTGTCCCGGGTGATGAGTGACGTCGCACAAAATTTATTTGATCAACAAAATAATGATTTCAGTTAAGGGATAATAATAGTTATCGACGGGAATTTTTCACTCCAAGCAAAGACAATCCCATGTATTCTCAATCTAGGTTCCTAACCTCCACTTTACTGATTAGATATGGTCAATGTATTTTCAAAAGTAGCAAGACTTACATGATGCTCAGCGACGATTCGTATGATCAGAAAAGTACAGACGCGATCTTTTGGTGCGAGCAACGGCGGGCCTTGCTAAGGAGGATGGAGGCTGATAAAAAGCACGAGAGGCATGTCCAATAGATTGATGTCCAGAGCTAGAGCTTGTTATCGATTGCGGAGGTAAATTTCTTTCGAGGTCGTTACGATCAGAAGAGAGCTTTCTTCTTCTTCTAGAATCAAAATTCCCAATTATTAGTATATTTCCATAGTGAAATAGAAGGAACTTTACCTGAAAAAAGAACTCAAAGCAAACAGATTGCTTATAACGGTGAAGATCCCTTTGACGAAATACCAAACAATCTCTAAAAAAAACCAGACCGTGCATATGAAAGCGACGACAACCATTCTCATGCCTTTGAACAGGACTGATGGCAGAGCATCGAGGAAGCCCTAAACCTTTTCTCACCAAACGAAGGACTGCGTCCAGAATGAGATGCGCAAGCACCCACAGTCTAATCAAGCGAAGATATTTCAATATGAGACGCCATCGTGTTCGTGATTGGGGTTTGGAGTTGCAATTTCGCACTGAAAGAATAGCTGTGGGTAGAGAGACTGTTAATGAAGATGTGAAAAGATTCGTGAGATAATTTGTTGTAAGAAGATTGCAGTGAAAGACGATCCGCAACTTCCCCATTCACCTTGACTTCCCGTCTCCGAAGTGGTGATGGGACCAGATGATTGCATTCACTGAGCATAAGGCCCAAGGAAAGAACGCCCTTTATGATCTTGGTCTCATGAAAGCGTGGAAAGAGAAACAGTCTCCGGCAAGTGCGTCTGTCCCCTATTTCTTCTAGAAGCTACTCTGTAGGTAGGTAGCTAGCATACTTGACCACCAACCGGTCCTGAGTCTGCCCCAACAAGCAAAAGCTGCTAGACACACCCACTGAAGACGTTGGATGGGTCCAGTGAGGTGTTTGTGATCATTGCACATGACGACAGTCTAAGGGATATTTTGCCGTTCTTTCCGAAGAGGACTACTGATTGGGATGGGGCTGGGTATAAGAGTTTAGGGAGGTGGAGGTTCTTGAGGGAACTTATGGGGGGGGGTGTTAAGGGGTGAGAATAGGGGGATGGTTGGTTGGGTGTGTAGCAGATAATTAGCAGTTTGCAAGATTGTTCTCCAGGGATGTGTGTTTTGGAGGCTATCAAGTTAACAGAATGAAGCCAGCATGTGTGAAATGCCGTGATACGTACGCTACGCTATATCTGATCTCAAAGTGCAAAGGTCACGCTTCGGGAAATGATCGACTTGCGTAGTATATACATACAATCCCAATCCAAGCACACAGACAAAAACACACAAGACTCCAGTGCCAGATACAGAGCCCCCGGAAATCATCACCAACACCAAAACCATGACGAACAAAGTCTAGGCCCTAGAAGTGGATCTATCACGCCACCGATGAATACAACCCAGAAGATAAAAAAAAAAGAGAGAAGAAAGAAGAAAGAAAATGAATTGATCTGCGTGGATCGAGAAGACCCGGACTTCCAGCCAGGACTGGTCGCTAGGATGCGTCATCCAGAGAAGAGAAGAATGCAAGGCCCGCCAGGGGGCAGAGACAGAAGGGCCGCGATGGGGACACCCGGATACAAAGGAAATCGTTTTTAGAGGGGTATACCGCTGAAAACAGAGAGGGAAATTAGATAGAAGGGAAGAGAATGAGAGGATGGAACGAAGGGAGATGGATGGCAAGAGAGAAGACCAGAAGCAAGATAAGGAGTCAATAGGAGAAAAAGATGGAAACTTAGAAAAGAATGTTGTATGTGGTGTTTTACGCAACAGCCGATTGATAAGTAGTGTGAGCCCCGACAAGAGCTAGAAGTACAGTCAGCCATCTCTCGTTCAGGCGATTTGGGTGGGACAAAGGGGTAAAGACTTACTTTGAAGGACAAAGGCCTGGCCCTGTCTTGATTCGCAGGCACATTGGAGGGTCCTTCCATCCAGGAAATCCAGCAGGATACTGTTGGGGAGTTCCTGACAGTCCTCGTCCGGGAGACAGGGCGTGCGGAATTCGCTCAGGTGATACCGCTTGATCATGTTGCGATTGCTGGAATCGGTGGTCCCCGGAGTCAGCACCAAGAATCCCTTGTCATCAATTCGAATGAAACGTCGTTTCCACAGTAAGGTGTCCGGAAACTGCACGTTGACCTCGCCGATATCCACCGCCTGAGGCGCCTCGACGGCAGCGTCGGATGTCTTAATTTCGGGGGCGCTCTCTTCCTCCTTCACCGGGGAACTCAAGGCACCGACCGAGCCCTTGCGGGAGTTCGACGTGATGGACGACATCCGGCGAAGTATCCGAGACGTGCGCGATTCCCGCTTGTCCTCGGGTGACGACGGCACGTCGGCGGAGCGGTCGTTGCGAGACGCCGATGAAATCGACAATCGGCTCTCCGAGCGTTGCATGGTAGGCGAAATAGACCGGGGCCCCGACCCGGCGGACGACGTCGACATGCTGCGCTTATCGGATGTGCTGGGGAGGGGAACCGACTCGGGGGGCGGGCTAGACGTCGCAGGCGATGGATCGGCAGGCTCGTGCTCGACGGTCAACTGACTGGGCTGGAGATTAAGGACGCCCGACTCTGTGGGGGTCCCATTCGTCTCGGCCGGCGACGAGTCGCGTACAATGCGGGCGGTGACGGAGACGGAGTTGGTGGTTCGTGGAGCACTGGCACTCGAGTCACGACGACGGAGGCTCGATGCCCGCGAGAAGGGTTCGGGTGAATACGATGCATGACGGGAGAGCGCGTCCGAGTGGCCGCCCACGGACACTGACGCCCGCTTGCGAAGCGTCTCGAAAGAAGTCGACGTAGACGGGACGGCCAGGTTCGGGGCGGAATGTGACGGGGCGTCGCGATTGCCGGAGAACTTCTCCAGCGCCTTGATGCGTTTGGAGATGCCCGAAGACACATTGATCTTCTTGGCGACCAGGACGGGGTTCGTAGCGCTGTCCATCTCCGCGTACGAGGTCGACACCGATCGACCGACGGCCAGCGCCTGTAAGTTGTTGGGAGATTGGCCACCGATAGCACTGGGGTTGGAGACGGCGCGAGAGTTCCTCCAGGCGTCCGGACTCGTCCGCTCGTTCCCGTTGTTCGAATATCCCGGCGACAGCGGGGATTTGCCGACGGAGATCGGCTTGGCTTCTTCCACTGTGGCGCTCTTCAGTTCTTCCATGAACGAATCATCCGAGAAGTTGTCGTCATCCGAGTAATCGGGGGTCGGAACCTGGATAGGTTCGAGGTGAGGCTTCCGTTTGTCCTTCCGGTGGATGGTTTCTTTTTGTTGCGCGATGGGGGGTTCAGGGGCTGCTGCGGTTAGGTCATGCTGCGGCTCGGGGGTCTCCGATGCGATGACGGTCGGGGGAATTTCAGGGATGGAGGGTGGCCGCGACGAACCAGGGGGCGGCGAGGGCGACGGCGAGGTCGGCAAAGGGAGGGACTGGGGTGGGATCGGTGATGCAGTCGAATCCCCTGTCGCGTCGTCGACCAGCGCACCGGAAATGACAGGGTTTTCGGCTGGTGGGGAAGGTGTAATAACTTCTTCTGGAGCCTTCAGGGATTCGGGCTCTGGTGGGACGTCGACGACGGCGCTAGGCGAGCCGGGGCCACTTTTAGCATCAAGCAGAGCCGGGTCAGCTTGGCCAGCGTCTGTTTCAGGTTGGCGGAGAGTAGTCTGTGCTTCTGGAGACGACTCCTTCGCCGAGATTTGGCTACGGTCGGTGGAGGGTTGCGTCGGAGAGGTAGGAGTAGGAGTGACAGTAGTAGATACCTGCTCGTCGGACGGATCCTCGTCGGCCTCCTGGGAGACGCTCTCCTTTATTTCCGTCGGCGCTGGCTCGGGGGTGGGCTGCCTTAAGAATAAGGGGGCCGTCTCCGCCCCAGGGGATTGCTCCATCGGCTCCGCAGCAAGAATAGGGGCTGGCCGAGGTTCCGCCAAAGGGGTAAGAGATCTGCTTGGCTCGATCACAGCCGGCTTTTCTTCATGCGTGTCATCGCCATTCGTACTGCCCTCTTGATTCTCCTTGTTTTCTTCACCGGGACTCGTCGTCGGCTGCTCCTTCTGCCGTTGCTGCCTTCCGCCGTCCGCGGTCTTGGGGAGCTTGGTATTATCCGCTCCTTGCGCCTTCTTTTCTAATTGCGTCCTGCGAAGCTGCAATGCCTTCATGAGCCTTTCCCTCTCCTGTGAGGTTCCTGACGAGAGAGCACTCAAGGATTTGGCTCCGGGAGACAGTTTGGGTCGGGAGATGGGCGTCGAAAGCGGAGGGACGAGTAACGGAGGAACGGGAGGGGCCTGTTTGCCGGGGGTGGCGGCGGCGGTGGTGTTGCCTTGCGACCGGGGCCGCGCGGTGGGCGGGCTGGTCTTCCGCAGCGACGACGATCGAATGCCGGCGGGCAAAGAGGCGACCGGCCGCTGCTGTTCGATGCTTCGAGACAAATTCCCTGCCGTGCGCGGTCGCCCGTTCACGCCCACCGAAGGGCGAGGGCCACGTTTGACCTTTTGGGGGTAGGTACCGGTCCGCTCCAGGTCTCGTAACGACGGCCTGGCGGACTGAGTGGATTTTCGTGATTCAGAAGGCGTCAGGGGATGGGGCAGATCCTCGCGGAAATTCCTCAGCGAGGATGCGCGCGAGGACGCCCGTTCGACATCGACACCCCGTTCGACGGACGCGGCGGGCTGCGCAACGTCATTCGCAGGGGTTTCGGGGTTCGTGACAACGGCCGCGGCGGGAGGTGGAGGCGGATCACTCTGGACAGGAGGAGGCTGCGCGTCCGAGGGCGCGGGAGGGGCCACGATCGTGGCATCCGACAATTGACTGAAAGATCTCTGTCGGGTGTTGCCGACGGGCGACTGCGCCGGCTCCGCATCCCGAGTAACGCTGGTTTCTTCTGCATCTTCCGCGATCTCCATCAGCCTGCGACGGCGGAGTGAGCTCGAGGAGGAGGTGATAGAACCTGAAGCAGTGTGAAGCAGACATGCGGACGACAAGGCGCTCTCGGTGAGTTGGGAGGATTGCGCCAGGGTGAAGACGGTATCGTGAGGCGAGAATTTATCCAGAATGGACTGGAACTGGACGGTGGTACGAGCTGCGCGCGGAGGCAGATCGCGTCAGCTGAGCACGAAGGAAGAGACAACCCAAGCAGAAGCATACCTTGGACGAGTCGAGACAGGCCCTCGGGCAGATAGCTTAATACTACCTTCCGGCGACGATACTGTAGAAAACCGTACAGGGGCGAGACCTCCTCGTAAGCGTCAATTGTGGTGCGGACTTCGGGGACGCCGCCCGTTCCTCGTTCGAACAGAGCGACTTCATCTCTGGCGATGTAATGAAGCAGGAACCTGAACGGTGCGCCGACAGACGAAGCACGTTAGCCCTTGCTTGCACAGTCCATGCAGATTATATGATGTGTTGGGGGGAACCAATTGCGGGGAACATTGGATCAGAACAAGCGCTGCGTGGAATCGAGGCGAAAGAGAAGGAGAAGGAGAAGGGGAAGGGGAAGGGGAAGAAGAAGGGAAACGATTGACAACGTACCATCCTCCCGCTTCACTCAAAGCAACCTGGTAGGCTTCTAAGACGGCGGGACTGTCTAACCCATTGAGAGACATGACGAGACGTGCATTGGAGGAGAAGGCGTCGATGGGAGATTTGCGCCGGGGGCGAAGGACCGAAGGAGGGGAAGAAGAGGAGGGGGGGGGAAAGGAATGAAGGGATGGAGGAGGTGAGCAGAAACGTGAGGCCTGATTGTTAGTCGATCGACTGATCAGAAAAAATGAACGAAATTAAGAAAAAGAAAAAAAAAAAAAAATTAAAGAACTGAAAAAGAAGGAGGTTCTCGCCGGGTCGGTCAGGGATAGAAGAAGACGACGGCGAGGAAGACGGGGGAAAGTGTTGAACAGGAACAGAACCATCCAGCGTTCCTGGTGATTGCTCCTCCTACGGCCCGAGATCTCCCCAGAGCGGACCCTAAAGAGCAAGCGGTGCAATGAGATCAATCAGGCCGATTGCAATTGATCATGATTGAATTCTTTCTCAGGAGTTGAATTCCGTCGGTGTCGGTTTCAGGGGTCCCTCTGGCTGGTGCGGGTCTGTTCGCCTTTAGACTCCGGCTCCACGTTCCTTTTTTTTTTTGTTTTTTCTTTTCTCTGCTCAATAGTTTACTGTTTAACTACGGAGTAGATTTCTTTTCTTATGTCTTGGCCAGAAAGAAGAATCTGATCTGATATTCTGGATTTCTTATTGATCCCTAGACTCTCATAGTTATACCCAGGACTTCTATATACAGCTTATGTAATCCATTGTCTGCTCTGAACTATTCCAAGCAGCATTTACTCCTGACAGTGCATACGGTGTACCTGGAAGAAAACCGACCTAGAACTGTATGACAGACTGCAATGCGATGACATCTACTGACGCTGGCGAGTTGCGACGGGGAGGTCTCCGCTCCGTCCTCGGCGACTCCCGATGCTCCTATCCAATGCCTATCGAACTACTACTACTATATAGGAGTCATGAGGTACCTTGATCTAGGAGGACGTCTTCTTCACTACTCATCTTAACACCCCTCTATCCCACTGCCTATCCCCCACCACCTCCGTCATGTCGTCCGGTCTCCCTCCTATCGCCTCGCTCCCCTCGCTCCCCGAGGCAGAGCGATTCCGGGTGCTGGACACTCTTTTCGAACCCTCGCCCGAGCTGCACACATTAATGGCCCCCGTCCTGGCCAACCAGTCCTTCTCGTCCTATGCCCGCCTGATTGACGCCGTCGGGGGTCGGATGTCCGCCCTCTCGGCCGCCAACTCCCCCACCGACCGATCCGTCCTGCTGGGCATCCTGGGATCCCATCCGCGACTGGGACGACCCAAGGCGGCTCCGGCCGAGCATCTGAGCGAACTGAGCAAGCAGGAACAGGCCCGCTTAAACGCGGGGACGGAGGAACTGGCGGAGAAGCTGGCGCACTTGAACGCCGAGTACGAGGAGAAGTTCCCGGGTCTGAGATTCGTGTAGGTGGACTAGCTACGAAGGGACGACGAACGACGGAGTGTAGGGGACTAACTTGCACCTTTCGATGTAGAACCTTTGTCAACGGGCGAAGTCGAGAGGAGATCATGCCGGAGATGCGCCGGAGGATCGATCGCGCGGATGCCGACCGGGAAGTCGAGGAGATTATCCAGGTAAGGGGTTATCATTGCATTCTTGATATACTTCGTCAGAGTCGGTGGAGTTGACCTTGTTTGATCTTGACGTAGGCAATGTGCGATATTGGCAAAGATCGCGCGCGGAAGTTGGAGAATTCGTCGCGGATGTGAGCGGATCTGCTGGCTACTCTTCCACTTCCGCGAAGTTCGATATACTACTACTATCTTGATGACGGAATATCATATTAAACTCGATCAGGACCAGGTAGTCCGTCGGGGAAAACCACAAAAATGCTGAATTCGGTAAAGGATAGCGTGGGATTACTCCGGTAGAAGATGGTTAATTAAGAGACGGACGAAGGATCGTTCGACGGGGGCATTTGAAACCGACAATCATCCGATTATAATTAGTGATGAGGGTCAAAAGTCCCTCTAATTGATGTCATCTTTTCTGATTTTCTCTTCTCTGATTATCTCCGAGTCTCCATAATCAAATCGAATCAAATCAAATCGCCTGCTTTGCCTCTTCTCCGGATCGTCCTTTTTTTCCCTGACTTTTCCTGTTCTTCGCCCGTCCTTTTCCTTTTCTTTTTTTTTTTCCCTTCTCCCCCTTCATCTCCTATCCCTTTCATTACTTTCTGCCTTTCTCTCTTCCCACCCTTCAACTCGGCCTTCGGATTACTCTCTCGCTCTCCCTCCCACATGCGCCGTCCTGCGCGTCGACTGGACCATGGCGGAGGGTTTGCGAGCGCCCAAGGAGACTGAGACCCGAGAGGCGTCCGGATCGCGCGCCTCGATCGTCCCTGCGATCGTCACCAGCTTTGCGACTTCGCCTTCCATTCCCGTCAACGGCGACGATGCCGCTACCCCCGTCAATCCCAAGGACGACCACAGTCCCGGTTCCGGGAAACCCGGCTTTTTGCGAACCTCGCAGTCGTTCCCCATCGGTACGTGCTCCGTCCTACCCCACGTGTCTCAACGGTCGCCCGTTCGGTGTTAATTTTGTGATTCTCGGGATAGGCTCGTTACCGTCGGACATCGCGTCCGCCTCCAGTGGGAATCCGCAAGATGCGCGGAGGAATTCTCGACCGGTCAACGGGAGGAATTCGGCCTCGTCGCCGACCGTTTACGAGACCAGCGCCGACGCCAGCGCCATCGATCCCCTGTCCCAAGTACGCCGAATCCCCCCCCTCCTTGGTATGACATCATCTATCCTGACCGTCCACTGACGGGTCGCGATCATAGCATATCATCAAGCGCACCAATACCCACAGGTCAATTCCCCTGAAATTACTCGGCAGAGCGTCCTATGAGGCGGAGGTCCGCGGCAGCCCCGACCATGCCAGCCCTGTCGAACAGGGTCCAACCCGGGGAGACACGGTGCTACCCCAGAAATCCGGCAAGGATAAGAAGTAAGTCGCCTGACGACCCGATTCCGAGGATTTCAATCCAGGCTGACTGATTTGTGACTTCCCGCACCCCCGCAGAAAAGGTGTCTCCTTCCTCAGTCGCATAATCGGGGGCAAGAAGAAGGGCCAATACCTCGAGGAGGAGGACGATGCGTCGGAACCGGATACTGCTCGAATGGACGCCGACACCGCCGCGCAACCGATCGGTTTCTTTCCTCGATTCCCTCGTCCGCCTAAATACATCCGTGTCCGCGCTCACTATAAGAAAGAAAAGACCTTCAACCGGGTCTTCGTGGCGCAGCAGCTAGAAGGGGCCGACGACGACTCGGCTCTCTCGGACAAGGATGCGCCCGCCTCTACGACGGGCACGCTGATCGGCAAGACCGCGGGGAAGGCCGTGTGGGCATTGGTCTTCTCCAATGACGGCAGGTATCTCGCGGCCGCCGGTCAGGATGGCAAAGTCCGCGTCTGGGCCGTGATCGCGTCGCCCGAGGATCGGCGTGAATTCGACGCCGAAGGCGACGACAGCCATGACGATGACGAGCCGCCCCCGCTGAAGGCTCCTGTGTTTAAACAGAAGCCGATCCAGGTGTACGAGGGGCACACAGGCAGTGTACTGGACCTGAGTTGGAGCAAGGTACGAGAACCCGCCTGCTGTTGCTGAACAACTTGCAGTTCTAACCCCCCGCTAGAACAACTTCCTTCTCTCCTCGTCGATGGACAAGACCGTTCGGCTTTGGCACGTCACCCGGCCAGAATGCCTCTGCTGCTTCCAGCACAGTGATTTCGTCACCTCGATCCAGTTCCACCCGCGCGACGACCGCTTCTTTTTGGCGGGATCCCTCGACACCAAGTTGCGCCTATGGAGCATTCCCGACAAAAGCGTGGCCTTCGTCGCGACGGCGCCGGACATGGTCACCTCGGTCGCCTTCACGCCGGATGGGCGACATTCGATCGCCGGCTGCCTCAATGGCATGTGCAACATCTACGAGACCGACGGCCTCAAGGCCATCGCGCAGATCCACGTCCGCTCGGCCCGGGGCCGCAACGCCAAGGGCAGTAAAATCACCGGAATCGACACGATGAGCGTCCCCGGCAGCGATGCTCACGGCGAGGTGAAGCTGCTCATCACCAGCAACGACTCGCGTATCCGGCTCTACAACTTCCGCGACCGCACCCTCGAGGCCAAGTTTCGCGGCAACGAGAACACTTGCAGTCAGATCCGGGCCTCGTTCAGTGACGACGGAAAGCACGTCATTTGTGGCAGTGAAGACCGCCGGGCGTATCTGTGGCCGACTGGTCCGTCGGACAAGGTGTCGGCCGACAAGCGCGCCGTGGAAGTCCTCGAGACGCAATCTGCGATGGTGACAGCGGCCGTGATGGCGCCGGCCAAGGTCAAGCAGACCCTCGGATTCTCGGAGGATCCGATCTATGACATCTGCAACCCGCCGCCGGTGACGCTGGTCAACCAGGCCGAGGCCGCGGGCAAAGAAAATGGACGCAGTAATCGCAACTCGGCCGCTAGCAGACTGGCCCAGGAATCCCCGACGTATCTCTCGCGGTCTACCCATCCCGACGGGAACATCATCGTCGTGGCGGATTATTCGGGGCAGATCAAGATCTTGCGACAGGACTGTGCCTACGACAAACGCCGCTACGACACTTGGGATACGCATTCCACCATCTCGCGACGGCTGCTGCGGCGCACCAACTCGGCCCGGCATAGTATTGCGTCGTCGATCGGGAAGGAGTCCTCGCACAAGACTCCATCAGAGCGCATCATCGCCTGGCGCAATTCCGTGATCGGCCATCACCGCGAAGGCTCCCGGCAGGGCACGCGAACGCGCACGCCGTCTCCGCACCGGTTCGCCGACATGTCGCGCCTGTCCAGCCCCAGACCCGGTGCCGATTCGCGCTCGGGATTCACCACCTCGCCGCCGCCCTCGGCTTACAAGTCCAGCATGGACCGCAGAACCTCAACCTCCGTGGAAAGTGCTCGGACCAGCGCCGACGCTACCGGAGGGGCCAACGGCGCGGCCAGGGCGGACGAGCCCAAGTTACCGGCGTCCGCGGCGTCGATGATTGCCCAGGGTCGAGACAAGGATAACCCGTTATGGCTGCAGGGCGACCACAGCTATGCCTTCTATAACCGAATCACGCAGGACGCGCTGGCCGCTCAACAACGAAGGCCACCGAGTCTGCTCAGTCCGAATCGGCTTTCCGCGTCGCACCGCAAAATCAGCACCGCGAGTGCCCTGAGCAGTGACTATGCGTCGTCCCACGGCGAGCCCGAGGAGGGGGATGTCCTCCGATGCGATACTTGCCAGGGCACTAACTTCCGCGCTACGAAGGGACGCAACGGCAAACAGAAACTGATCTGCGTGCGTTGTTCTCAGTCCATCAGTTAACTTTTCATGGGAGGTATATATTCGGGACGACATGGTCATTTCCCACCTTTCACTGTTTTCCTCCTTTTCTACTTTGCCTTCTGTCCAATATCGATTCATCATTCATTGGAGTTCGAGTTCGAGTTTTGTGCATACCGTTCGTTTCCATGTTTCTATTCATATCTGCATTGGGATGCGTCCATACGAAGTTGGGTTGTATGAAGATAAGATGACGAGGAACGGATTGTAATTACCTAGACATGTATAGTATGAATTTAATGATGATATGGTGGTTTTGACAATTCAGGGCGTGGCGAGCTTAAAAGATTGGGGGAAATGTCGTAGCCTAGAGGGTTTTGCATAGCCCAGATGTCTGAATGCTCCACCGGGTCTGGGCGTTTGGGTATCTTTACTTGCTACTTGCGTCGCGCCTACTATTTTACTTGGTATGTGGGTTCTACGGCATGAACTTGCGGCAAGGAGAAGAATCAATTGACCTAATACTTTCGTGCAAACAGAAATCAAAATCAAAATAGAGGCAAACAAATACTTCCGTGTGGCAGAGCGTGAACAGCAGACGGCCGGGACGAGACCGCCCAAAATCAGAAGGAGCAATCTAGAAAGCTTCGTGGTCTACACACGGGAAAGAAAGGAAACAGAAGTCTTGGGACTGCCTTCAGGTTCAACCACCATGACCCAACCCTCCAACTCCCTCGGACTAAAACCCGGCCTGGTTCGCCATCTCCAAAGCACGCCGGAGTCTGTCGGCACGAGTCTGTAGCTCGAATCTGAGACTGGCTGTAGCGAAATTTTCGCTTGCAATGTCTGCCAACTCGACGTCTGAAAGCTCGCTGATCAGTTCAGGAGATAGAATTCTCACAGGTCCTTTAGAACCCAGCAAGTAGCGCTCCGTGACCTGAAGGATGACATTATCAGAGAAACGCTTCAAGGCTACCTTATAGTAGGCCTTTAGGATGTCATGGATGTCAAAAACGGCTTGGTCTTCGTTGCTGAGATGAACGCGATTCATGATATCGCTGACGTCAGCCCATGAGCCATCTTAAAAATCCATGGATTGGAGTCTGCTGCGTACTCGCTGTTCTCGGATTGAAGAAAGGGTCTCCGCAAAATAGTGGTTCACGGTTTGCAAGATACCCTCTCTTTCGTCTTTGAGAATCTCCTGGAGGTATTCACTCGCGCGCTCAAACGCCGAGCTTTCACGGCCCTCGAGGCGCGATCCCAGCAGCCTTCTCAGCTCATATTCGCTGATGAGATCATCGAAGATCTGATCGTTGAACCCCTTGACGATACTTATTGCTCTTTCCAAGTAGGCTGAAGCGATTCTCTTCCATGGAGCAGACTGCTCACGGAACATACCTTCGAGAACAACCGGGTTGACGGTGCCAGGGAGTTCCACGCCTCGCGAGTCACAATACCGTTTACGAATCCAATTATAAATGCTCTCAGCGTTATCGTAGGTCTGAGGAAATTCCTCATCGATTGCATCTTCAACCGTTCGGAATGCCGTCGCATGCCCGTAAAAAGTCATGACATGAGCCAACGCTTCATTGAGCTGACGAATGCGCAATCGAAGTTTGAGCATGCTTCTGGGTGGCAGGCCTTGGGCATAGTTCCCGCTCAACGCCTTCGTCACTTCCGCTTGGTACTTCGACGCAATGTGCATCAGGACTTTTCTTTGGTCTGTAGGGGTCTGTCGGGACGGTCTCAACAGTTCAAGCTCGCTTTTGGTGCGTCGAGTGAGCTCTTCGATTTCTTTGACCATGGAAGGAAATTCGCCTCGGATATGATCATAGAGCAAATTGCCCAGGAAGTCTCTCAATTTCCCGATACCCACTCGATCTTTGCTCAGCTCGGTCCAGGGCGCCTTGGAGGCAAAGAAGATTTTCTCTTGGATGTGACGTTGAACGATTGTGACTCCATCGTGGATATCCTTTGTAGAGCGGTTCTTGACGGCGAACCAGCCATGGCGCAGCTTTTCGATCTCATTCCGGGCAATTCGGAGGACCTGTACGTATCTGTTACTACTGATCTTCTCTTCCAGGAAAGGTCTCAATTGCTTACTCCTTCTTCGTCGCCCCGTTCGAGGGTGTCGCACTTGGTGATTATACCAACGGTTCGAGCACCTTGGGGGTCTGCCGCGCGAGCCATCGAGAACCTATTCCTGTCAGAACTAGCAAAAGCTCTGGGCGGAAGGCATAACGTACACTTCTTGGTTTGCAAGGTTATTTTTTGCATCCAGCACAGCGCTAGACCTGGGGTTAGTCTACCTGCATCATTTACGGAGTCTATGGAAGCTCTTACAGTATGATCGTTCTTTTGTCGGTGATATAGTTTTGGGTCAACCCACGAATTATATCACTATCTTCCTTGGTCTGGTACTTTGTGGGATCTAACATAGTCAGCAGATATCATTGACTTATCGTTTGAATTTGCCTCTCACTATGGAATAGACCAGGAACATCGACGACGCTGAGATGCTGTTGATCAGGCCCGGAAAGTTCGATCTTCAAGATGCATCTGAGAACCGTTTCTCCAGGTTCTCCAGGTCTTTGTTGTTTGGCCCAGGGAGACCCATTTGTTGAGCAGCCTAAGCCGATCAGCTCACGCCCAGAGCAAGCAGTAGGAACGAGACTTATCCTTACTTCATCGAAGATCTGTGCGAACTCTGTAGGACCAAACGACTCTGTCTCAAGCTCCCGCGAAAAGCCCTGCAGCTGTTCTTTCAACTTCTCATCCGCTTGTGCCGTCGGCCCAGGGATGATGGTCACTTTGACTTTGGCCTCATTTCCGGGCGCCCGTCTGAGAACTATCTGCGTGGCGAAGCGCGTGCACAGATCGCTGTCGATGGGGAAAGACAAATCAGTCAATCCTTCAAGCAGCGAGGACTTTCCACTCGATTGATCCCCGACAACGACGAGCTTTGCGGTCGTTAGTGAGAGAGATTGAGTTGACGGGAAATGACCCGGCTCTTACCTAGGGAAGGGAGACGCTCTCGCTGACTCCAAGCTCGCGTAGTTTGTCGATGATGCCGAGAATCCGGATACGCTTTTCGTTGTCGAGGCTCTGTACACCTGCGAGCATGGATTGTTCCTTGTTTGCCATTTTGATGGTATATCTGGAGAAGATCTGCATATGGCTATCGTGCGAGATTGGGTAGAGTAGAGTAGATACACTCGTAGATGGACGATCTGGGTAGGAGTTCCCGCTGGCAAGGCTTTTTGTAAGGGATTGGAGGGGAGTGGAAAATTTTCTTGCTGTACTACATAGCCTTGATCTTGGATTGATTTCCATGTAAAAACCTGGCAAACAGACCACTATTCACTGATATTGATAGAGAGCGGCAGTTTTCGGGATCATAATTGGAACTTCTCATGCGATTGGATAGTTCGTTGAGCATCTGGATTTCGTCGAGCTCTCTTATAGGTGGTAGTAAACAACAGAGGTTTTCATTACTTTCCTACATTCACTGCCTAGGAATGGCCTTGGCCTTGACAAGGCAGCAGCACTACGTTCTCCTTGTTTCCTGTTTTCCCACTCTGGCACTTTTCTGTCAATTTATTCTAGTCTCCTCCTTTCATCTTCAAGAAAAGGAATCGGCGAGGGAACAGTGGAATGGCCAATAGAGTTAATGTTCATTAGCATATGTAGCCGGGGAGTATGTACAGTACATGCCCATAAAAGGTATTTATATATCCACAAGGCATACTCTTATTCCATCACTTCGTAATTAGGAGGCTTGACTGAATCTGTATAGTTTGGCAGGTTGCTTACAGAGAAAGAACCACTTGTGGCATCCTCTCTCGAAGCAAATTCCAGCACTGGGAGCGCAAAGAACGAAACAAAAGATTTCTTCCGAGGTCGACGATCCACCAGCCTCCCTGTCGCCTGATCAAAGGTATCCTCCCCGGTGACTATATCCAATCGCAGTCGATGGTTGACGCTGAGCCCGGCGGCTTCTTCGCAGGGTTCCAGCTCGTCTGTCGCGCCCGCACTCCTGGGTATGCTGACGTCGAATAGAATCTCGATCCTATCTCCCTTCTCTGTCATCCCTGGTGAATGACCCATCGGTTTCCAATTCCCCTTTCGCTTCCCTTCGCAAAGCTGGCGTATATGCTGACTCTGACAGCACTCCTCCTGACTCGAAGGACACGGCCCCTTGACTGTCTCTTCAACCATCCACTTGAGCTCCTTGATCACAGCATGTTTCACCTCCGTCTTCCGTACCCCTTCCGTGATGGTTCCATAGGCGACTAATTCCGCAGAATAGGCAGTCTTGATACCTTGGTCCACCGATTCCCGCGGCGTAATCCGCAGCTCCGTCGCGAATTCTTCGCCGGCAAAGTTTCGCGAGTGATGAGCCGTCTCAATATGTTGCGGAACAAGACACCGCTGGATCCGAATCGGTCGTATCGTATCTATTGACCTCCCCGAGGCCGAACGGGCGCTGGCTTTGATCGCATAAGAGAGTTTCCCGAGCATGGTGTCTGTCGAGGCTGGGAGGCTATGAGGGATCGGGATTGCAAAAGCGAAGTGCAAGTCCGTGGTGCCATGATCGTGGTTGTGTTCGATTTTCTCAGGGGCATGCCAGAGATTGCACTGCGTTAGGGTCTCTATATTGGCGCACACTGCGGGCTCATGGAAAGCACTGGACCGTTTTCGGATGGACCGTCTTCGTAGGATCTTTTGGAGTAGAAGGTCGTTTTTCTCGGTTGAGGAGGGTCGGTGTGTCTTGAATCCCACGGCTCGTGTGAGCGCTATACTGACGGTGCAGGCTTCTAGGGATTGGGCGTCAGGCGATGGTACTGTGATGGTCACTGATCCCATGATAGGGGGAGCGTAGGATTCCCCTCGAGACTCCACTAGGATGAACTGAGTAGCTGGAGCTGTCAACTGCACATCTTGGATTTCCATGACGTTCTAGTCTCGGTGTGGCCGGTCAAGGACTGGATATATGGTGTATAGCGTCACATATGAGTTGTATTTCGTGGAGGTCCGTCTGAGTTGAGGGAGCCCCAGGAATAAAGGCCCACGATCCACAAGGGTTTGGAATTCTTCCTTTTCCTTTTCCTTTTATCCCAAATAGCCTGCCCCCGAAACGATTGATAGGTTGGAGCCAAACCGCGAGATCTGTATTCTGGTGCCGTGCTGATACTCGATGGCGACGAGTTAGAGGCAGCTCTCGTCTTGCGAGCCGTCTTCCAGGACCGGGAATATTGAAAAGTCTGAACAAATATCGACTCATGATGTCTCAATTCTGTGTGGTTGCAAGATGACTAGGAGGGAGTACCTCGCGTCAGCTTCGATTACCTGAAGCCGATCCGCCAAGCGCCCAAACAGGCAGCCAAGCCGGGGAATTAAGCTTTGGATGTGGGTTCCTCCCGGCTTTCCGAGAGTTAATTCGCTTGGGGTTGGTATGGGCCCGCTATTTGCCCCTTTAGGTATTCTCTGTTTATCGCTAGGGCTCTCGCAGTGGGGGAGGGAGTACATGCCACATGGACGACTATCAAGTGGTCGAAGTACGCCGTACTTTCTACGGAACAGTGCCTAACAATCTAGGTCAACCTATAATGATTAATGTGCCCTGACCCAAACAGGGACCGTTATGGCCCCCGGAGAGCGGGGCACCAGAAGGCTCCAATCCACTACAAACTCCCCATATCAGATTTGTGTCCTCTTCCATCGTCAGTCCCTCCCTCCTGTTCTTGCCAGACCCTATCAGTGGGTGTCAGAATTCATACATCTACAGGCCTATTAAAAGGCCTGTTCTGGCACCAACCAACACAGAAAGTGAACAGGACACAATGTCCCCGATAATCCACCTAGTCCGACACGCCGAGGTGCGATCACCTCCAGCCCATCACTCCCCTTTCCTCCCCCTCCGGTCTGTCTCCCGTGACCGGTTTATAACCAAGTCCAGGGCGTTCATAATCTCGGCCACGCGTATTGGTCCTTAATCGACCCGCTCCTGACAGAAACCGGCCGGGGCCAGTGCCTCCGACTGAGGCAAGACTTCCCTAACCATGACAATGTCGAGCTCGTGGTTTCTTCCCCTCTATCTCGTGCCATCTTGACAGCCGCCGAGGGGTTTAAGCCGGTATCCCATAGCCAGCCTGCACGGCAGTTGGTGCTCCTGCCGGACTTGCAGGAGATCAGCGATTTCCCCTGTGATGTGGGGAGCGAAGTCGAGGAACTAAAAGCTAGGGCCCGCAATTGGGACGTTTCTATTGATTGGAGTTTTGTTCATGAGGGATGGACCAGTAAGGTGAGTAATACGCTATCCTCCCCCTGCAGTGGTGCTGCATGCTGTTCCGGGAAATCTACGTTATTTTAACCTGACCGGTCCACCCAACAGACTGGTCGGTATAAACCTGTCACCGAGAGCATTGAAGACCGAGCTCGAGCGGTCCGACAATGGTTGAATCAACGGCCGGAGAAGGAAATCGTGGTCGTCAGTCACGGCGCGTTTTTGCATTTCCTGACGGAAGACTGGGAAGACAGTTATACACATGAAGGTCTGTATGTGGCCCTTGAACTGAAAGGTTTCTGCTGACTGGTATCACATTATAGGAACCGGGTGGTCCAATGCCGAGTACCGGACGTATGTGCTTGAGCCGAAGACCAGTGGTGTGGATGATGTCTCCTTCGTTGAGACCGGCGAGTCCCGTCGCCGAAGGGGCAAAACGGATCCCGTGCCGGCTGAAGAGCAGGTCGGTTTGTATGTTATGGCTCTGCAGGAATGGGGACGACAGGGCTATTTACTGAGTGCTGAGGATAGAGGCACTGTGTCGAAGGACGGATGTATAGATGAAGTTGTCTATATAAATCAAGATTGATAGTTAGATGTTGGGTCCGGAGGGTGGCGGAGGCGGAGGTTAGAGCGAAAATTGTTTCCATCTCGGCGGGGTTCTAAAAGGGTTACCACAGAGGCAGTCGCTACTAGGCATTTTGGGCATGGAATTGAACCATTATTATAATATTACTCGTTGAATTGTTTCGGGGCCTAGCTGTTATTCGTCTATTTTGAACGGCATAGATGCCAAGATACCCTATCTGCAAATATCACCTACTGATATTTAGTAACGTATTTCACTACCGAGCGCCGCACCACCACCGAGCGCCGCACCCTGTATCCCATACTAAATCATAATTTTTAACCTCCAATATCTCAACCACTGTAGGCTATATTGTAGTCAGATACTGAGATAGGCTATATATAGATATATAGAATATATGTCTCCATTTTCGATACATATAAGCTAGCCTAGAAATAGTAATATCAGTTTAGAATAAATTACATAAAAATACAGCGTAATAAATTGTACTTCAAGCTATGTAAGTATATACCCTATAATATTCAAATATTAGAGTTGTATATATTGTTAAATCCTAACATTATAATATAAAGTATAGTATATAAGATTCGGTTGAGATATTGGAGGTCAAAAATGATGATTTAGTATGGGATACAGGGTGCGGCGCTCGGTGGTGGTGCGGCGCTCGGTAGTGAAATACGTTATATCTTCAGGGGCTGAGTCATACCTCCTCGGGTACTTCATCCGATATCAGTGGCTCCAAGGATGACTCTGGTCCCTTTGGCTTGACAAGATCAGCGCTCAGCATAGCTCTTCTTAGGCAGCAGGCCCCGCTAAGACCTTGATTTCCGCAGGGGTCTGACCCCATATAGCCTTTAAGGTGCTATCATAGAGCTGGGCGTTCCTATATCAGTGCAAGAGAAAAATTTCAATCCATTCCGTCTTGATTAGACGCCACAAGCCCTGGCGGTGGAACGCGGCTTCAGTCTCCGGCTGCCACCGGCACTTAGTTGGGGTGGCAGGACTATAGTGTAGGCGAGGAGCAAGCCGGTTTCTTGAGACAATTTGCATGCCATCACTAGAGCTCAAATCACCTGAGTATCAATGACGCAGTGTGACATGTTTGTGGCAACAATTATAGTGGCGATGTGAAATATGTGGGATCAAAATATGCCACGATTAGTATCCATGGCGGGGTTGATGGCAGGGATCGGATCCTCGGCCGGCGTCAGTTTGCGATTATTGAGAACTCGGGAGCATTCGGCATCTTATCTGTGGGAGTCCATCAACCAAATCAAGGTCAACTGAATCGCCAAAGTTCTCGCGGGTTCTTCGGAACTCTTCAGAAACCCCTCGCATGACAAGGCAGGCATACCCGACGAGATCGGCTCAGGCAGCCGACTCCCGTGACCGGGTGCTTCCCCGGCCTTGCATAGGTACTGATCCTCCCCGCTGTCGACCGTCCATCAGGAATCCAGACTATTGGCACAACATTCGCTCAATTCTCAACAAATCGAGGGCAGAGAGGAAATTGTTGAGCACGCATCACCTTCACCCCACAATATGCCTCGTCGAAAGCGTCCTCACGTTCCGAAAGTCAAAGGTATGCATGCCATGCACGGGATGGCTTACGGCAGGGATTCTGACCGCTGAGGATAGGTTGCTACGAATGCTCGCAGCGACGAATCAACTGCGATCGTACAGAACCGCAGTGCACCAAATGTACGTCCAAAGGAATCGTCTGTAGTGGTTTTGGCGTTCGATACCGATTCCGCGAAGAGGTCAGCACGCGAGGTAGTATTCGACGCCGCGGTGATAGGACTGATGGATTGTATGTTGCCCTGCCATACTTCAGGTTGATGCAAAGCTCACGGGAGAAGATACAGCAAGTTTTCAGCGCAGTCCCAAGATACTCAGCATGTCTCTTGCGCGACCTCATCCACCACGCCAGCAGACCCTGACAGCTATCTTACTCTCCTCGACACACACACGGGGCTAACAGACCACTACCCTACGGACGCCCTTGCCGCCATTGAGACAGCATACGTGTTTCCTCTTATGGATGGGCTTGACTTGGTGGCGCCACGGAGTGAATACCTGCTCACGTACTGTAAGCTCTGATACCCCGCGTCCACCTGAGAAACAGCAGATGGTAACCGCTCAAGTCTCTAACTATATTGCACCCCAAATGGTGGTCATGGATGACAGCTACAATGGATGGCGATGTTTTATTCTCCCATTTGCCTGCGCCGACGAGATGGTGATGGATGCCGTGTCCGCCGTGTCGGCCTTTCACATTTGCGAAAAAGGCGGCCGCCAACGCGATCATCGACCTGATAGACTGTATGCAAAAGTCATCTCGGGACTCCAAAGCAGGAGCCTTTTCAGGGATTGTGACTTGCAGACAAGACACTCGATCTTCCTCGCGATCATAGTTCTCCTGGTGGGTGTTATGGTCAACGGATCCTCCGATTTTCCCATCCTTTTCTACATGTTGCAGTCTGCGCTCGAGGCAGTCGGAGGGGAAGCCGGTCTTGGAGATGGCGAGTTGACGAGGTTTCTCATGCGTCAGATTCGCAAGTGAGTTTTGTTCTCTATTCTAATGCCCAAATCACGTTCGCTAACTGGACAGAATGCGAGTCTACGCAGCGCCATTACTCAGTCAAAAGGCCGGGGTGCAGACAATCCTGTCCTCTGCCCAGAAAAGCTTCGACTGCTTATACTTCAACTCCGGCTTGCATCCCGATCACCTATCGACGTTTGATCTTATTGTGGGTCTTCGGCAGCAAGCATATGACATCTACTTACAGCGAGCCATGCTGGGACGCCGAAGCCAACGACATGTGGAGCGCATCGGACGCTTCATAGATACCCTTCAATCACTTCCAGATGACGCTCCAGGCCAGCATACCCTTGTATGGCCATCGTTTATTGCAGCGTCGGAAAGCTGCACCCCCGAGCATCAACTCTTCTTCAAGCAATTCTTAGAGAACCAGTATCGTCTGAACGGTTTCTCTAATATCTTGAAGGCAATCGCGCTGCTGGAACGAATATGGACGGCGGATGATGGTGATACATGGCCTGCCTTGCTTCCTGAGTCACGATTATTTGTCATGTAGGTCTTGCTAACTTGTCTCTGCATCAATATGCATCAGGGTGTTTGAAGAATTCTTATTTAACGGAGAGTTTTGAATTATTTTCCTGTCAGCAAATTGAGCCTAGCATGTTTGTGTTGTTCATTGATGTCATCCATGTATGTACCTTAGAATGAGAATTATGTCGGTTATGATTGGTTATTGACCTACCTGTTTATTCCTGTTCTAGATGAAAATCATCGATTAGGGTTGTTCTCGATATTCTTTAGAGTACCATCGCCTGGTCAATCTGGCCGTCCATCTGTGACCTCATCTGATGTTGAGCCCTCCTCCGCAGATGACCGAGGTTGGCTCAGAATGTGCATATCATTCAATAATATGCTAATATCCTCGAACAGGTGAATTGGCTTACAAACTCGGTCGGATTGCCTTCTTTCAGAGACTCCGCGACCTCCCATCCCCCCGTCTCGCCCGAACATAAGGCGCCTTCCATGTAACCCTTCCACTCGCGGGCATGTTCCGTACCCACGAAATGCAGATTTCCCACCGGCTTGCCGGAAACGGCCGCGTACTCTATGAGATGGCCCAGAGCGGTTATCGGTACCAAAGCGCCCCGACTAAACTCCTCATGTTTCCAGATTTGCTCGAAGATCTCGATGGGTCGATGCACTTCCGAGTGCCGTCCCATATTGAAGATATTTGCCAGGTGATGCAGAACGGCAGCTCGTCGCTCATGTTGAGGTTGCTTGGTCCACTCCGGACCGCGATCGCCCTGCACGAAGCAGGTCAACGCGAACAGCCGTTTCTCGACGACGCTGGTATCTCGTCCGAGAGTAAGGGGGCCGCCTGTATAGCTCATGAAGAATCAGCTGTAGCCTAGTTCCCGCCACCAGGGCTTGTCGTACCATACGATCACTTTGTTGTAGTTTCCTAGGCAGGTGGCTTGGCTGACGGTCTGCACTGGGGTCGGGAGGGCCGGTGAGATGTTCAGTTCTCGGTACATGGTGCTTGGAATGGAGAGAATGCACTTCTTGCCAATGAATGTCCGGCCTGTTGTTGTGGTCACGCTGATGTGTGTTTTGTGGTCCTCGATGCTGAGCACTGGGCTGCTGAGGTGGATGTGGCTGGAGCCGACTAAGCGTGCTAGGCCGTGTGCGATGGACTGCGCCCCTATACGGAAAGTGAGCCTTCCATTGGAAAGGTTTCAGATAAGAAAGGATACAAGGGCTGCTGCACTAACCGTCATGAAAGCGAAGATAATTACCACCCGTTTCATCATCCGCGCGGACTGCCAGAAGCCCTGTGTTCCGTCGACAATAGTCGATGAAGAACGCGGCCGACTGCTGTGTCGACTTCACGCCGTGCATCGCCTTGGACCATAAGTTGACCATCTGGAGGGTTTTGGGCAGCGCGCCCAAGTTCCGGACGTATTGGTCTAGACTGAGATTGTCGTCTTCGCTGCAAGGTAGACCCGACTTCAGCGTTTCGGCCTGGACGTAGTCCCGTATATACTCGAGGTTTCTTTTCTCATCGGGTGTGAACTATGACCAGTGAGTGACTGCACTTCGGCCTTGCGTTGACTGTCACATACATCAGGGGTGATTCCAAAGGGGTATTCAATGCGGCCATTCTCGTTCAGCTGCATCACCGCACGCCCTGTTAGAGGCTGTGCTTGGGTTGCCAGGTTCAACTGCTTTGCGTAGGACCATATCCGAGGCTGCTTCTTCTCATTCACCCAGGCTGCTCCCAGGTCGGCTACTCCTCGACCGGAGGCCAGAGGGACACTCCAGACTTTGCCGCCGACGCCATCGCGGGCTTCGACGACAGCAACTGATAGTCCGGACTGTTGGGCCGTGCGTGCGGCTTGTAGGCCGCTGAGACCGGCGCCGATGATAACTACGTCGAACATACTAGGCTTAAATGGGCTCTTTCAGGGAGCATAGAAGGGGTTGATCTGGAATCTCGATCATGCTGTCGTGTGGGAGAAGACTTTATATTGGCGCAGCTATGAGAATGCGACCGTCAACTCGCTTTTCTGGCTATACGAGATGGGAACAATATGCGAGTCTGTTGTACATTTGCGATATACTCGTCATATACTTGCCGTATACAGCCATGAGGTGCAGGTGTATTATCATTCGGCCGGTCAGTACCCGGGGCTCTCATAAAGTTTCCTTTTTCGGATGAGTTGAAGCCGTTGCATTTTCGCCAAGACGAGAAGTTCTCGCCCTCACTGCTTCGTTTGATCAATGAAGGTTCTTCGGTTTTATTGATCGTAGAGCTCGACAAAACTCCAGAAACTGATAGTCCCTCCGGGTTGACCTGTAGAATAGTCAGCTGGACTAGAGTGAGAGCGGGGTTCAGCTTTGTGCTACCTATCGGGATCACCATAAGCATCAGCAATGACAATGAGCTTAGAAGCTAAACTGCCACTAATCTCATCAAAGCTCATGTCGTACATGTCCTTGGCAGACCGAATCCTGGCAGAGCGGAAAGCTCAAGTTGATGGCAGTCTTTCCCCGATTCGGTCGGTCGGCGGTCGGCCGGCTTTTCTCCCCGACTCCGAGCAGTTCCCCTCTTCCACCAAGTTCATCGGGACCGTGAACAACAATCATAATGAGTGGCAACCAGACACCCGATGGAAAAGAGCGCCCGACAAAGGCTGGAAATGACAGCGACGAGGAGGATGAGGATGTCTTTCACGATGCGCGGTTCCCCGCCGAGGAGGAAGCCGTGAGTTCAGTCCAGAATCTCTTCTCGCTCATGGCGTGTCCATTGACGCGTTGCTTTCCTGCCCAACCCATGCTAATACGATCTGCGACAACAGGAGCTGATCAAAGAATCCCATTCCATCAAAGCCGAAGCGAATCAACTCTTTACGGCCGCCTCCTACGACCAAGCGATCTCTTGCTACGACCGTGCCTTGGCCTCCTGTCCCAGCTATCTTGACTACGAAGTCGCCGTTCTCCGAAGTAACATGGCGGCATGTTACCTGAAGCTTGAGGATTGGAAGGCATCAGTGGACGCTGCGACTGCGTGTATCGACTGTTTGGATAGAGTGGTCCCGCCGTCGTCCACGACAGACACAACAAAAGGCACAAAGAAGAAGACCTCGGGCCACCAGCCGACCGACGAGGTCGTGGAGATAACCGGCGACGAGGAGGAAGAGCAGAAGGAGCTACAACGCCTGCAAGACCAAGATAAACGGAAACAGGATGTGATGCGGATCCGAGCGAAGGCGCTGATGCGACGCGCGCGGGCCAAATCTCAACTCGGCGGATGGGGCAATCTCCAAGGAGCCGAGGAAGACTATAAGCTATTGAATAGTCTGGATAACCTCCCTCCGGAGGATAAGCGGGTTGTTCAGCGGGCTCTGCGCGAGCTTCCCGAGAAGATCAACAAGGCACGGGAAACCGAGATGGCGGATATGATGGGGAAGCTTAAAGATGTGAGCTTTCTTTCTGAGATATCGCGGTGCTATGTAGGGGTTGCTAATCGCATTTATAGCTGGGCAACGGGATCCTCAAGCCGTTCGGGTTGTCCACGGATAACTTTAGATTTACGCAGGACCCCAAGACGGGGGGATACAACATGAATTTCCAGTCCTGAGCTGGCAGGAGTTTAGCTTGGCATTGTCATTCAGCATCTAGCTGCAGGGCGAAGATAGTATTCCATTCATCTCTCCTGCGCACTGGTTGGGATTCGTAAAACTAGAAGCATAACCTACTGCTCCGGAACGTGGTCTCCATCGGGTCAATAGATTTTGGCTTTCTGTGCCGAAGTCAGATGGAAAGTTTGATAACGCCTGCTCTGCGGGAGGCTTGCTGGCCAGGCCTTCAGTCGCATCCCTCTGAGCTCGTATCGGGGCTGAGGGGCATCCGCTGGTCCGGGGCTCCGGGGCTCCATCCCCACGCCGAGCTGGAGTCGCAGCTGACCTGACAGGCTGATAGTGACAGCGCTATTGTTCGGAGTACCGTTTATTCCCGGTATTCCGTCCTCCACGTTGGCCGGGAAAGTGGCGAAGGTCACCATTCCCCACAAGATCAACACCTAATTCATATAACGTGATCATTGATAAGTACCCTGTTTGAGAGTTTCCCAAATCCCGGCGCATCCTCTTACAAGCTTTCCCTCCTCGGGCCGATGGCTGATGCGGCTAGCGTCGCAATGATAGTCAGGCTTGGAAATTTCGAATAAGACTGGATCGATCCAGATTAGAGTATTATAGAGTCTTATAGAGTATTACTAATTGTCAATTTGAAACTTAAGACATGCAGTCTTACGGTGTACATACCGGGCCTTGTTCCGCATGTTCCGCCATCCAATCCACGGAAACTCTACTCCGCCTAACGGGGAGGCCCAGTATGGAGATATCCAATATCAGGCACTATTATGACCCGGAGTATGAACGACAGATCAGTTACAGTTACAGATTACCGTACCTTACGCGAACAGGTGAGACCGTGAGAATAATCAAGAATGGCCGGCCAGCAGGGGACAGCAGGACAAGCACAATGACCCGAAAGACCGAGGTCTCGACCGAGAAGATTAATCCCGATGCGGTAAGATTCCCGCCATATCCTCAGTTTTCTGCCTGGCAACCAGTGACCAGCTAGACTAGTTTCCGCTTGGCAAGACGGCGGTGGATGCGCTCCGCTTGTCTACGGGATCTGGTCGCAATTTGCAGAAAACGTTGAGATGGAGCTTGCCAAGCATACGGAGTTTACTGTGGTGTACAATGCTACTCAATAAACTACGAGACAGTAGGACAGAAACTGCGTCCACGTGGAGGCCGAGAAACCTTGGGAGGCGACCTTGGATAAGAGAAGTCGTCCATGATGCAATTGTTCACCCCCTCGGTATGCTTCTATGCACTAAGGTAGACTAGTTACAGTATACTAGTGAATACGGTCTCGTAACCTGCAGCGGGCAGACACCGAATGGTGGGGGACTGCACGCATTATTGGCTGGCATCACATCTCCTCCCCCCGCACGATCGTCTGGTGAAGCCGCTATCCTTTGGTGGTAACGTCACTCTGTACTCTGTAAATGCACACGATCGGGACAGCCACAAACCGTCGCTCGGAATTGCTCTGCATTCACCAATCACTCGATAGCTTCCTACCATTCCGAGGCACTTGGCCCCGCGTTACGTTCACCCGTACCTTACCTTACCTGCCTAGATTGAGGACCCTCCCCGGTGTTTCTCTTTCCCCCCTCTTCTGGGTCGAGGTTCCCAAGGTTACCTCTACCTTGGACCTTGAAATACCCTCCATTCGCCTCTCCTCTCCCCTCTTTCTTCTCTCGCTCTTTCCCTCCTTCTCCTATCTCTCCTTCTCCCCAATCCCCACTCATCTTTTTCATCATGGCCGATTTGTTCACCACTATCGAGACTCCTCTCGTCAAGTACGAGCAGCCTTTGGGACTGTATGTATCTTCACTTTCTTCTCGTCACGCTTCTCCCTGCCTGTCGCTCGGAAAACTAACCCCCTCTACAGGTTCATCAACAATGAGTTCGTCAAGGGCTCCGAGGGCAAGACCTTCGAAACCGTGAACCCCACCAACGAGAAGGTCATCACCTCCGTCCACGAGGCCACCGAGAAGGATGTCGACATTGCCGTCGCCGCCGCCCGCAAGGCCTTCGAGGAGACCTGGCGCCAGGTCACCCCCAACGAGCGCGGTCGCATGCTGGTCAAGCTGTCCGAGCTCATGGAGCGTGACATCGACACCCTGTCCGCCATTGAGGCCCTCGACAACGGTAAGGCCTTCACCATGGCCAAGGCCGACGTCGCCAACGCCGCCAACTGCATCCGCTACTACGGTGGATGGGCCGACAAGATCCACGGCCAGACCATCGACACCAACCCCGAGACCCTCGTCTACACTCGCCACGAGCCCATCGGTGTCTGTGGTCAGATCATTCCCTGGAACTTCCCCCTCCTCATGTGGGCCTGGAAGATTGGTCCCGCCATCGCCGCCGGTAACACCGTGCTCATCAAGACTGCCGAGCAGACTCCTCTCTCCGGTCTCTACGCCGCCAAGCTGATCAAGGAGGCTGGCTTCCCCCCTGGTGTCATCAACATCATCTCCGGTTTCGGCCGCGTCGCCGGTGCCGCCATCTCTAGCCACATGGACATCGACAAGGTCGCCTTCACGGGTTCCACCCTGGTCGGTCGTCAGGTCCTGCAGGCCGCGGCCAAGAGCAACCTCAAGAAGGTCACCCTCGAGCTGGGCGGCAAGTCCCCCAACATTGTCTTCAACGATGCCGACATCGACAATGCCATCTCCTGGTCCAACTTCGGTATCTTCTTCAACCACGGCCAGTGCTGCTGCGCCGGCTCCCGTATCCTGGTCCAGGAGGACATCCACGACAAGTTCGTCGCTCGCTTCAAGGAGCGTGCCGCTCAGAACAAGCTCGGAAACCCCTTCGACCAGGACACCTTCCAGGGTCCTCAGGTCTCCAAGCTCCAGTTCGACCGCATCATGGAGTACATCAACCACGGCAAGCAGTCCGGTGCCACCGTGGCCCACGGTGGTGAGCGCCACGGTGACGAGGGCTACTTCATCCAGCCCACCGTCTTCACCAACGTCACTAGCGACATGAAGATCTCGCAGGAGGAGATCTTTGGACCTGTCGTCACCGTCCAGAAGTTCAAGGACGAGGCTGAGGCTATCAAGATTGCTAACAGCACTGCCTACGGTCTCGCCGCCGCCGTCCACACCAAGAATGTCAACACTGCCATCCGCGTCTCCAACGCCCTGCGCGCCGGAACCGTCTGGATCAACAACTACAACCTCATCTCGTGGCAGGCTCCCTTCGGTGGCTTCAAGGAGTCCGGTATCGGCCGTGAGCTCGGCTCGTACGCCCTCGAGAACTACACCCAGATTAAGGCCGTGCACTACCGTCTGGGCGACGCTCTCTTTGCTTAAATGGCTTCATAATGACGTGATGAAAATAAGCGATTCACTTTTTTGTACCTGGTTATAGTTCCCAGGATTTGGGACGATGGTTGATGGATTTGGATTCTCATTGATCAATCATGTAAAAAAACAATTTGATACCAATTTTGACACTGTTCATCTTATATCTCGGGTAGTTGAGCTGGATTGCTTTGTCGTGTAGATGGATGTGTATGTTGGAGTTGTAGTTGTAGGTGTTCTGGGGTAAGCAAACGAAATGCTTGGTGTTTGCCTCAGGCATCAAAACGCTAACAGAGGAGTACAGCAGCGAGGGCGCGTACAGTGTCGATAGGCAACCCCGCCAACACGAGTAGCTATGTAATTCATAATTACTAACATCTACCACCTTGCTGCTCGGGTTGTAGGGAGTCGAATCAACCTCTACTCCTAACTACTCGGAGTAGCAGACGATCAATTACTCGGGGCACTGTGGTCCCAGGGAGACAAATCCACTCATCAAATCGAAATTAAAGATAACACCATGTCCAAACGACCAACTAAGAGTAGCTGGAAGAAAGGAATGGATGAGGAGGGTCTTCATTACCCCGAGCTATTGCTGTTGTAATTGTTCGGTTACAATAATGTTGGTGGTGATGGTGGGGTGAGGGGCCATGAGACAGATGAGGGCCCGGGTTCGGGGTAGCTTCTACCGAGATGAACTCGGGGTGGAAATGTACCGAAGTACTGGGTAGATTAGAGTTACTGTACATTACTACATACACCCCATGTTTTACTTTTGTTTGTAACGATCTGTATCTTCGAGAAGATACAGATCTTGAAAGTGGGGGGCTGTATGGACCTAGTAATTGTACTTATTCCTGAGATCTGAGATTCGAGGGTCTGCTGTGCGTGAAATCTGAATCGAGCAATCTGGTGGGGTGTTTTGACACTGGTACTAGGTAGGGGAGGAAGGATGGCTGTGGTGGTGGCATGATGCGGGCAGCTCTGCTGCGCATTACCCGATTGGGAGGGTACCTACTTTCTGACAACTCCGCCTTTGTTTACTTTACTATTTACCTACCTATCCCTGCTTTGTCCCTCGGGCGCAACACGCAACATTTGCCTTATGTCGTCTGTCGCCATGTATTCTTTGTATGGTTTCGGTTGTTGTACTGCGGATAGGAGGACTTGACTGAATGGGACGTGCTTGGAGGCATCTCTAGCGGTTGGGCGACGCTCGGGACACAGCTAGTTCTAGTTTTCTATACATATACACGCCTCTTCTAGTTGTTTGATTACCATGTAAAAGAGCGCCATGGCACATCTAACTGCTGCTTCATTCACTACATAAAGCACTGGCTTCTAACATTGATTCTAATCAATCAAACTCTAGTAGCCATACCAATCACCATACATCCGTCGGTCGATCCTTGACATCTACCTACCTACCTACCTACACCCTCCCCCCCCCCCCCCGTCCAGATTCATCAGCATTATCAGCATCCTGAACCCGACCCTGAAAATACTCAGCTGCACACCGCTCATTCGCCCGCCTAACAAACTCATCCCGATATTTCTTCGCCAGCTCCCTGCTATTGCGATACGCGGTTAGACCCTGTTGGTACGACTCCGGACTCCCGATTAACGAGTAATGCCCGACCTGGGTCATCACATAATCCGTCTGACGGGCTGGGTCCGCGTTGCTCGGGGCCCGGGTAGGATGGGTCACGTAGATGCCTAGAGTCCCGGCTTGGAATGTACATGTCATTGTGTAGGCGTGATTGTCGTAATCGGGGTCACGTTCACGATCGGAATCGTGAGTGTGAGTGTTAGGATGGGCATGGGCATGGGCATGGGCAGGGCCGGAGCCATCGCAATCGTGTAGTCGATCGCGCTCCTCGTGCGCATTCCCATATCGCTGCAGGGAATGCATGGCTCGAGCGCCCAGCGCGCCATCATACAAGGCCTGGAGACTTAGCGCGGCAGGCGAGCCATCTTTGCCGTTAACCTCGACGAAGAAAGTAGGCGCAATAGGGCGATCCCGGTCACTCCGACGGGTCGGGGTGATCTGGTCACTGAGCTGTTCGCGGGTACGAAGATTGAGCTGGATAGGCGGTGCGCCGTCGTAGAAATCAGGTTTAGCGTTGGCGAGGGTGCCGTCTGTCAGAGGCGCAAGGTTGGTGAATAGGTGATTGCCGCCAGCGTGAAAGGATAACGAGTATTGCGGGCCGTCAAGAATCGAAAGAACGTTTATGATTACCATCTGCTTATCGATGGCCCTGTTATTAGCGATGGTGGTTTCTTTATATTTCTTTCTCAGAGAATCTTCGGATAAGGCCAGAGACGGGTGAGGGACGCGTAAATGTCTTTGTATTTCGGCAAGATTCTCCGGCTTAGATAGCTCCGTACCGTCTGGGTAGAGGGCAGATGGTGGGAAGATACCATGGTCGATTAGATGAACTTCAAGGTCTGGGTCGTATACAGTTCTGCTTTCTCCGGTCTTTGTCGTAGTATGCGTTAGAGTTGAGCGCTTCGAGCTGGAGTTGGAGCTAGTAGAATCCATAGAATATTGATTGAAGTGGGTTGGTGCGGGATACTACGTAGAAGCAAGCCTACTTAGTATATATCTGCTCTATGATTTGGTGGAAGGATAGAACAGTGACCCACGTTTCTGATACCCGATAAATCTGGCCCTCCACGACGGGAAAGGTTTCTGATATTCTGTAAACAAGCTGTCGAGCAATCGCGCAAGAAGTCAGGAGCGAAGGTATAAAGATGAGATGAGGAGCTCTGGTTGGATATAAGGGTGGATTTCGTCGGTTAACTTCTCGTAACGCGCTCTTCGTTAACTATAGCTTTGTGAGCTTCTCCCAGAACAATGGAGGAGGATGGAACGGGCGACGCTTTCGGTTTCGGTTTCGTTGGCGATGCTGATGCTGGTTCTTGGAGGACGGCATATAGAGATTCTGTAAAGGTAGATTCTGTACAGATAGAGCAGCTGAAAAGAAGGGTACAGAGATTAAGAGAAAAGGTTTGGTGGTGGAAGGCGTTTTATAAAGCGCGTAGAATAAAGGGATACTATTTTTGTCAAACAAGCATGGTTGGCCATGTTCGGGTTACCTAGGACAAAGAGAGTAGCATCAACAAAACACCCCATAATTTGCGATGATATATTTCGATTATGAGCAAAACAATAATCGCAAGGAAGTTCTATTATTCCTAGGGAGACACAAACCCGACCTCGATGGATTATGGCAGGTACTGTATTTACAAAGCCATGGGGCCTTTTAGGTGGTCTAAGAAAAATAGAACAAGAAGTAAGACGCCAGAGAAAATTGGGTGTTGTTAAAAAAGAACCAAAAAAGAAATGATTTCAGATGTTGCGTCGGCCGGGAGTCGAACCCGGGTCCCTTGCTTGGAAGGCAAGGATGATAACCGTTACACTACCAACGCTTCTACTTGTTATTTGTTTAAGTCTATGGTGCTATAAGACAATGTTTTTGGAAATAGAAACAATTACAATTTATCTACAGAATCCCCCCTATATACACAACACATCTAAACTACAGTCTTGCCTGTATTTCCGCCCGATTCATCGCCTCCTCTTCCGTCCATCTCGGACCACGATACTCAGGCGTTGCCTCCTCGGCGACATGGCGATGCATATCGTACCTGATCCGGTTAGCTCGTCTCCAACATATATTCTCCGGGACCTGAGAAGGCACTCACTCGTTCATCTCTTCAATCGTCAACTTCTGATTCTCGTTCGCCACCTTATACCGCTGGCTCGTCTTCTGACTGGAGAAGCCAATCCGCTCCGAAATATTCTCCCTCGCGCGCGCACTCGCCGCCTGTACTCGACTGGCCCTCGTCTTTCGAATCTTCTCATACAAACCCAAACCGGCGCTGACGTTCTCCGTGTACGAATACGCCGGACTAAAGACGAGACCGAGCGCCGCCGCATCCTCGATCGCCTGACACGCGCCCTGGCTCTGGTCCGGAAGCATCGGATGCGCCGCGTCGCCGAGTAGACAGGTGCACCCCTTCTGCCAGTACGGGTAGGGCTGGTGCACGAACAGCCGCCAGGGCTTGATGTCCGTGGAGTTCCGGAACAGGGCTAGCAGCTTGGGGTCTAGATTGGGGAACGGTGCGAGAAGCTGCTCGCGTGACGCCTCGTAGTTCCAGCCCTCCTCGGCGTGGTCACTCAGCGCGGTCGGGAAGAAGCAGTAGAACGAGTGAATCTCGCCGTTTCGACACGGCGAGAACACGATCTTGTCGATCCCTTGTCCACCCCAGAACTCGATCGCGCTGTTCGGTGACATGTCAGTTAGTCCGAGGCGGCGGACTTCCGATGTCTCGATGACGCAGTGGTAACATGTTGATGTGGATTGTTTGCGCTCGGGGAGGATGCCGAGCGTGCGTCGGACGGCGGACTTAGAGGAAGATCTTGGTTAGCTGGCCGACCTGGAAGCCACATGAGCTACAAGTATGGGACTCACTCCGATTCCATCGGCGCCGACGATCAAGTCATGCTGAACGGTGACTTTGTTCTTGAAGGTGATCGTGCCGGTTTCATGATCGATCGATTCGCAAGCATGGTTCAATACCAGCTTCGCCGGCTCACCCTTCCCGGGACCAGTCGCCGACATCATCAGCATCTCATGCATGTTGACGCGATGAAACATGTTATATACCTGTCCGATTGCTTGATTAGCCCACTAAACTCCCTGACGTGGCCTTGTTGGTATGAGAGTGCATACATAACCCCATCGATCCTTATAGTCCGACAAATCATACACGTCCTGCACGTCGCCGGTCTCCCAGTCATGACGGATCAACTTCTGCAGAATCACCGGTTTTCCGATCCCAGTGTCAACACCCCATTCCTCGAGCCAGCGCGTACCGTTCGCCGCGCAACTGATCGACGCCCCGACTTCGCCGGCGTAGTCGGCTCGTTCGTAGACAGTGACTTTGTGGCCTGCTCTGCGAAGAGATGTCGCGGCAGCAAGACCTCCTATATCATGCGTCTTAACATTTCGAGTTCAAGTAGTGAGATGACCAAAAGGTGAGGCGAGAAGATAGTACATACCAATACCGCCACCGATGACGGCAACATTTAGTTGATGCCAGTGTCCGACCATGTTGTTATTTCAAGTGGTGAAATACTTCACTTTTGATTTCGCCGCAAATCCTGCAGATCTGAGGAAGTAGAAGTTCATCCAGGCAGCGAGAAAGCGTCTATATTTAAGTCATGCGACCAGGAAAACCCCTCTCGCGAGCTTATCAGTGCTCTCTTGTTTGAATGAAGTTTGTTTGGTGGCGGGTGGGTGCGCGGCCCGAGTCCATAGTAGCTAGGTGCGCGGCCCGCTGGTCGGGTATGTTCCTCTCTCCCGATAGTAACCGCCGATCTGTTCATCGCGCAGGGATCTTGATTGGTAGATGGCAATCATTTGGAGGAGAGGCGGGGCTGAGGGACGAGGATGGTGTGTAGATCTTTATCTTGGTCGGTGGTGGGTTTCAGGTACAGCGGAGGGGGACTTGGTCTGGTTAGATGGGTGTTTTATACGGATGAGCTAAATCTATTAGATATAGGTATCTATCTACAAGTACCGTCTATATACTAGAGATGAAAGCGTCAGTATGTGAAGATACACGCAAGGGAGTGCTCTACATTGAGTTTTGGGATACCCTAGCGGCACTCTTTAAAGGCTGTTGTCAATATTCTTCGGCCGCCTGCCGACTCACCTATCCCAGCCTACACTTCTGGAATGGCAAATGGTGAGCAATGCCAGTATTTGATCATGATAGTCTCAGGTCCCACGCCTAAACTAGCCACAGTAACCTGAATTGTTGAAAACAACGCACATGGCGCTGCAAAAGAAGCCGACGAAACTCTTGAACTTAGCACAATACTAGTATAGTATGAGGTCGATGTTCTCGTCTGTTACCATTAGCTTTTTTTTACCCCCGGTATCCCTCAATTAAAATTGAAAATGAGATTTGCATACCAATCAATGTCTCCCAGGGAATGTCCGGACTTGATTCCCCGCGCTTATCCCGGTAATACCACAGCTTCCTTAGCAAGTCCATGCCTTGCTGAACATTTACGAAGCCAAGGTTATCTATCATCCGCTGCAGCATGGTTTGTATTCGCTGCCTGTCGGTCCACTGCGTTGAGCAACAACCGGCCGTAAACAGTGGGAAGTAGAGAACGACTCCCAAACAGGGGCCGCTATGCATGTCGACGTGAGACAGGAGGTCCAAAATACGTCCCACGGTATTCTGTATTTCGTCAACTCCTGGGTTCAGTCGTCTCACCTGCAGTTGAACTTGTAGTATGGCTGCGTAGTGATAGGCTTCGTTGACGTGCGAGTACATCTGTCCACAGGTGGATGGTAGCCTGTAATTCTTATACATCGGGTTTTCCACGTCTTGTATCAGATGTACAGAAACCAGCTCTAATAGAGCGAAACAAGGCGAGTGCTTGTTGGAGATGTATTGGCTTCGGTCAATAAGGGTCCCGATCTTGCAGAGAATAGGGGCAATATCGACAGAGTAAGCTAAAAAGTCGTCAATGCCTGGTCTCGAGTTCTATCCGCCAGTTATACAAACAGCTGATTCGACACCATGGCTGAAGGAGGTCGTCTTGTTTCACTCGCTGGAGGGTTTGGGGTGATTGAAGAGTTGATGGAGATGACAACGTGGAATCGGTTGGGGATTCATGGCGTTGGGATTGTGGTGTTAAATATTAATGGGTTCTGGGATGGGCTTATAGGCTGGTTGCACCAGGCAGTTGAGCAGGGATTCATCAGCCCTGAGAATGGGTCCATTCTCGCAGTAACGCGCGATGTCTCTGAGGTTGTGTCAATGTTGTCGCAGTATCAAGGGAGCTCTGATCGGATGTTGCTGAACTGAGGTGACGAGTGAACAGTCACTGACGCCACAATTTAGTTTTTGTATCTGCCCAAGATAAGAATTGAAATCCGAAAGATTGAAGAATTGGTCAGTACTTGATATCTTATATGATGTTTTACATGTGTATCCCTAAATTAAATGACAGCTCTCTATCTAAGCACCTGTATTTGAAGTCCTTGATCCTTTCAGTGGATACTTTGATAGCTCCTTAGAAAGCTAGAAAAGGACAGGAAGAACCAGAAGTCATAATCGTATACAATTGCACATATGATGAATGGATAGAAAACATACTCTGAAGCAATATGCAACTTTGCATGAACCCTCGCTCAACGACTGATTGCTTCTCTAACTGTAAACCCGAACTTCTCTCCCCGATCCAAATACAGCACTTTCCCCTCCAATCCAGCCTTTACCACTTCCGCCTCAAAATCCTTAAGTGGACTCGCAAACACGTCATAATCATCATAATGGATCGGAATCGTCAAGTATGGCTGTATAAGCCGCATCATCTGCACCCCTTGTTTCGCATCCATCGTGACCATCAGCGCAAGTGGTCCAAGAGCCGGTGATGGCACCGTCGTCCCGCCTAGATGGGCCAACATGAGGTCAATGCGCTGGTTGGCGTACAGTTCTGGGATCCGCTTCAAGTCGTCGACCATCAATGTATCGCCCGTGATGTAGATCCTGTAACCGCAGACGAAATTATCTGCATTCTCGTCGTCGGAGCTGTCGGTACCGAGTTCGAGCATCCAGCCATTGGTTGGGGGAATCTGGAAATCATTTAGTTCTCGGTTATGAAGATATAGTTATAGATATCTTCAGGCTCTGAGACTAACAGCGTTCACGATTGCATTGAGACTTTCCACCACGGAATTGTCAGGTACGTGCTTCCCTGGCATGCCGGTTACGCGAAGTCGACGACGTCCTAACGAAGCACTGCCTCCGATGTCCACCATTGCTGATTCGAAATGGTCGAGAGCAGATATATTGGTGAATGAATTTCCAGCTTTATTGGTAAGTTGTGATTGCGCGTGGGGCGTCGTGATGATGGGCAGATCGCGCCGGAGCGAAGCTTCCACTTTTTGGTCAAAGTGGTCCCTGTGGAATATTAGAATTGGTCACGAGTTAGTAGCGAATTACGTACGCGTGGTAGTGAGATAACAGAACCAGGTCGATCCGAGGGAGGTCGTGGAGATCGACGGCTGGGTTGGTTCGTCGCGTGCTTGATACTCCAGGACCGAGATGAACATGGTCGCCGGCGTGCAGGAAATTAGGCTGGGAAGTATAAGCAGTTCTGGTGTGCGTATCGGACTGTGGCGAAGTATACTTACATCGGTCATCACTCGGATACCAGCCCACTCTCTGCTTCAATTAGATAGTATTCGCCATGACATAACGAGAGTACTGACAAGATAGTAGTCGCCGTGCCCACGAAATACAAAGAGGCATTTTCACTGTCGCTCCGAGACGGGTGATATTTGACTTCCTTTGGCGAAGGTAGATTATCTGGCGCCGTGCCTCCGCTAGGGAGGTCACGCGTCGCAGGCCGGTCGTCTTCAGGGTTGATCAGGATACGTTGCATGGCCATTATGATACTTTCTGGAATGTAATGCTGGCTATTGTGCTCTTTTGGGGGTTTATATCAAGCCTCCTGCTTAGGGGTCCGATAGAACGGACATCATCATTGCGGTGGCATGACGTCAGAAGCTGTTGGTTGAAAGTGTTAGGTAATGAGGACCCTTCATCATTAAGACTTAGATTCGTTGATTCATTTCTAGCTATTTGATTAGTCGCTGTAAGGCAGATCTGGAGAAGAACGCACTATAGATCGATGGCAGGAGTATGGAAAATTGGCATTTTAAGAAAAGAGAGCCCACATCTTCCTTGTCCTATGCCCTATCGTCCCTCTTCTAGTCTAGTTTCCGAGGGCTAAGATAGAACTACCAAGGGAGCATAATACACCATGGTTAGTGCTCCATGATGAATGGTTAGTGTCTAGAACTCCTTTTAGTAGAGGATATCTAAATGTGGAAGCCTGAGGTTGCACTCCGGCAAGTAATCGTGCCCAACCCCTCCGTACCCTCCAGTCGAAAGATTTCCTCAACAACCATCTTCTTCATCAGCTTACCATCCACTGTAGTCTTTATCCATCAGCACGTTCATAAATTATCGACATTTATGCAAGGCTTTCAGGCTGACAATCATCATACGATGCATGGTGTCAGATTCGGCACGTTTGCATGTCGAAATGCCGCCCTTCAGAGGGCCATTCGCCGACACGATTCGTGTCAGCTCGTGTCAACTCGCGCTGAGGCTTATACTAGGCCGTCTTCTGCCTAGCGTTGCCACAATATCTTCATATCTCCATATATGATAATATTTCCCCCTCAGCTGCTGCCCCTCGTCTTCTCCAGTCCATTCCACAGATTAACTCTTTTTCTTCTGCCTGCTGCAATAACTGTATCTAGCCGGTGACGAGTGAAAAACCTCGCCCATTGCCATCATGGAGAAGACCACGCAGTTTCAGGCAATATGGGACCAGGCCAAAGAAAGGTATCGAGCGCTGACGGACATTGACCTCGACGACCCCTCAGCACCGCATCCGGCCTCTACGGCGGACCTGGTGACCATTCTCGACACCCACAATCGCGAGTTCAAGCACTTTCGTGAGAAGCGCTCTCTGGTATTCGACTCCTTACAATCTGCCTGCAAACCGATCGAACTGGTGGGTAATCTGGCCGCCGGGGCCGCATCCATGGCCTTCCCGCCTAGTTCGCTTTGTTTCGGCGCCGCTATGTACCTCGTCAATGCCGCCCACGGCGTGTCGGCCTCCTATGACGCCATCGCTGACTTGTTCGTCACATTGAAAGACTTCTTAGTGCGCTTGCAGGTATATAACCGGGAAGACTTGCCGTCAGAGCTGCAGGCCAAGCTGGCGGAGATCCTAGCCACCTTGCTGGAGATCTTCGCGCGATCGACAAAGGTAGTCCGGGGCGGGTCCCTAGGCCGCGTTCTGCATTTTACCAAGAACATCCTTCTCGGTCGGGACGAGACACTGCAGGGGCTAGTGGGTAGACTAGAGAAACAATGCCAGAGTGAGCATCGGCTGGTGGGTGCCGAGACGCTGACAGAGTCAAAAAAGACTGGCAAAGCTGTGGCCGGCATCGCCATGACCGTGACTGAGACCAGCATGGCCGTGCAGGAGGGGAATTTCAAAATCGACGAAGTGAGTTTGGGTGTGCAGAGCATCTCCGTGGGACAGGAGGAGTTCCGCCAGGAGATGCGCGAGGATATCAAAGGCGTCATGGCGGCCATCATCTCGACCGGCGGGAATGGTACGAAGGACATACAAAACCAGGAGGCGATCAAGAAGATCCTTGAACCCTCGGTAAGCCCTTTGGATATCTATAATGACATTGCTAAGCGTCGGGTGCCGGGCACCGGCGACTGGATCCGCACAGAGCAGCTTTTCCGCGCCTGGACAGACCAAGAGAACCCTGTCTTGTGGGTGTCGGGCAACCCGGGCAGCGGCAAGAGCTTCCTATCGGAGAATATCATATCCTTCCTCCAGGAGATGCACCCGCAGGGAGTGAATCACCCGTCTCGGACGTCGATCGGCTATTTCTTCTTTAAGGACAGCAACCCGGAGACTCGGAGCTTCCACCGAGCCTTGCGTGACCTGGCTTATCAGATCTACCAGAATGATCCCCTCTATCAGAGATATATCCAACAGAACTGTCATTCTCCGCAAGACGTCAAAACTATCCAAAGCGCCTGGCGGACGCTGTTTCTCAACTATTTCGCCGACACCGCGGCCGGAGATGGTAGCGTTTTCCTCGTGTTTGACGGCGTGGACGAGGCTTTCCAGGAGGACCGACAGACCTTCTTAGGACTGTTATCTGACCTTCGACGTGTCGACCCGCATAGCACGAGGATTCATATCGTGTTAGTTGGTCGCCCGGAGATCTTTGACGACCTCGCTGATGCCCTGGACGCCTCGCTACCCACAATTCACGTGGATTGGCGCAAAAACAGCAGCGACATCGCCCATTATGTTGAAACCAGCATCAAGAAGTCCCGGGTGCTTAGCCGCGCCCCTAAAGCGTTACGCGACGAGATCGAGGAGACATTGACGCGGAACGCCCAGGGTATGTTTGTATGGGTCGATTTGATGTTGCGAGAGCTGAGCAAGAAGACTCGTGCTAGCAGCATCCGGGACGCCCTGACCAAAGCGCCTCGAGGGCTAGACCAGATGCTGCGCCATGTTTTGGAAAATTTTAGCACCTTACTGAGGGACGAAGAACCCGACGACTTGAACGAGATGCTGGCGTGGGTGACGTGCGCGCAGCGTCCCTTGACCCTAGGCGAGCTCGACACACTTCTTAAGATCCGCTCTGCTGAGGGTGACGGAGTATTCAATCTAGAAAACATGCTGCGCAAGCAATACGCCTCTTTTTTTACGCTTGTGCGCGAGGATGGGCTGACCACGGCAGACCTGCAAGGAGATGGCAGCAGCCTGTACAAGGCAGAGAGCGAGAGTATTGACGATGATGGTCTGGAGGACGTCGAAAATGAAACCGATTTTGACTCAAGCCCCACAACCACAAATGTCATCTTCTGTCATGCGTCCATCGGTGATTTCTTTCGCGACCCATCGCAAGGAAAGGTGTCTGCCGGAGAAGGCTGCACCCCCTTGGGCGTGCATATTGTTGAGGCCCGCGTGCACACGCTCAAGTTCTGTTTGGAAATGGTCTGCGGTCTCAGAGCGCCGCTCGATCCAGAAGACAGCGAGTCAATGGAGGCATACGCACTTAATGCGTGGGACGATCATCTTCTGCAGGCCGTCCCGGTCATCGAGCAGATCGCCCCGGTTGACAAGCAGAGCATTGCACAGCTACTCCTGCAGATGCTCAGGGATGAGGCGGTCACTAAGCGCTGGCTATCTCATAAGTCCTCCGACTTCGTCACTCGCGAGAACCTCGATCCCATAATTGCCTTCCTTACTGACCGTTCGGCTCGCGAGACGTTGGATGAGGAAACGTTGAATTGGCTTTTATTTGCTATTGAAAATCCTGGAGAGCTTTACAGATCGGCAGCAACGCTCAGTTCGAAGGAATGGCTGGGCAAGGATTATTGGGCCCCTGAGGTGTGCGTGAAGACTGTGCTGCAGGTGATTCGTTTGCTGGATCCAAAAGCTGAAGGCGAAGAGGAAGCTTCCAACAAGACAGCCACCGCCGAGGACGAAGAGGGAGCTTCGAGCGAGATACCCACCGTCGAAGAGATCAGTAGAGCCGCCGAATGGCTGCCCCTGGAGCAATCTGCCAATTGGCACCGCCGCCTAGCCATGTGTCTCCGGGCATACGGTCACCATCAAGCGTCTATCAATGAATTTGCTCGAGCCTTGGAGCTAGACGACAAGCTCTGGACTGCCCGTGAGGGCATGGCAAAAGCTTATATGGAGCAAAGGGATTATACAAAAGCCATCGAGCTGTTCAAGTACGATGAACTCTATGTGGAGGATTTGCTTGCCCAGGGCAAATGCAGCGAGGAGGAGGGATCGGATCGGGCGAACCCTGACAGTCTCAGTGACGCCTGCGAAGAAATAGCTGCCTGTTACCTTGCATTATCCGACCCGGAAAATGCCTTGCTATATTATCGCAAGGCGTTTGAAAACTCCAACCGGCGGTATTCAAATCTGCAATTCTGCGTGCAGCTTCTGGACGAACTGAACGATGAGAATTTCAACGAAATAATTACCCTGCTCAAGACCTTGGAAGATGATATTGAAGGCGACGACATAACGCGCATGACAGAATTCCTATTCTCTCCAAACTGGTCCCAGAATCCCTTTCTTCACACTTGCGTGGCGGCGGTTGCTCACAAGGCGGGTGAAATTGAATGGCTTGAAAATGCCTATCAGACGGCAATCAGCGCCGCTAAGCGCCGACGGTTGCCCGTGATTGCCCTGGCCTTGGACACCTTCCTGGCCGAAGTGTACTCCAAGTACAGTGACAAGGAGGATCAAGCCATGGATATCTGGAAACGCGTCATGAACTTCCCCGTTTTGTCAAGCGATGCCAGTCACCTGATCCGATACTACAAACGCAACGTTGAAAGCTCCTACGCGTACAATCTGTTCGCCAAAACCCTCAAAGAAGATGACCCCGCGGCTCGGGAGGTCCATATTCAAGCATTGGATGGCTTGGCCAAGCATACCGCAATGGCATTAGAGGAGAAGCCGGGTGACATCCTGGCTAATCAATCTGCCATGTATATGGGCGTCTGGCACCGTTTGCAGGGCCGTGACGACGAGGCGCGAATTTACTTCCGGCCGTACGTGAGGAGCAACCTGCAACTACTCTCGGATGACGACCCGGACAACGACCAATCGGCGTGGTTCGAATTGGCGCACGTGCTGGCTCGTGCTGGCCTGGACTCGTATGCTCGCGCTATTCTATACACACATCATAATGTAGTCAGCGAGGACGAGCTGTCCAGCCCCGTCGGCGACGACTCCAACGAGGACAACAATGTAAATGATGCCGCCGCATTGTCAGCCGCCCTAGAGAATCGCATGGCCACGGCGTGGCATATTGCAAGCGGAGATGGCGTTAGCGGAGTAGGCGTCTGGTACTGTGATGGATGTAGACGAAGCTGGGGGAACTGGACCGACGCACGTGTCTGCCGCTACTGCCAGGCAGACCTCTGCAGTGAGTGCTTCGGACGTATAGGGCAAGGTGACCTCGCCAAGGTCTGCCATGTCGATCATGACTGGCTGTACATCACAGCACCGGAAAAGGTGGCACAGCCGGGGAATATCTACTTCGAGAACCGGATGATGTCATTTGATGAGTTCAAGGCATTGCTGGCAGAACGTATCGGATGAGAAAGTGCCTCAATTTCGAGCTGAAGAGCTGATAGTTTGGTATATTGCAACTCTTTTTCTTTCTCTCTGGAAGAGGTTGGGCGGCTTTTGTAGAAGTGGTGGAGTTCGTAGACCTAGGCTTTATCTGGATTCATTAAGGCTGCTAGAAGGAGCCTAGTTAGATTATAGAATGAGAGTTTGATATTGAAGCACTCCTTGAGGTGCGGTAGAGAGCGCTTGAATTGCAGGAAATTCTCGAGGGCTGTAGAATCAATTAATCCACCAGTGACTCACATGAGTCTCAATCACCTAAATAGGTCAACAAAGCTTTGATCAACTGATTGAATCACGATTCGAGTAAATGCGTAACATAGAAGTCATCGATCACGGTAAGTTCCAGCTCCTCGTCTAGGGAGCTCGACTTTGTCTAGTGCCTTGATTGTTTTGAGAAGAGATCTGCTACTGCCACACCCCTCATGATTAGAGATTCCTTGCTAGTAGGCGGTAGTTACAAGAACTTCATGCCTGCTAAGGTAGTACTATTATGGTTCTTTCGAAATTATTCTAGAGTGCCTTTTACGTTTTTACATAGTTACTATCACTAGATAATAGAGATACATAGGTAGTATAAGCAAGACCCCGATTGTAGATTACTGCTGTATACTTAAATACCGCCCACTACTAATATAGGCATGTGGCATGAACGAAAGGGGTGTAGCGGTAGCAAGTCTCTTTGAAAGACTAAAAGGGGGTTTCCTCTATCTGCCAGAGCTAAAGGAATATTCCAGGACTCAACTGGAGTATATATACAAGCCGCTGACCATGGCGACATCCCGGGAAGACCACCTACCGCAGCCTAGCTGTCTCCCTGGCGAAGACCATGGTATAAGTAGTCGGCCATGTTTGGTATATAACGATCATTCGTCCGATGTTCAACCACTCCGAGTCAACTCGGAAATAGCCGTATGCACACACGGCAAGTCTCGATACCCAAATGTATAAGGTATCACATCTCCCTCGCTGGTGGTTGTGGTACGTATTTATTGCTCTGCCGGAAACTGCCAAATCCTTCGAAGAAGAGGTGCGCCAGGCCCTCTCGATACTCAGCCATTCACACCTCAAATTGCGGGGGTGGGGTCAGTTCGTATACGAGGATCTGAAATCAATCCCCACGGAGCGCAACGGCCCCTACGGTCTCATTGTGAAAGTTTATATCCACCCCGGGACATGCACGCACGGGGACCGCAAGGGTCGGAAGAGAGTCGAATATCAGGCTCTGAAGACCCTGGAGAGTCTCCTGGACGATGACCCCCCTCAACGACTTTTGGTCAATGTGGACCACAACTATGATTTCTCAGATTGACAGCTGCATTATACTTACTTTGTATATACTTATATAACCCATCGAACCGCACGGAAGCCGAAGTGATCCAAAGAAGAAAGAGAAGGAACAAACAGGGCAAACCAGGCGGCAAAGGTCTCCGGTGGGACAAACAATGCAAACATCTCAAACAACAAAGGTGTGACTTCATCCTCGCGCGAAACGTGGAACTGACAACGCTCCACCTCGCACCCCCAACCGGAAGCGGATGAAGTCTGATGAACGCCTCCCCAATTTTGAGACTTTTCTTTTCTTTTTGTAATTCTACCTTTCCTTTTTTAGAACCTTTGGACGCATGGAAATCCTTCCGGTGGATCTCAACGCAGAGTTGTCCCGAAATTTCCCCGGCACGATTGCACGCAGGATCCAGCGATCCCCTACACCGTATTCTCCTGGCCCACAAGAGGATCGGGTTCGGGATCGACCGCCCAACACCTTGATCCGACTGCGACGGGACTGCAGTTCCAGGAAACGCTCCAAAAGTCCAGACTCCTGATGTTTGAGACTTGATATCGACACCATTCGATAAGGTTCAACCGGCGATTTTGCACCGATCGGGCCAATAGGAGCTGACCTGCTTGCTCCCATCAGCGGCATAGCGTCGAGAGGTGATGGGGATGCCAGGACCCGTCGATCCTGTCTTTCAGGAGCTCGAGCGTTGCGCGATTCTCCTTTTGTCCTGATCTGCTGGCCCCCATCCCGCTATGTGCGGTGCGCTCGTGGCGCATGGGCCCGGAGATGTCAGGAATACAGGTTAGGGGTCAAAAGTAGAATGGTTGAACCGCTTGCTCCCAACGGTGGAGCCTAGTGTCGACAGGATGCCAGGGCCTGTCGATCCTCTCCAGGAGTTTGAGCGTTGCGCGATTTCATTCTGCCCTAGTCTGCTGCCCCCTCTCGCTATATGCAGTGTGCCCCATGGCGCATGGTTCCTCTGACAAATATACCACTGCACTAAAAAGGGCCAACCCCCTCAGCGAGGGTTATTCATGCATATCCACGCGGGCACAAGTCCGGGGATGTCAGAAAGAATACAGGTTACGAGTCATAGTAGAGTTAGAAAAGAGGCGCATGCATGGTGTTTGAGTGATTACGAGTTCACTAAATACAAAGAGACCGTGAAGCTCAATACCGAAGCCCATCTGAGACGACATTGCTGCCAAGTGGCCAGAGGGGTGGCTGCAGGACTTTGGGCGAAGGATATGCTACTGCATATGCGTCATACGGTCCTATCCACGCCGGGTAGTCCTCAACCCCCTCGAGCACAGAATTCGTCTCCGTCCCGTAGATCCTCACTTGCTCGATCTCCCGGCCGTTGGGGAAAGCTGCGGGCACAGTGTTTCTCTCGCACGGTACCTCGCGAGGATATGACGATGATGACAGCAAGGGATCAATGGCAGATGTCGCAACTCCGAGGCCAGCGGAATCAAAGCAAGTCGGCCACCGATATAACAAACCCCCGGGTTCATTCTCTGTTCCCGGGGAGTTAGGCATTGGCTGCGAGGAAAACCGACGATCCGAATGGCCAGGTCGCGACGTTGCAAAGCCATATCCACTTTCCGGCATGGCGTGCGTGTATCCGAAAGGCTGAACAGAAGAACCGGTGGCGGGAAAGCGAGGGGATTCCGAAGTTGCTAAAGCATGCAGTTCCTGCGAGGGTGAAGCAGAGGTTGACCCAGGGCAGAGAGAGTTGTGCGAGTGCGTCGCAATCTCCCTGCTAAGGGGTACTTCGTGCTGTGAGACAGATCTCTCGGGCGCAGTTTTGGCTTCACACGTCGACCCTTTGCTGGTAGACCACTTCTTGCGAGAGGGTTTAGTAACGTGCCATTTCTTCAGTCGACTCCTCAACTGGGTCTCGCTAGAACAAAAGCCGAATTAGCAAAGTCATTTCCCGTGACCGAAACTGGAATACACGGTCAGGCAAAATTATAAGGTACCTTGGATGGAAGTCCTTGCACTGCAGCGCCTTGATTACTTGCTTCAGGGGCCATTCCTCCTCTTCGTACAATTTGGTAATCAGCACGCGTTTGGTTTCCCATATCCTGGAGGGTATTGTGCTTTTCATCATGTCAAACGCGGCGTGCGAGTGCGACGGAGTCGATGGGCAGCTCCAATGGCCCCGTGTGCACTGGCGTTTTTATATACCTTTTCCCCTCTAGCTGACAAGCAACAGATGGCATGAATTAAACTTTGGCTGGAAATGAGACTCCGTGGCAAAACCGCCGTCCACGATCGAGAGACAACTAGTGTCGACGATGGAAACTCTATACCGTCTCTGTCTCCGCCGTTCGCTCTGGTTGGGACGTTGGGACCAAATCGCGTGTCGAGCTGATCCTTTGGCTAGCCATGAACTCCTTGCCCCGCATATCCAAATGAGTTCTGAAGGACCCTTTCCAAGGTTGCGACCGTGTGGTGGCAGTCGGTGCTAGTCAGGAGCTTACCACCGCGCTCGTGCTGCGTCCCAGCTTTTCAGCCAGTCCGCTCCTGGCGCACAAATGTCAATTTCATTTCCCTGAATTCCCTGAAAAATCCGTCGCAACGCCGCATTTGGGCCATCCCTACTGAAGCGGGTAGTAGATTGGCATTGCGGCGATGATCCAGGGGTCACTGAGTGCCCGCTCTTTGGTTCGGTCCAGCCCCGGGAGATCCTTTTTCAGTCTCGAGAGAGCGTGAATTGTTAGAAACGATTGCAGCAAGCATTCCCAGTCACGTTTTTGGGCGCTTGGCTGTTCTGTTCATAGCGCACACGTGCGGTCATTGTTGCCCAGATGCTAGTGTCAAGCAACGATCTTGATCTGCTATATGAATTGGGTGGTTCAGGGTTGAAGCCTTGGCATTGCCACCGTCCAAGAGACCGGGAGGAAACAAGATAGAGTCAATTCAGAGAGGATCGAGTCGCAACAACAAAGAAAACAGAATGACGATATAGAGGGGTCCTTCACGGCTTTATAAGAAGTCGTTGCTGCTCCCAATATTGCGTATTGCCGGCATCCGTTCCCTGTTGGGTAATGCCTCCGGGCCGCTGCGCTGAGGGACGGCTTTGCTTGATTCGTGGTTCCACCGTTTTCACATCATTACTAAGTCAGGTCAGTTCTCCGTCTCGAGGACAGTGCGTATGCCCTTGTTTCTCTGCATGTTCTCCAGATTGAAACCTCCGGGGCGGCTGAAGAGACGGATATGTCCACTACTATCTATGCCGTTCGGTGACCACAGCTGAAAGTATTCACTAGGTTATCGAAATGCACGCTTCTTCTCTCTTCGTGGTTAATGCTCGCTGCACACCACCTACCGCAGGAAATTGATGGAACGCCTCCATTCGATCTAGGGACCGCGTGGGCGTACACTGGACTACGACGCAGTCATTACACGCCCGCAGGCGGTCCGCTATCAGGCTTACTCTAGCAATCCCGCTTCGCTCAGTGGGACGAGGCAGACGAGGAGGAGGCTCCAGAATCCAGCATCTTCCTGGAAGGGCTCGATCTAACCGAGGGAAATAATCCTTACAAGGAGCTTCAGACAACCACCGGAGTCAGCCCCCACCCGTGGCGCTCACCTTCTATGAGAAATACCAAGATAGAACGGAGCGGAAGGAACATGTTTTATATTGCTTTTTGATTGTTAACTGCTTCGTAGGATTACAGCGCACTGACGCGAGAATCTGCTTATCGGGGAGGCGCCTGTATAATTTAAGCGTTTTATGAGATAGACTTCATCGGCTTAATAGAATGTCGATTAATAGATTGATATTCTCTCCTCTGTTTCTCTCCTCGGCCAATGATAGTTAGGTTATGTTCTGTATCTCATCTAACATATCTGTACTCCACCCATCCCTACTTACCATCCGCTAATCCTCAGAGACACCCAAAGACGAAGTGAAATCGAGCATGCAACCTAGACGACGACACATGTTGTCAAGTCAGCAAACCAACAATCAAGTTGTATGATCACGATAACCAAGCACGTAGTCATGTTTATTTTCAGACGATGTCGCTCTTCCAAAGCAAATAAAGGATGCGATCATTGTATAAGACCTCACATCGGCAAAATAGAATTTCGTCACAAAACCAAGGGGACAAGGAAGGAATTGGGGAGGGAGTGTGAGTGTGGCTTACTCTTTGAATGCAACCCATCGGTCATCGATCTTCCTCGGTTTCCCAGGGCTGTCTGGTTCGAGGAGGTAGGCAGATGGATGGTTGAGAAGGGGCACCAGCGCTTTGTTTTATATCTTGAGTTGGAGTCATAGGGAGCAAGTATACCTTGTCATTTGATATGAGTAACCCCTTGTCATCTCTCCAGTCGGACTCCTAATTGGGAACAGGTCCGTATCCTCCCACGAGGGACCCCAGCCCAGCCCCTGGGTCTCGTTGACGCAGGTTATTCAGATCCTTCGGGGTCTGCTGGTAGTTGGAGAAGGTCATCTCGATGGTTTCTTCTTACAGATTGAGAATAACACACGAAGGCTATTCTCTAGTAAATACATACAATTATCGTTCTACAATATGGATGCGATTAAGGCTGGTATACTCTACAATGGCACGGAAAGCGCCTGCAAGTTCTATGCGGTTACATCGACTGCGAATAGCATCCTACGGCAATGAAGAAGCAATATAAAAGAAAGTCAAGGACTAGTATTCTGAATACATACTCTGTATAGCAGAGTCATGTAGAATTCATTGTTGCTGGTATGTACATGTGCATCGACTTGCCATCTCCACATCTAGAAGATAGGGCCAGTGAAAACCACCGGGGTTGACCGACGTCAGTTAATGACAAGTCCAATCAAGTTACATTATTCCACTCCCTTGGGTTAGCTTGAATATTCTAATCTCGTGTGTATCATTCCTGATCGGAAATGACAAGAACTCCCTCATGGTCCATCATATCAGATCATTGTGAGTGACCATGAGTCATTCCTTGGCGCGGCCCACAGCCGATGGAAGTATAAAAAGTCCCAACGCCTCATAGGATAAAGTATTCTCAACAATAGTGATATCCTAGACACCGGATCCAGAAGGTACAGCATATCAATCTCAAAACAGTGATTTTTGACATATTCCACCCGGAAGTTAGACCCGGAACCCCTTGTCGACTACCGCGGTTTCTTTCGCCCAAGGTGACTGACTTGGTTCGCATACATCAACGTGCTACAAGAATCACAAGTGTCCTGTCATCTCCGGCTGTACATAGCGTTGATAAGCACTCCAATCAAGAGTTCTAACGAGAGATTGATGGTCAATCTCACTAAGCCTAAATTTGCGATCCAGTGGCAAGGTCAGGGAACGCACTCAGCATTGGGATATCGGACCTGACACGAGACGATTATAGGCTCTCCAGCTTACGGTATGGCCGAATCGCTTACCTATTATAGTTATCAGCAGTGAAAGTCCTCGTAGACGCTCCATTGCCTGTAGGAACGAACCTGCGGAGAAAGCCTTTTGGCCCCGGCCATGGTAAAATGATCGATGTGTACCTACGTAGAGCTTCAGTTTCTCGATATGTGGGTTCCACAATACTGCCTGTAATGTCTGCCCTTATTCCTGGGTTTATATTAGCACACTAGTGCAAGTCCGACCAGCGAAGGTTGCCTTGTTGCGGAGTTGAGAGCTAGCTCACATTAGCGCCGAATTGATGATCGCCCGGTTTACCACAAAAGAATCTGCCTGCAGCTCTACGAGGGTCTTGCATACGAGGTCTTTGGCGGTGAAGCCGAGGAGTCTTTTCGATGTAACCTGTTGAAACGAAAGGACTGCTAGCAGCCTGGCTCCCCGGATTACCCGATCGGGAAGCCCTAAATGCTTGTATGCAGCATTCAATGATCCATCGTTGTTGTATCGTGGAGACGGGGGGGAGAGAGCCCCAGTTTGTCCCATGGTTGTCAGTTCGCCTCTCGTCAGTATGCATCGCTATTTTTACTCGATGATGGACTGATTCGAAGCTAGAGAGTGGACCTGATATCGTCTTCTGCGGAGGACCCCGTAGCTACCTAGTGGGCTCGTCTGAGAAGTTCTGTTTTTTTCTAGTCAATTGTTTCTGCATTATATTCAAGGCATCTCCAACGGACTAATTCCTCTTCTTCTTCTTCTAAAGGTTTGGACTTTCACATTCATAATCATACTGCGGTTTGAACCTCCATCTCTGCAAAGCACTGCGCACGGGTCTTCAGAGAACAAGATACACGGAAGCATTGTCATGGCTACTTCGTTGTTCGGTCAGATAGCTGCCTGATGGGAGCGGGCTTATGATGGGGACGGATCCGCGAGTGGATGAGGGACATTGCGCTTCTAGGTGAGCTTTATGTTCAATCTCTCTCACTGTCTGAGTGGGTCGAGATAGAAGCTGGGTTGCTTATGATATGTTAAGGTCGCTTAGGCTTACTGGATTTTAAATTAATCACGTATATATGGTTTCTAAATTTGATCGAGATCCAAGTGTTATTCACTAGAAATAATAGCTCAAGTATAGTTCTAGGTTGATCATAGACAAAGAGACGAACATACGCCGTATGCATTGTCCCTCATAATCATCCTTGGAACCTACGCACTGTATTTTGGATCACACGTGCAAGTGCAACCTGGATAAGCTCAAATGAGCTGGTCATTCTCGGCTCCCCAGCACATTGAAATCAACTTCTTTCATTCCACGCGATTACGGATTGAAGCCGGTCCACTTTCCTATTTGGTTCACTCAGGCGCGTTTTCCCCAAAGCAAGTATTCCGTATAGGCAAAGGAGGTTGCAAGGTGGGTGAGCACCCAAAATTGTATGGCACTCACTATATGGCGGATTGGGTAGTGGAGTCCCTACAAAAGCCAATGGTCTTTTGGCTCATGTGATGCACACTACCACTACGCATTGCGGTACTTACACTCTAGGGGAGAATCCTGCATCGCTTGGCCAAAAATATCCCGATCCAATCAAGCAGAGATAGCAGGAAGACTACACCACGGGTGGACACATGGCCCCGGGTTACCCATTGTGGAAAGACGGTCGGTGTCGATAGAGCAGAGACGTCATTTTGGTGTCCACGACGACTGATGCATTGCTCTGGGCCGTCATCCATATCGGAGGGAAACATAAGGAGCGGATCCATTGTGATACCCTCTGTCAAGCTGTGGTGTCTGATCATGGTGGAATGGGTTGACACGATCAAGGAGCGAGCACATGCGAGTGCAGTTCACACCATCCAGAGCGGCATCCGTCCCCGCTTGGTTCGGCATTGCCTTGGGTATGGTCTGGCGATCAAAACAGATAATCAGGTAGGGGGGAAAACGTGGTGGGAGGGCGGATCAGACCACGGGTCTGGTTGGGTGCATGAGTGATCGCAGACATCAGGTACCGCGTTTTCTGATGGATACGACACGGTTGGCGCTCGAAACCAGGCAGAGGGGTAATTGCAACGAAGCAAAGGAAGACGGACGCATGGTTCGGAAGGCTCAAAACGGCGATAAGGCGCATGGATCCGATGACCAAGTCGAAGCTCGAGAGGTGGCTCGTCAATCAATCTAGCTTGGGCAGGAAGAGGTTTCGACTTTCGAGAGAGCGGATTTTCGTTCTTTTGACACAGCTCCAATCCTTGGGATAATGGCGGTCAGCATTGAATGACCAGGATTGATGCCGATTTTCCGCGGATTCTGGTTAGCGCCACTGGCGTTGTGGGGCGGCTTCGGTGGCGGTGAGGAAGTTTTCCCCGTCAGCCATTATTATCACGACGCCCGTCATGCGGAGTAGGGAAAAATCATGAATAAACATTCATGTATAGAAAATAAAACCAGAGTCGACCCAGCACGGAGCACAGAGCCCCTATTTGTGATGATCCAATCGAGTTTCAAGTGCTACCTGCCCAAGCTCCCACGTTAATATGGCCTTGTTCCTTCGTCACCTGAGGATCTGACATTGAAGTAGTGTTCCTGTACGGAGTACGTGTCTCCCTTCGAAGCTGTCGCCACCAAAATCCGGTGGTATGGGGCATCAACAGCTTGTCGCGATCGTCGGAATCTCCGGGTGATCGAGAAGCAGAGATAAGACGATGCCGGAGCTAGGGGAGTAGCTGCTGTGCACTATTTTCCAGAATGGCAGAATGTCTTCCGTTGCCGTCGATCTAAGATTTTAGTCTGTCATCTGACCCCATTTAGATTGAGTTGGCGTCCGAATCGAACGGTCCTTGCATCCTTCCAGGCTCTCGTAGTCGCATCGTGAGCTTCAATGAAGTGGTAACAAGAGAGTCCGACCGAGGAGAAGGTACGCGAAGGAAGAAGAGCCCGCCAAGCCCTCACGTGCCGGCGTCCCGTCAGGGGCAACAATTTGTTGTCTTGTTCCAGCTTTCCTTTGCCCATTTGCCATCCCTCCAGAAAGAATCTCCGGAATAAGCAAAAAAAAACAAAGATAAAAAAAAATGGACCCAACTCATCCACCGGTCCGGCATGATCTGGCACACGGAAACAGCTCCAACTTCAGTTGCCTCCCCGTGTTATATTTAATAATCATAAATATGGGTCAATGGCTCGACTCTCGACTGGATCGTCGCCCCCGCAAGAAGGTTTTTTCGCCTGTCAGCGACTCCTGTTCGTGCACGGCGTTGCCATCATCTCCGCTGTGGGCCCCCTCCAGCGTTATCTAATATTGGGACGATCGCCCTTCAAAGGGCCGTTTTCTCACCAGACTTCGGCTATTTGAATTGTTTCTTTCTCCTCATTGTCAACCTACTCCCCACTATTGTTCACTCTTTCGGTTTTCATCTGGCTTTCGTCATGGCCTTTGACTGCTATTGCGCCATCTGCGGCGTCGGGTTCTCGGGGATGCACATCGAGGCCCAGTCGGAAACGGCGATGGAGCGGCGGCGAAGATGGGTGGCCAAGAGAACTCGCGCCCTGCAGCTGGGCAAGGACTTCAACCAGGTTTCCCGCGAGGAAGGGAACGACGAACCGCCTATTCGCAGCTACGACCCGCGCATCGTCGGCACCGAGAAGATCGAATGGCTCTACAAAGCCCATTGTCTCGCCATGAACGAAGACTCGAAAGGAAAGGAAAAGTGAGTATGCCAGCAAGTTGTTAAGACGAGAACAATTACTCACCAGTCTCTCGCAGAGCGTTCATCTCGGGACCGGGATACTATGCTGATATGGTAAGTCTTCTTCAATTTCGTGGAGTGATGGACTTGAGAACTAACCAAATCACCGCAGGGAGAATTGGTGGTCAAGGCTGGACCTGGTAATTCGGATCGATCGTCTCAAGCAAACTGTCATACTCATTTTTTTTTCTTAGACTCCTCTCGACCCTTTCACCGAGACGTTTACGCATGGTACGGGCTCCCCCTTGGCCCCCTTCGTACATTTGACTTAGAGCGCTGGACTAACGTGCATGTGTCTTCTAGTTATTCCCACAGTACGGAAGAAGCCTCCGGACCCGTCCTCCCATTCCACCAGTGCTGCTTCGAAATTCTCACGCGAACCCTCACCGGATCGGACAACACTCAAGATCTCAACTTGGACGTCCTCTATCACATCATGAACACTTTGAGTAATGGATCGTCTTCTGCTCTGCAGCTGAGCTACGGAGACGACGTTAGTCGGGCTCAGGGCCGATACTGGGAATGCATTCCCGGTGCCGAGGCAAGCCATCTCGGGTCCAGCGTTCTGACGCGTCTCGAATTAACCAACTCTATAGTACTGCGCGACGCACCCCACGAACATCCCCAATCTGGACGTCTTCATCGAAAGCAGCATGACCACCCACGCCGGATTGAAACTCCCCTCCGAAGAAGTCACCGCTGGCGACCGAAACCCTACAAACCCGTTCGGTCGGCTTCCATTCGAGATCGTTGAGCGCATCTGTCTCTACCTGCCGGGTGAATCTCTGAAAGCTTTGACACAGGCTTCGCTGAGTATCCAGTTGCTCACGCAGGACAACTTCTTCTGGAAGCGTTTTATGCAGTGGGATATGCCTTGGTTTTGGGAATTGCAGACGAGTCAGACCCAGAAGAAGGCTCCGGAGGATCTCAACTACAAGCGGCTATACCTGTGGTTGGATAACATGACGACGCCTCGGTACGGCATGGACGATCTGAGCGTGATTGGCGTTGCAAACCGCCGACGTATCTGGGGCGTTTGTGAGCAGCTGGCACCGCAGTATCATAAGGGACTAAACCAAACATCTGGCGAATTGCCGCGGTGGGGCGTGTGTTGATTGGGCAGCCAGGTAAGAAAGGCCAAATTCGCGATCGCTGAGTTTGTTTCTAACAGATTTCTGTCAAGTGTCCTCACCGAATTAGTCCCTTCTACAGTTTGCAGTTCTTCTTTTATCTGCGAAGAGACCTCGTTTGACTTGGTCCAGAGTGGAAATCTGTGAGCCCTCTCCCGCACGTGACCCCGATTGTACTTGATTGCTAAACATCGCGACCAGATATATACCAAGTTTCTGCATGAGTAGCGATCTCGATTTTACATAGCGTTATAGCCTTTTGGCTTGCTTCGGCTTGCAGCGGTGTTTTTAGAGGTGATTTTAATCCATATATCGATAGACTATTAGACATCATCGGCAGCGAATCATCAATTCTCATTTTGGCTCACTTGGGCTACCCATTGACTATATTTGATCTACCCACTACACCGTAGAAATACTATGGCCTAAATTAGGTAACCAATGTGTGCATGTTTGCAATGTTCGACTATATGCACGCATTTACTCGTTCTATAGGAGCATTGTTAACAAGACATCATAGCACTGCCACCAAGCATACTGGATGTTATCCTATTGAATGATCGGCTCTGACACCTTTAAAGTTTACGATCCTCGTCAATAGTGTTATCCCTTGCCTAGAGTTATACCCTTGAAAATGGTCGTACTCCCGCCTTTCTCCGAAATAAGATCATTCAATCACTTCCAGCTTTGAGGGTTTTTTTTTTTTTTTTTTTTTGTCTTTCAACACCGTCAAGGGTTCCAATAAAGTCTACAACAAAGAGAGAATGGTGGTTAATAATCTATAAATAGCTGGTTTATTTAACAATGCTACGGAAAAAATTATGTTCTAATAAACGGCATCGGTCTCAGGATCTACCAATTACTCGAAATCTGTATTTTTATATTGTACTGCTTGGGGGGGTTGGTTGAAATCATCTTATTATCGCCCTCTTCAAGCTCCTAGCTTCATGATTTATACCATCTCTTTGTAAATAAATAAGCTAGATGAATGATATTGACGTTGCGGTTAAAGTTGGGCCGGTAGACATCAACCTTGTTCAAATCATGTGTAACCTTGAGCAATGCTGTCGAGTTGCGCGGACCGAGCCTTATTGATATTTAAGTTCATGATACAAAATGCCAGCGAGGAGCATTGTAGCTACTTCGCATGAATGTACACCGAGTAGATACCTATGGCAGACCAACCTCCCGGGAGCGTGGATCTCCGAGCCGAGAAGGCAGGCTTAGCGCGGGCTGACTGATCGGATCTGGGCTCTGGTCGACCGTCGATCAAAACATTGTCCGGTGTGTGGGCCGCGCGTTGTGCATCCTCCGTTCCCCACGGCCTTAGGAAGTCGCCGTTGCTGAAAAAGTCCCTGGGTGATTCTGTTCAGACTCCAGACTCGAGACGGCAGGGCGTGTTCAGAGGGCGCAAGCTACGCATCGTCCCGATTTCTTCTAATGTCCTCGCAATAGAGCCTTTCTTATCTCCCGACTGGGATCGGTGAGACTCTTTGTCTCTCTCTCTCTTTCTCTCTGTGTCTATCCGGTTTGCGCGGATCCCCCCGGATAATATGACTGCCACTCCAGAGAGCGCGGAGACATTGAAGCCATCATCTCTGGTTTCATGCATCAGATTCCTGGCGCGATATCGATGGCAGTTCCTGGCTGCTTATCTCATAGTCCTGAGTTTGCTCATTGGGACATTGATGCCCACGTTCAAAGGCAATGATGTGAGAGTATTGAAAGGTCGGTGCTTCTCCAGCTAGTCGAGATGCTTAGCTAACAGGTCATAGGAAACAAGCTGTACCAGCCGGCTTTGGAGGACTATGAGAAATCACTGGTCCTCGCCAAGTCTCGCTCCGAAGACATTTCGTGGGCGTACAATCTCTCCTCGGAGTAAGTTCCGTTGCCGTGCGCCAGACTTCAAACACCGCTAATAACTCAGTTGGGGCGTGTATATCTACACATCCGATAGAGAACCCGGCTTCCGTACCACCCCGGCCAACAAAGGCCGCGAGGGCATGTCCTATCTCACTCACATCATCGACAATTACGACGATCTGACGAACATCACCGTTTTCATGCACGGAGCAGCCTCCCAATGGCACAATGACCTGGAGGACAACTCCCACTCGTCGTTCCTCTTGTCAAAACTGCGAATGGACGCGGTCACCCGCAAAGGCTATACCAATCTTCGCTGTCAGTCGCGTCCGGGCTGTCCTGTGGCAATGCGCCCCTCGGATCCGAAGTTCACATCCATGGATGACGTAGTGTATACGAATTTCACCTCGATCTATACCGAGTTGTTTGATCTACCCAAGGAACAGGTTCCGAGTGAAGTGGGGGGCATTTGCTGCGGTCAGTTTGCCCTCACGAAGAAGCGCATTCGGCAGCGACCTCGAGAGGAGTACATCCGCATGCGGGACTGGGCTATTTCAACCCCCCTCGATAACTTCACCGTGGGCTCGGTGTTTGAGATGTTATGGCATCTTATCTTTCTGGAGAATTCGGTGTCGTATGTTCTCTTTCTTATTCCTTCCTGGTGGATAGTCCAACTAACACGTACAATAGATGCCCCGATCCGAAACAATGTTATTGTGACCTTTACGGCGTTTGTGACGACTAAATTTGTACTTATGACAATAGACCACCTTCACGTTCATCATGAGCAAACCTGACCCCATGCGATAGAATTAATGATCGAATCTTACCACTTCATACAACTTCATAACAATAATAATCACTTCCAGGACACTCGTACTCATCTATTTCGCCTTCTTGTGCAGGTTCGATCGCTCTTCCCGGAGACCTTGGTGTCTTTTCTCAAAAAGACAATCTCGTGCAACCAGAGCTAGTCGTGCTCCGGTCGGGTCGAGAAAAGCTCCGTCTTGCAATCCTCAAGTGTCGTTAAAATTCATTCAAACGTTGATTGAGCATGGGGATGTCACTTCCGCATAATACCGGGGTAATTAGTTGACGGGTCGACGGATTCGGAAAGGACGCTGGTGGTTTAAATCCCCGTGATCTTTGTTTCGGCCGAGGAAATAGGTTCCTTGGGATACTCGGTGAGTTGAGTATAACAGGTTGGATGGCGCGTGTCGTGTCCGAGCGCTATGGTCTAAGAGTCGAGGTGTCGATAGACCGGTGTGAAGCGAGCGGATTTGTGACGGTTGTCAATTGCAGTAAGTTGAATACCTTGGACAACATGAATCTTGGTACCGTATTCGCTGGCTATTCAATCTCGCATGTCTCTGCCTATTGCCAATCCCAATTGACTAGCTCAAAAGCAGTGTCGAGAAACAAGCGGTCTGCAGCATATGAATTGCATTGCATCAACGGTCAGAGTTCACGTCTCTTCAGTCAACAAGCCCAATTTCCTCCTCGCCGCCACTTCCTCTGCAGATATGGGTTTCCCTTCGATTTTATCGACCCGGTTCCCTTCCCACATGATCATACCGCCAGCGGCCATCGCCACGACGCAGGCTAAGCCGATGAAGAGACCGGTCGTCCAGGGAGGGCGCACATGGCGATTCATGCCCCACATGCACCCGGCCAGACAGCCCTGCAGAATCGTATTCCAGATCATATTGTGCACGACGAACGTCATCTTCCACGACGCCGTCGCAGGCGCATACACGCCGGTCAACGGCGGCTTGGGGGCCTTGCTCGGAGGGATGGGGGTCAACACCGCCTCGGTCTCACCTCTCTCTAGATCCGCCCGAGGCAGTCGGAACCAATTTGCATGGGCGGCAGCTAATCGAGCGAGGGCGTCATTGCGACGGCTCTGGGTGCGGCCAAACCGCCAGAAACACCACCAGTAGAGGTCCCGGAGACGGAAGGGAGCGAGGCCGAACCCCGTCACGCAGAAAAGACCGTTGAGGATCTGCGAGTCGATCTCGATCCAGATCCGACGAGGCGAGTTGATATCGTCGCATGTGGGATGGCACATGGCCGGCGCGGCATTACACATCAGTAGGAACAGCATCCCGCCCCAGGCAACCACATTCAGCATGTATACTGTGATCAGAAAGCCGGTCGGAGTGATGGCCCATCGACTGAAACGCTTCAAGGCGACGGTGCATTTGATGGTCCCTGGGAGAGGAGGCTGTTTCTGAGCGCCCTCCACGGTAAGCATTCGATTCGAATCGGCTGAGCTGACGTTGGAGACTCTGGGAGAGAGAGGATTGAGCGAGGGTGATGGCATCATGGCTGTCTCGGCCGCGGCCTCTGCCTCAGTTGGGAGAGGCGGATCTTTGTTGACGGATAAATACATGGTCGTTCAACCGAATAGCTAGCTTTGCTTTGCGTTTTCATCGTCTGCGTAACAGACCGACAATGCATGGTTTATTTATAAAAGACGGCGTCTGCCAATGCTGTCGCCTTGGAGATCTCTGCGAAGTGGAACCTTTTTTTTTTTTTTTTGCCACTAGATTGCTGGTTGAGGTAGCGTTTAATAGATCTCCAAAAAAAAGTTAGACCATCTCGACCAGTCGAAAAATTGATAGTTCGCGATGATCGCCCTTCGTTGGGTCGTATTTCGTTTTATTGAACCCTTTGGGTTAGTCTCCCGCGGCCATGTCTGAGGCTTCGTATTCGCTCCGCATACTCTTTCTATCAAAGTCAGAATCTTGGGGCTGGGCATCGTTATGCATAATCGTCTTTCCTGGCTTGATCGTACCGATCTCCGATATGCGAAGTCACAGGAAGCAAACCGTGAACTATAGCAGTATGTACGGGGTACCAGGGCAGGGCTTCTCGGGCGCAAAACCATCATTTGCCCCCAATCCGCATTCCGTGTATGGCTGCAGAGCTCGAGAATATTGGTGCTCGAATGTACAGTAGGTGCATGCGACAAAAATTAGGTTTGGGGGTGGTTTTTACTCGTCGAGTGAAAGAGAGAAAAAAAAGACGGATATAGCATGTCCTAGTTTCGATCTAGGGTCCTAAGCGGGTTGTTAGTTTACTGTGTTTAATGCCAAGAATAGAAAGTAGACGTACCTCCGGGTTATGAGCCCGGCGCTCTTCCCCTGAGCTAACATGCTGGGATTATTAAGCTTTATGAAAAAAAGGGTTATATAAAGACTTACAAAAAGCAGAGGTTTTATAGATAGAGGATCTCAGTTTGAGGCACCTACCCCCGCCAGAACAAGTTGATGCCTACAACATAGAGAGTACTGACCGCCACTTCCTATAGAGTTCTCATATACTCTGTAGAATCAGCTGGGAGTGAAGAAATATTACCATACAATCTTTGTTAGAGATTTGGCAACTAATAGCGGATAATCAGTATCCCATTGATGTATTTAACTCACTACACAAGGAACTACGGCCACGTTTTCACGCTGCTTCACTCCCCCGAATTATTGAAATATCATCCAGACTATTTACCAGTTGACTTATAATTACTGTTTGAAAGGAAAGTCTAGACTAAATGGTAGTAAAATTGAGAGACGCAGTCCTAGCCTCGACTGTAAACTAATCATACCGCTGCCTATCTGCGGCGTGTTGGTGAAAACTCGGAACGGAGAAGTAGGAAATATAAAACTTTGGCAGGAGGCAAAAAGCGGAGTCGCCTGAGTGCGGTAAACACAGAAAAATTAATCAGAATCACTATAATGGCTTGATCTTTGCGAAAACTAAGTGTCAAATCACATATCTAGGGACTAATATCAGCATTTAACAGTGGCGAGTTTTTATATATGCAAAAATTTAATCGCCGGCAACCATTCCCAGCATGTTAGCTCAGGGGAAGCGCGCCGGGCTCATAACCCGGAGGCCCCTAGCTAAACTAGGACATGCTAAAGTTTTGTTCTTGCCGTCTCTATCCCCATCCTTGTGTATGTGATCTCTACAATATAATATAACTAATTCAGGGTACTTGTATACTCATTGGAAAGATTCTTGCAGGCTGTGCCACTGTGGTACAGCGACGGTAGTGGCTTCGGCGGCCACGTACTAGCAGAGTCGGCAGTCAGCTTGCGAGTTACGAAAGGTCTGAAAGTTTATAGGTCACTAATTGACATAGAAAGTAATCCTATAGAGTACATATGAGTATGATAGGCAAGGCTGTCAGCTACGTAGCGAAAGTTAGAGTACAACGATGAACTAGTTGTTGATCGCTGCAACGATTTCCCAGGCCCAGTATATTGTCCCGCATAACTACTAACTTGACGGTCTAGAATATCAGTTTTCGAAAAGATAAGATAAGATTTAGGTGATTTCTCGAACATTGAGCCACCCATGAGCTATGAAATGACGAGATAATGTGAAACGGCAACTGCTGCGGAGGTTGGAGCCAAAGAAGGAATAGCGTGCCTTCTTGAAAAGGTCAATTGTCTCGAGGGCTCTGCTATTCACGGCAATACTCTCCGAGAGCCGGGCTTCCCAGTGCCAAGGCCTTGGCAAGGCACGGTCCCGTTGAGGCCGACTGGTTTCACCCGACAGTAGATGATCATAGTGGTCACGAAATCTATAGAGGGCATTTACACCGGCAGTGTTCATAATTCTGCTCACTTTGGACACCTTCACTCTAGAATGTAATTGGATCCGCTCCTATAGAGAAGAATGCTTAGTTAATGTCGCATACCATACTCTTGCATCATGACCACGTCTTGGATGGCCTCCAACAAGCCTTTCTAGTTGATGGAACGCATTGATATTCATTCTACCTACTCTGTACTCCGTAATTGATTAGAATAGAATCGCGTTATTTGAGAATGACCCATCCATCAACCACGTGGACCACGTAAACCCCAATGAATATTTGACCTTAATCCTACTCCATATTAGGGCCACATCCTTATGAGTCTATGATACGCTCAGAAAGTCTCAGACAGGTGACTTGAATAGCCCGTGAATTCATGCCTCCGAGAGGTACTTTACTCTGTAGTCCATAGGACACCGTACAGTACACCGTAGGGCTGACGTGGTATATTACCTATCTTGGTTAGCGCCTAATCCCAATCAGGCAATATGGTGAGTGCGGTGCCAAGAACGGCCCGAAGCCATTCATTTCATGCTTCAATTTCCATATCGCAAACAAACTCTGATCGTTCGCCTGCCGAGTGACCATTGATGACCGTGGATCCGGTTTTGAGAATGAAAGTCCTCAGGTATAAGAGTGGGCAGAGGCCCCTGCTTCGAAAAGAAGGATTCCCCAGTCAGTATTATCAATCGGTTCAATCCACCTTCTAGTTCCTGCCCATATCAAGCACAACATGCAGGCACCACATCACGCAGACAAATCGACCGGGGCCACCCGGACCTTTTCCATAGGTTCGGGACGAGGCCAAACCAACCCACTGGAATTACCACTCGACCAAGTCACCACCAATGCCAACCTCGAAGAGTATACCCGCGAAACCGCAGCTGGGGAGATTATCAAACCAATGCGCTCCTCGGCTACTGGCAAGATGGAGGACTGGAAGCTGGTCACATTCAAGATCGACGACCCCGAGAACCCAAAGAACTGGTCCAAGGCCTTCAAGTGGTATTGTACCATGGTTGTGTCATTCACGTGCTTCGTCGTTGCTTTTGCCAGTAGCGTTATTACCGCCGGTCTTGAGGGCCCCATGGAATCTTTTGGGGTCGCTCGCGAAGTGAGTCTTGTTGTCGTGACCGTATTTGTGATCGGCTTTGGAGTTGGTAAGTTTAGTTGTTTATGCCTTGCAGAATACATGAGCTAACTGTGCTTAGGCCCGATGGCATTCGCTCCCATGTCCGAAATGTTTGGTCGTCGACCTGTCTACGCCGTGACTCTCTTACTTGCCGTGATATTCGTGATTCCCTGCGCCGTGTCGAAGAACATCGGAACCCTTATCGTCTGTAGAGCTATTGATGGCATCGCTTTCAGTGCTCCTATGACCCTCGTTGGCGGTACCCTAGCGGACCTGTGGAAAAGCGAGGAGCGAGGTGTTCCTATGGCCGCTTTCTCGGCGAGTCCCTTCCTCGGGCCTGCCATTGGACCCCTTGCTGGCGGGTACCTGTTTGATGCATCCGGATGGAGATGGCTATATTGGCTGCAGTTGATCCTTGCCTTCGTCGCTTGGGTTCTCATCACGTTCACGGTCCCGGAAACCTACGGCCCGACGATCTTGAAGAAACGTGCCCAGAAGCTCAGGAAAACAGAGAATGACCCAAAATACGTGACGGAGACCGAAATCGACCCTTTGCCTATCGGGCAGAAACTACGGATTGTTCTGTTTCGGCCATTCCAGCTCCTGTTCTTGGAACCTATCGTTCTGTTCATCGCTATTTACATGTCCGTCCTGTACGGTCTGCTGTACATGTTCTTCGTCGCGTACGTTCATCCATGCAGTTCTCTTCCAGACGCATGATACTAACAACTCTATTTTAGCTACCCCATCGTCTACCAGTCTGGCAAAGAATGGAGCGCCGGCTCTACAGGCCTCATGTTCATCCCTCTCGCCATCGGTGTCCTCATGAGCGCCGCCTGCGCCCCTTTAGTTAACAAACACTACCTGGGCATCTACGAGCAGTATAATGGCAAACCGCCCGCCGAGAAGCGCTTGATTCCGATGATGCTTTCCTGCTGGCTGATCCCTATTGGACTGTTCATTTTCGCCTGGACATCCTACCCGCGCCTCCACTGGATCGGACCCGCCATCGGTGGCTGGCCTGTCGGATTCGGGTTCATTTTCTTGTATAACTCTGCGAACAACTACTTAGGTGAGTTGCCCGTCCCCAATATTTGATATCTATACCTGAATGACAATACTAACGCGAACCAGTGGATACGTACCAACATCAAGCTGCTTCCGCCCTTGCAGCCAAAACCTTCCTTCGCTCCATGTGGGGTGCGTCTACGGTTCTATTCACTGAGCAGATGTACGAAAGATTGGGATACCAATGGGCCAGCTCGTTGCTTGCGTTCATTGCGCTGGCTTGCTGTGCGATTCCCTTCGTTTTCTACTTCAAGGGTGAATCGATCCGCCGCTTCTCGAAGTTCGCGTTCAGTGATGACGAGGAGAAGGGGGGGAAGGCTTAGAATTGAATGAAGTATGAAGGGGCAAATCTTGGATGTATTGCTTGTTTTGTTGGATTTGCGGAATGTTAGATTTGCTTTTCTAGATAATAGATGCTATTTAATGTACATTAATCGAGTTAGTATGATACCATGAGAATTTACATAGGTTGCTCATTTGAGATGTCTGTATCAACTCTTGGTTAGTATGTTGTCCCTGTTGGTAGGCCCTATCAACGTAAAGACAAGGCAGATCCTCGCAATGCACCATTCAGCCCATCAAAACTGTGACCAACCGAGCTCCTCGGCTCCATCGCTAGCTACTAACGCTTAGTTTGGCGTGGTTTGGGGGCGGAATGGCCCGAGTTGAGTCCACTCGGTGGCAGCGGCCATGACTCCGCCGCCTCTCTCCCTCCCTTTAGACCCGCTTTTCATCATTATTCGTGCTAACGCCAGGATCAGGTTGCCTGTCTTTTCCTGACAGCCGAACACACTAACGGTGATGGTTGCTTGGACGGGCCGTTTCCTTGCCTTGCGCTTATGTCGATCAATAGTCGACTCAAGTGTCAACCCACTGTCGGCCTGTGCCTCGCGCGAGGGGCGTCTTCAATTATCCTCCTTTTCCATCGACCCCCCCCTGTTTGATTTGGTTTTGTCTTCTTCAGGCGCGAGTTCGATGACATCGTGGTTCGTTGATATTCGTTTCTTCAGCGGTCACTACGGGTGAAAGAGCTTGACAGTCCCCAGTCGAGATGGCTCCTCCTATGGTGACTACCGTGCGAGCAGTCGTTGCGACGGTGGCGGTTCTCACTTTGCTCGTTTGCAGCATGAGGGTATGATTATTCTGGGTTTGATTGATTCTGGCAGCTCAAATGTAGAGATGCTGACAATAGCTCATCTAGCTGTACCTGCGCAAATTTATCACCCGTGCGTTCGGACTTGATGACTGCCTTGTTATCTTGGCTATGGTAAGTGGCTTCAGGGCTGACTTTATTCAATGGGATCTAATATAGCGTCATAGATCTGTGTCCTGCTGTTTGCTGCCCTCTCAATCTATCTCACGTTCTTCGGCATCGGACGGCACATGGATACGGTGCCCGTGGAGCAACTCCCCACGATGCAATATGTAGGACAAGCTCGCTTAATCTTACAATACTTCTGAGCTGACTTTCTTCCTATTTAGGCGATCTATATCTCCCTCTGCACCTACCTTTTCGTCGCATCAGCCGTCAAAATCAGCCTACTCGTCTTCATCATGCGTGCATTCCCGACCAAACTCATCCGCTGGCTCGGCCTCAGTATCATCGGGTTTTTAGTCCTATTGACGATTTCAGGCGAGCTGCCGTTGATTCTGCAGTGCTCTCCCGTTCGTGCAGCATACGACAAGACGGTTCCAAATTATAAGTGTTTTTCCTCCGACACGCTGTTCGATATTGAAATGTACCAAGGCGTCCTCATGTTCGCCGTGGATCTTGCCATCTTCGCGCTTCCGATCCCAACTATTTGGAAGCTTCAAATGCCCCTGCAACGACGGTTGACTATTATTGGGTTGTTTGGTCTGGGTGAGTAGTGGGTTGCTCTATCTGATAAGAGTAAATGGATTAATGAATCGCATCTAGGTCTCGTCGCATGCGCTGCTGGTCTCGCACGTCTGCCAACCCTCGTATACCAGAAAGACGACACTGACTTTACCTGTATGTTTCCAACCCTTCTTCAATCTGCATACCTCCTAATGCAAACCTCCCCTCAGATTCCGGCGCCACTCCCCTGATCTGGATGAATGTCGAATTCGGACTGGCACTGATCACAGGCTCCCTACCATCCTTGCGCATTTTACTGAGAAAGATCCCGGGATTCAGTTCCTCACATAAAAGCGAGAGTAAAGAGCTCACGGGGGGCAACGCGAATGGACACTCTGGGTTCCAGCTTCGCGACCAGAAACGATGGACATCGAAGATAATCGGGAAGGGGCGAGACGATGTGGAGAGTCTGGCGAGCGAGAGTCAGGAGAGAATATTCAAGAACTAGCAGCTGTCACGCTGTGTACTTCATAGTGGGAATAAGACTTACTCAAGAACCAACGCCGTAATCATTATTTGCCGGCTATTTTACATTCTCCGCAAACTCCGTCGGTCCAATGTCCATGGCCTGACTCCTGAGTCCTGAGCAAGCGGAGTCTGGCCGAAGAATTCCGATTTCCTGCGGAATCGAAATGAATCAACCAGTCGGATCCACTTCGATACAGGCAGTTAGTTAGCTTCGCCGCTCGTTGGGGGCCAACTTGAAATCCGTGCCGAGCCGGTGGCAGCCAAGAGGAGCGAAGGAATTGTGTCAGACGAAAGTGGAGACAGGTGGATTTCGTCCTCATGAATTCCGTTGCAGACTTGCTGACAAGCACAGGCAAACGGTGCTATCCAGCCTACTCCTAATTTACTGCTAATTAGACTAGCCCTTGTCCTGTTATGCCAAGGCGAAGATGACCTCAACCCCTGCTCATTCTTCCCTCCCATGCATCCCACGGACTTCTTCAATCGCTTGTTCTCACCTCACTGTACTCGCTGCCCGCACCCATCACTTCCATAATGCCTGAATCAAACACACCTCCGCGCAAAACCGTCCTCATTACAGGCTGCAGCAATGGTGGCATCGGCTCGGCGCTAGTCGAAACGTTCCACGAGCGCGGCCTCCACGTCTTCGCGACCGCACGCACCCTCTCGAAGATGTCGCAGATCGAAAAGCTCCCCAATGTGACTCTCCTACAGCTTGACGTCTTGTCGCAATCCAGTATCGACGCGGCCGTTGAAGCCGTCACTGCCCAAACCGGCGGCAAACTCGACTACCTGATCAACAACTCCGGACAGTCCTGCATTCAACCCGCGTTAGAGACTTCCATTGAGCGCGCCAGGGAGATCCACGATGTCAACTTCTGGGGCACTGTCCGCGTCACGCACGCCTTCTCGCCGTTGGTTATCGCGTCCAAAGGAACCATCGCCAATGTCTGCTCTATTGCGGCGGTGTTGCATGTTGCTTGGGGTGGTGGGTTCTAGTTTCTTTTCTTCCGTCGACCTTCCCGCAAGATCCATTCCTCCCGCGCATCCAATTCCCCACCCTGATAGATCCTGCTGTCTCTAACTATGTGTTCGCAGCATTCTACAACTCCTCCAAAGCCGCCGTCCGCTCATACAGCGAAACACTTCGCGTCGAGCTGGCCCCTCTCGGTGTAAAAGTGATCACCGTGATGGCCGGCGTTGTCGGCACGAACATCTTTGAGAACCACCCCGAAGCAAATCTCTCCGACTCCTCGCCATGGAAACCTGCAGAGGACGTGATCCAAGGTCAGGCAGCCGGGTCAATGACCGAAGGAGCTATGCCGCGGTCGGTGTTTGCGCGCCACGTCGCGGACAGTGTACTTGGCGGCGCGACAGGGATGACTTGGGTGGGGAAGATGGCCTCATTCGCGTACTGGATTTCGGGATTCTTGCCGATTTGGATGCTGGTAAGTTAACTATTTGGCTCTTCATGTGGTTGAGTTAGGGGGTGCTAACTGGGTCGCGTCATACAGGATCGTATCATAATCTATTCGGGTGGGCTGGATCGGTGTTAAGTGTTTCGCTAGGTGGCTTCTGCGCTTGATGAGCTATGATATTAAACAGGTGGGTTGTCTAGATAAAGTAATGGACGAGATAAGGCGGCGCATGTATTGACTCCCATCAATTCATCGTTTCAAGCACTCCGTACTCTTGTCGATCACGCAGCCGGAGGGAAGTCCACAGGCTGTCAACCGGTGGACTCAATTTCCATATACATACATATGGCCTTTCGTCGATCGGGATGCTGATTCCGTCTGACCGCCCACAGGCTGGAAGATCAGGTGCTTGAATGCGAGTCACAATTCGTCACTGTAAACTGTAAAATCTCTTCCTCTCCTAGAAACCGCCACAAATCAACCGCACTACAGGAAATCTTGATTTGATCTACTTCTTCTTCAACCTGTCAAGATGGCTTCCCGGACCTCAGCGTCGGCACGTCAACCTCTCGGCATGGTCGAGCATTACCTCGACTCTGTCAATTCCGAGAGCACTATTAGCGATAGGTGTTCTCATTCTCAATGATTCGAAGAGAATTCGTAAAGATGATGAAGATCCATCGCCCAGGAAGCGAAGAAAGCAGGTCAAGGCGACCAGACAAGTTCTTCAGGCCTCCATATTGAGCGACTTGGTTAGACATAGTATATGGAAGGCTCTCTTTGGGACGTGCTCGCCGGGGATGAAGTGTCTGTATAGGACAAAGCACTCCTCACATCTATAACAAAGCACTAGTCCTAGTTTGGTAAGCCCGCCCCGCGAATCACGTGTCACTGAGCCTGGGTGAGTCAGCAGCCGATCGCAATGACTTCAGCAGCCGACAGCCGCTTGTCCCTGTCAAGCCTCGAAAAGCGAGATCTGCCGACATTTGTCCATCCGATCCCCGCTGCATCCCACTCTGCTCCTGCCGAAGCAATGTGCATGCTGCTGCTTACCACATGAGGTAGCCGAATCCTATTCGAATCGCTTCATTCTCGTTCTGCTTCGCTGTCTATGACCTCAACTACACACATGAGCCGGAGCACCATTCGCGCGGAAAAACTTCGGCACTGATATTATCCCCCTCGAATCGAACTCGATCCAATTTCTCCCAATGGCTTCTCCTTATCAATCGTCCATGTCGTTCTCGCCGTCGGTACCCGGCGCCGACATGACGGCTCGCGGTGCCGCGGGTGCAGGTTCCTCACGACCCATCTCCGAACTGCCGCAATCCCAAGTCGACGCGATCATCCGCACCAAACGAAAGGCCCGGGAGCCCAAGGCCTGTTACCCCTGTCACGCGCGAAAGGTCAAGTGCGATCGCAATCTTCCCTGCGATGGATGCGTTAAGCGAGACCACGCCGATATCTGCTCCTACGAACGCCCCTCCAAGAAACGAATCATGACGGGCTCCTCGGTCCCGCCGCCCGCCGCCACGACGTACAGCGATAGTCCCGTCGGAGGCACGACGCCTGGCGGAGTCCCGGAGCATATGGCAATGCCGCCCCAGCCTGACGGTGGCGTTCGTCTGAAACAGGAGCCTGGCACGACGCGACCCGTGCCTTCCGTGCCGTTGCCGTTGGGGCCCAGTGGTCGCGTGTCGGTGGCGCGCGAGGAGTGGGATAATGTGCGCGCCCGGTTGAAGGAGATGGAGCAGACGATCAGCAATCTTCGTGTGGGCCTGGAACGGGCGGAGGAGGGACAGGCGTCCAGCCTGGAGACTGGCAGCGTGCAAAGCGGGGATGCAAGTACCCGATCCAAGGCCGCTTCCCCGGAGCGAGAGGGGATCCATGCGGCCAATACCTTGGGCGAGGGCACCGTTCATCTGGGATCGAGGTCCGTTCTTGCATATATCCTGAACAACAAGTCGGGGTCCGACCAGTTACAGGCACTTCTGGAAGGCGGCATCTTGCCAAAACTGGGTCTTGACAATGAGTCGGCAACTTATCCGTTTGTTGATCTGTGGTCATCGGATATGTCAACTTTCGACATCAGTGCCGTTTGTAGTGCGCTGCCAGGTGACCAACAATGCAAAGAGTTAGTCTTCCTAAGGCTGAGTTTAGGGTTTGTATGGTAAGCTGACGTCCTGCCAGGTTCTTTTACTTTTACCGAGATATCGCCGGTGCTATTTATCCCGTGATCGAGGACACGGCTCTTTTCGAAATGAACCTCAGTCTCATGCTACAAAACCGCGCGTCAATTGGTGGGACGTACAGGGCCGATGATGATCAAGCACAGAAGCCGTTTGGTGTTTCGATTGCGTTCCTTGGCTTGTTGTTCGCCGTGTTGGCGTCCGGTTGTCAATCTTCTGATCTGCCCGGCAAGGAGAGAGAGTTGACTTCGCAAGTTTATGGTGAGGCATTTCTGATGCTGCGATTGATATTTTACTGACCAGACTAGTCTGCTGCTCCTATCAGTGTCTTCGAATGACGAACTTTTTGTCCCAGCCCACCATAGAAGCCATTCAGACACTGCTAGTTATTGGGAATGTGCTGTCTTATAATATGAACCCTGGAATTTCATATGTCCTGCTTGGTATGTACAATCTCCCTTATCCGTGACGGGGACTAATGAGAATAGGGATGACTCTTCGCATGGGGTTGGCTCTCGGTCTTCATGTCGAAACCAGTCGCTTCTCGCCGGTAGAGCGATACCGTAGACGACATGTTTGGTATGCACACGTTTTAAAAAACATAGTAAGACCGAACTAACGGATGTAGGTGGTCCATGGCTTGGCAGGACAGCCATTTTTCATTATCTTATGACCGACCGTCCACGACCGCCGTCAGTCAACCGGACATCGCCTCTCGTGGAGACTCGCGACCAGGGGATCTCTGCTATTTCGAAACCCTCTGCCGGATTATCGCCCTCGCTCTAGAAGTTGTCCGCGGCCGGATGCTAAACTCGCATTCTCAGATGAGCTTTAAAACGATTCAAACATACAAAGAACGGATACAACAAATCATGGTCGAAGCAAAGCCCTACCTACGGGATCCCAAATACTGCGTTACGCCGACGGAACATCTCGAACGCGTCGTCCTCAAGCTGCATTCCTCCTACTTCTCCTCCGAGCTCTGCCGGCCAGCGCTCAAATCCACCGCCGATGCTCACGATCCGGCCAGTTCCAGCATGCGCTCCGACTGCGTCGTCAATTTGATGACGACGGTCGAAGCCTACATTGAGATGCACTCCGTCAGCTCGCACGCGTCACGCTCCTGGATTGCGCTGCAACGCGCCATCAGCTCGATCTTCCTTCTGGCTGTCACTGAAGAGTCCAAAACTAACCCGCGCTTCTGGTCTCTTCTGCAACAAATCAAGATGATCATCGCCGAGCGCGCCAATACAGAATGCACATACGAATCGGTAGATCCCACCAACCCAACATCTGATCGCACTGCGTCGGCCTTTGGCACCACCGTTCCTGCCACCGCAACGATGGCCAGCGCTGGCACCAGTCCTGCCGCCTTCTCCGCCTCTCCTGCTTCGGCTGCTATCCCCGTCGACACGCAAACGCAATGGGCCAAACCGTTGACCAAGACTCTGCGGGCCTTGGAAAAACTCGAAGCGGCATTCAGTTCGCAGACTCATGGCCCCGCCAGTCACGGATCACCAGCATACCTCAACCCTGGCCCAGGCTCTATGAGCTCTCTCATTCCTCCTGTGTCGGCGATGACGCCTAGCGTCGGATCCCTGCCGCCTCCGACACCTGAGAGCTCGACCAGTGGCGAATGGTCCATTCCTAACATCTTGGACCGAGCGGCTGAATATATTCATCCACCTTTGTGGAGTTAGCATGGGACAGGTTTGGCATGGCGCTCTGGATGGATGGATGGCGTGGTATTTTTCGATTTATTCTCCGTTCTAATGACTTCTATGGTTGGGTTGGTTGGGTCGGTCTGGTCTGGTCATGGCAGGTACCGGGCACTTTTGGGAGTATAGTATATATATCATTTGGTTCTTGAATATTAGTAGGTTTTGCATCTGCATTATATTCTAATCTATATTATAGCTCAGAGCAACCCGACACGGTTCTAAAAATTATGTTAACGCTGCCGCACCGTGGTAAGAGAGATTATACAAAGAATAACTGCTGGCAGTTGAGGCACTTGGTATTTCTGTATGAACGCTTTTCCTATACAATACTTCGATATTCTGGGCATTTATTGCTTTTGAATGATTTCATCATTGGCAGATTGGGGGTGTATAGGTGTTTTGAATGCCTGAGGTTGCGACCTGCCAAGGAGGATCTTGTCTTCCTCATTGATCATCTCCAGGGTCGTCTTATCCAGTAGAAACGGTTGAATGCTTTCATTTAATCATCCTCGACAGTCATCTATCTCGCAGAACTCATGCACCCTTCAATAAAATAGAATATTGTAAAGGCAACCCTCAATGCAATCTCCATCCGAGCCCTCGGGATGTGGACATTTCCTCCCGACTCTAGGTACTCCCATCATATAAAGTCTTGTCCAGACCAACCCTCCGGTCTAGCGAACCTCAGATATTTTCGCAATCTATAAATATCATAACTTACAATTGACCCCATACCCCACCAAACCACCTAAACAACGGACAATCCCCACCATGACATCCCCCGACTACAGCCACCATTTCTCCATCCACAACCTTCCCTACGGCGTTGCTTCCTCCTCCACCCATCCCACCCCCCAATGCACAACGCGCCTTAAGAACACCGTTATCTTCCTCGGCGATCTCCAGCGCGACGGCTTCTTCTCCGCCATCCCTGATCTACTAGCCTTTGTTTTCGAGGAAGCGACATTGAACCGATACGCTGCGCTGCCGAAACGCGTGCATCACCATGTTCGAGAGACCCTGCAGTCCGTGCTAGCCTCGAAGGGAGTCGAAGGTTTGCCAGAGAGAAGTAGGGAGGATGTCGAGACCGTGAAGATGCATTTACCTATCGAGATTCCGAATTTCACAGGTATCCTATACCTTTTCCTCTATTCTGACTCTGGCTGGCTGGCTGCCCATCTTCCCTGTTTTCCCTGACCCAACTCCAAAGCAATAATGCGAGAAACTAACAACGACCGGAACAGACTTCTCCTGCAGTCTCAACCACGTCCAAAACGCCGGCCGCGCCATCCTCAACAACCCCACGCCCCCGCCGGGCTTCTTCCACTTCCCGATCGGCTATACCGGACGGGCCAGCAGCGTCGTGGTCTCAGGGACGCGGATCGCGAGACCCAAGGGACACATTCGAGACCGAACCAAGTCCCAACCAAACCCTGAAGCTTCCAATGGGGAATCAGAAAGAGAGAAACCCAACGACGACGTCATTTATGGCCCCTCAAGAGCACTAGACTATGAGCTTGAATTAGGGTTCGTGGTAGGTGCCCCGGTAGACGTGCATCAGGGCTTAGAGGCCAAAGATGCAGAAGAGTATCTGTTTGGGGTGGTGGTGGTGAATGATTGGAGTGGTATGTCTTGTCTTTTTTTTCGGAACCTCAACTCGGTATCACCTCTGACACCATGGCCTTAATACTACTAATAGCTCGAGACATCCAATCCCTCGAAATGGTGCCCCTCGGTCCCTTGAATGGAAAATCTTTCAACACCACCATCTCCCCGTGGATCGTGACGCTTGAAGCCCTGGCCCCGTTTCGCGCTGTCGGTCCTTCGCCTCGCGCGGAACTACCGCCGCATCTTCAGGATGCCGGGGCGTTCGGATACGATATTAGATTGAAGGTTGAGTTGGTGCATTCTGCTTCTTCGGCGGTTGGAAACGGGTTTGCCTCTACGTCTACGTCTGCGTCTGCGTCTACGAACGGGAACAGAAATGGAAAGGGGAGGGAGGAAGCCACGACGCATCTCAGTACCTCGAATGCCAAAGACTTATTCTGGTCCCCCAGACAGATGCTGGCGCATATGGCGAGTTCTGGGTGTGGAGTGAGGACCGGGGAGCTGTTGGGTACCGGGACGGTGAGCGGAACACAGGAAGGGGAGTATGGGTGTTTGTTGGAGATAACGGGGGGTGGGAAGAGCGCTGTTAGGTTGAACTCGGCCAGTGGGGCTGGTGATGGGGAAGGAGAGGAGAGGATGTTCTTGAAGGATGGAGACGTGGTGAGGATGGTTGGGTGGGCTGGCGAGGGGGTTGGGTTTGGGGAGTGTACTGGTGAGATTGTTTCTTCTGTTAATTAAGCGGTGCGGAGGGATGAAGATGATCATAGCGATTCTCTACAATAAGTTTCGTCCGCGAGGTAGGAGTTGGTCGCCCTTTCATATAGTTTCAAAACTGCTCGAAAAGGAAAGAAACAAACACCAAACTAGCAGCTATAGAGCCCACAAGCTTATTACCTAGAGACGTTCTACAAGGCAGGGGGTTGCCGAGAAGGGTCAAAGAATTGATTTCAAATATTCAACTAGATGAGTTGGTCAAGGTGATGGCTGATGAGGAGGAACAGGCTCTCCTTGGCAGATTGCAACCCGAGGCATTCGGAACACCTACATAACTCGTATCGATGGTTTGCCTTCTACAATATTCCATTTGATTGAAAGTGGGTTCATACCGCGCATGAACATGCTTAGGCTATTTGGTCATGTCATCGTCATCAATATCAGACCCCAAGTCGGATGATCTGCATCCGACAAACCAGACAGGCATTCTATATATAGCAGATTTTATACCATCCCCCGCGCACAATGTTCCATATTTTGGGTCGAATGCACAGGACAGAAACCCGGATTTGACAACCCAACTACGTCATGGTTTTGGCACTGGCACCCGCAGCCCTGCAGGCTTAAAGGGCTGATAGGCGTCGTTGACTCCCCGGACGTCGGGGCCTGAGACACCGGCGAGGCCAAGGACATCCCTGTCGCCTGCGCTTGTGGGATCAGAACCAGGGCCTTGGTTCTGGAGGCTCCGGAACCCAGCGTTTGCATGATCTGCGGGAGCGACGATTCTATCCATAATTAGACCCGCCGATGGTAAGAAGATCAGGCAAGGGTTATACAGACAACTCACCCGTAGCGACATAATATAATGCAGACGACGGATACTGGGTCTGATCCCAAGATTCCGAAGTGAACGGAACGTTCAGCTCGGCCACCGAATAATTGCTGAGTGCCGACGGCGACGACGACGACGACAGGTCCGGCCCGAAAAAATTAACCCCGGCCTCATAAAAACTATTCGTTATGGAGGGAGGCGACGAGTTGGCCGATTCGCTCTCCTTGGAGGTTTCGTACATGGACGACGGGGTCAAGGGTTGTGAGCAGATGACGGGTATAGCTCCCATGGAGCTGCTGCAGGTAGGACAGACGCCCGGGGGCGCGGGATAGTATGGATCGAAGTGGGCTGCGTTTTCTGAAGCCGGCGAAAGTGTCTTGCTCTCAACTTCAAACGGAGCGACAGGCTCCATTGATGAAGGACCCGGGTTTGGATATCCCCAGCCGTTGAGACTCGCGGCGGCCCTGAGTTCGCTGGCGATAACACGCTCTTGTAGTTTGGCGATGCGGTCGCGGATTTTGCGGCCTAAAGCAAACATCAAAATTCAGACCATGAACCGAGAGATAGTCTATTAACTTACGATGGTTTCGCTGTGAAAGCCGGTTCTGAAGTCTTCTTCTCTCGACGGGGTCTTGTTTTTGACCCGTCGAGTCGTTGGCTCGCTCGTCTTTTACCGAGTGGTTTCTCATTTTCGAAACGGCAGTTGACAGATTTTCTTGGTTCTCTTGTAGTGTCTTTGGTCGAGAGATGTTTGCTCCTTGGAATGAGAGATAATGAAAACCAATGACCTTTTCACCTCGAAAGACGCTTGTCAAATAGGTACGTCAGGGGCAGTGAAGAGTGGCGCTAGACTCAATGAATATTTCCACTCAGCAGCCTGACCCAACAATTGCCAGAGCTTTTTATAAAAGATCCGACACACGGTGGCTTATCTGATTCAAAGGTAGGATGCGCGCTGAACCCTGCACCGCGGTTACCATTCGCTCGTCAGCCGAATAGCCACCGAGTTTACAAGGTTGCGCAGCAGATGCTACCGCATCTCAAGGCAGACCTGATCGAGAAAGGATAGTCGGTATACGAACGGTATTGGAATACCCACGGACCTGGAACTTGCTCGGCTTGTACTATCTCCCTCCGCCGAGGTACTTCGACACGGTATCGACGTCCAAGGACAACTGCTTCTGTGCTCCGTGACCCCCGAAAGCCACGCGGTCCTGTAGTATCATTCTGGAGTACAGTTCGGTCCTCGAGTCTCCCCAAGTAGAGGTCGCACAGTCGACCCGTATGAGTGGCTCCTGAGGCTTAGATGGGCGATTGGAAAATCAAGCACAGACCTAGCGGCGGATCATTGTTTGAGCGATTCGCGATATTCCTGTCGGCTGGACAGTAGACACCCATGTAGGTATGTCGATCAAACACCCTGCAATGAAGGACCCTAGGCTAGGTAGGTCTGTTTGATCGGGGCTCTCGAACAAGCCCAACCAACCGCGGAGCGATGACCAGACAGCATTACTTTCTTTCCTCCCCGGCATGCAGGGATCAAAATTCGGAGCGTTGCTTTGGCGCGACCGTGCCGCCCAAGGGTCATCCGAGAAGTGAGGTTTGTGCATAACAGAAAAGCAATTTATGATAGTAGGTCAGGTATCGGGTGTCCACTAATTCCGTTCGGGGGAATCTCTCGCTTTGGAAGTCCTTGCACAAAGCTAGCTGAAAGCCATTCTTTTGCCTCCGACCCTCATTATCCGGGTCTTCCGTCTCCGAGCACCCAAATATAGGCCAAATTGGGAATGTCCGTCTGCCATGGACCAGGATGGAACAGGATAGCTTCAATGACATGCCAAAGGCAAGACAGTCGTTGATCTGATTGGCACCGGCGATAAACCTAGATGGATGAATGCTGCCATTACCCGCAGGCAATTTGTCAGGTTAATTCCAAAATGACAGAAGTGGCACTCCAAAGCGCGCACTGTCGGCCTCATTTACTTGAGCAAGCAGGAAGCTCGACCAATCCGGCTGCGGCAGGAATGGGATGCCGGTTTGGCGCGCTCCAATGGCAACAGACAGAGCGGAATTATTTTCTGGCTGCCTGTTTGCAATCTGTCCGTGGGGGCCGCAGGGTTAGAATTGGCACGCACAAACACGTCACGAGTAGGAAAAGCTCTGACCAAAGGTTTCAGCTAATGGATGACCCGCCCTCAGCGATCCGATGTGGCCCAGGGTTGGGATGGCAACTGGCCAGTCAGCCACCGCCAAGAGAGTGAAGCTGATGATAGATTCGGCGCGTACCGGGGGTGTGTCGCGTTGATGAATCGAGCCCAGCCTTTGTACGACCTATTGAACGATGGAAACTGCAGCTGGCGAGGATGGAGGATAGAGGGAGTGGGAAAGAACAAAGGAGGATGTATGCCTGTGGGCGGGGACCCCGTGACCAGCTAGCCCTGGGATTGGAAGCCAGACTCGTTGGAAAGACACAGAGAGGAATCGGGATTTGATTCAACTAGGCGGCAACGTCCTTCCTAGGGTAGCTAACTAGGTATTAGCTACGGAGTACTCTTACCAGAGTGTTCTCACCATTGGTTGTTGTCTGCCCCAGCGTTTTCTAGACCCTACTAACGCTTACGGCTCACCGTCCTTTTGGTGGTCAATTAAGGCAATTAATATCGCCAGACACTACGTCCTATACACATTGACTTCGTATGGCTTGAATGACAGATATTCTGCTCAAATTGAACGTTGGCATCAGGCAGCCAAATTCGGTGGATCAATGCGTGGTGCTTATAGCCCTAACTTCCTCGCCGTGAGAACAACACCTTCGACTGAAACCTACGAAGCATTCTGTAGAAATCAAATGTCTTTTTTTATTATCAAACGAGAACTAAGTTAGGGAAGTTCATCAAGCACTATCCTAGCCTTCCCACCTCTACGGTGCCCAATCCAAGCCCGCCATGCAGGCCATCCTCGACTCGGTGCTAAATCCACTTCCCTACCATCTGCTTTGTTATGGATCTCTCCTCGGCACGGAGATCTACCAGGTATCTAAACTCCTATTGCTGCGATCTCTTATCCGACCGAAACTTACCAAGGTCGATCGCTAGAGCTTCGTCAACACCAAGATTTGCTACCAAGCGCTGCCTATGCGCCAGTTCATCGTGCTCCAGAACCGCGTGTTTCCCACCTACTTCCGTTGCCAGGTGGGCTTGGTCTTGTTGACGGCCGTGACACGCCCCCCGTATAGCCTTGGCTCTTTTGAACAGCACCCATTGGATTCAATTCCATTGGCGATTATGCTGTTTACGGGCCTGTTGAATTGGTTTGTTTATGGTCCTCGAACGTCCAAGACTGCTGTTGTCCGAAGGTCCCTGCAAGGTAGGCTGCTTAGCGATTGAAAACCTGGCTGGCTTTGTTTGTATATTTATGTTAATGCTCACTCTGTTTTTGTTTACTAACTTTTGTCTCTCGGCTGCATTCCACTCCTTTCCAATCGCAGTTGTCCTGTTGTTGTCCATGAATCATGCTCAAAACCGTGCCTAACCTGTTGCCTCATCGCAGAACAAGCGAAAGACGAAAACAATACCCACCCTACAGATCCAGACAAGCTGTACCAGGTAAATCACAGGTTCTCGCGTAACCATGCCATGTCGATTCATCTGAATGCTATTGCGCTGGTTGCATCAATCTGGTACGCCTTTTCTCTCAGTTCCAGCATCACTAAGGGTCTGTAAATACCATGTGGACGGACGGATTTATTGGAAATACCTGGACTGTATGAGTATACTGCGGTTCATTTTATTTCTCCCTTGCTTTGACTCGCTCTCTACTCTGCAAATGAGCAATGTTTGCCATCTCTTAAACCTAGTTTCCTATTGGTGCCTGTCTCCTTCGACCGGGGAGTGCAGGTTGACATGGATATTGGGTGCATATATTCACTTCTCTATGTACTGTACATATTGGTGTTTCGTCGAGGTCTTCGAAGACTGAATGCATTTGAATTGTTCCCTATGATGCGTCTGCATTGTAGTTCTCATCTCTTTTCGATTGAGTTCGCAGGTATGCATAATAGTATTGTGTTCACTTTCTGGGCAATTTCTGTCCATGATGTTTGCTGTTTCATATCTAGTTTTTTGATAGACCACCCGGACGGTAGAGTAATTTGTTATTCCAAACTTAGAATAATCGATTGTCTTTGGATACACTGGTTCGTATACTTTCCATGTTGAATGTCTTTCCTAAATTGCAGATCCGTGAAGGTAGGCCTGTCATTCTTCGAATTATCTTTTTCTACTTGCGTTTCTACTCAGATCCTTACGAGCGAGAGACAGGAGACTCATTCATTCCTTTGTTTCCATTAAGAAATATGTGCGCGATAGATAATGCATCGCAGCTACGAGAAGCATACTACACACCTTACCATTCGGAGCCCAAGTGACCCAACTGTCACCGAATCACCTTCAATGACCTACGAGGGTTAAGCAGAGCAACGTCCAAAACAGTGTCGCATTGATCCCTCGTGAGCATTCTTTCGGCCATAAAATCAGCCAGAACCCACGAGTTAGTCTCGGAAAATGTACGTTGAGTGATTTTCTGGCTGCAATCGTCCGGCCGCCTTTAACGGTCGGAGATAACAAGTAGGTGGCTGTCATCAACACCATCACGGAAATAACAATTCGATGATGATTCCGTCTACAAAAGGGGCCTCTGATCCGGCACTGCAGTGTCATAATTATCATTGACCTTCTACAATTGTCTATTCCTTGTTCGCACTACAATAAATCATACGATGCCTCGCGTTTGGTTCATAACCGGCAGCTCTCGCGGCCTGGGACGCTGTATAGCCGAGGCAGCACTGGAATGCGGGGACGCCATCATCGCCACTGCTCGCAGCCCTGAGCAGCTCGCCGATCTGACAGAAAGATACGGTGACGAGAGAGTCCTCACTCTGCCCCTCGATGTGACCGACAACGAGAAAGTCATCCAAGCCGTCCATGCCGGACACCTGAAGTTCGGCCGCATCGACATCGTCATCAACAATGCCGGATACGCCAACACCGCCGCAGTTGAGGACATGAGTATCCTCGACTTCTGCGCACAGGTCGACGCCAACTTCTTCGGGGTCGTGTACGTTTCCAAGGCGGTGTTGCCGATCCTCCGCCTACAAGGGTCGGGGCATATCTTCCAAGTCTCCTCTCTGGGCGGACGCATCGGAGCTCCCGGGCTCTCGGCCTACCAGTCTGCTAAATGGGCCGTGGGCGGATTTTCTACCGTCCTGGCTCAGGAGCTTGCGCCGTTCGGGGTCAAAGTCACCGTTCTTGAACCGGGTGGCATCAGGACTGACTGGGCGGGATCGTCCATGACGATCCCTCAGGTCAGCGAACCATACCAGGCGACCGTGGGCACGTTTGCGGAGTATCTTCGCAAGTCATCGGGTAGCGAGCCCTCGTTGCCCGGTCGGATTGCAGATATCATTGTGAAAATTGCCGCGCAGGAGGAGCCTCCGTTGCGTCTGTTGGTTGGTCCTGATGCGGTGGAATATGCTGGCCAAGCAGCGGAGGCTCTAGCAGCGTCAGATGAGAAGTGGAGGGATGTGAGTCTTGCGTCGGTTTGAATAATCGAGGTAGATGGCGCTCAAGGGAAATAACGCCTTAATAGCAAGGACGCGGACCCCTTCCAGCGCGGCATAGACATTTACCAAAGTAAGGTGGATCGTCAACCTCAAGACAAAGACGACAAGTTACAGGCTGTTGAGGAATGGCATAAACATCGACTTAGACCGATAATAGAGATGAAGTTATTATTCTTGCAAGAGTGTTGTACATTACAGAAAAGTAAACAAGCGGAGGCGGAGACGCGCACGGACCTCAGCGACGCGGGCCATTATTTTGCCAACGGAAGAAAGTCGAAGTCGATCTGATCTTCTCTCCTTCACCACGCCTCGTCCCCTCCTTGCGCCTCGGACGTCTTCCCCGCGGAGCTTCTTTTCAGTCGTGGCTCCTGACTGCATCTTCTGAGATCCTCATTTATAGCCCATCCCTCCTGCACATGCCGTCGGAGGGGAGTCGCTCGTTTGTTTATTCCGCATCCACCTCCGTCGCCCCTCCCTCATGCCTCTGCCAACCCGTGGCTGCCAATATCCACTGAATCCAATTCCCTCGTTCTCCTTGACTCCCACACGCACTTGAGCAAACATGGACGGTTTTCTGCGCAACTGGCGGCAGGACGCATTAAACCGCGGCCAGTTCGACTCGGCCGTCTACATTGGCGACAAAGTCTTCGCCTTGACCAGTGAGGCTGCTCCCCGCGGCTCGTTTCCCTCCCATGCCGATTCTGACGATGTAAACTGGAAAGACAGCGACTCGGACGCTTTCTGGCTCGCCCAGGTCCATTTTTCAAATACTAATTATACCCGTGCCTTGGCCCTCCTGACCCGGAAAGACCTGATCTCGCGCAGTGCCGCGTGCCGATACCTGGCCGCTCATTGCTACATCAAACAGAATCACTTCGAACAAGCGCTCTCGGTGCTCGGCGATCATAATCCGACTCATCTCTTCCGCAGTAAAAACAGCCGTCGGAAAATACAACATGTCAACGGGCCAAATCGGATCGCCCTGCGAAATGGGAAGAATGCGGCGACGTCGCGCCTTGACCCGGGCGAGGACCGAGAACGGGATGAATACAATAACGTTCGGTTTGAGGCGGCCATGTGTTATCTGCGAGGGTTGTGCTTTGCGAAGCAGAATGCCTTTGACCGCGCACGCGACTGCTACAAAGATGCCGTGCGCATCGACGTGCAATGCTTCGAGGCCTTTGACCAGCTGATGAAAAACTCGCTCATGTCGCCGGCGGAGGAGCTGGAGTTTTTGGAATCGTTGGACTTCGACTCCGTGGGCTGTCCGGACGCGTCCATTGCGCAGGAGGCGGCTCATTTCACCAAGATGCTGTACACGACTCGGTTGTCGAAATACTCGTCCCCCTCGATCCTCTCCGACGCGACGGAAACTCTGTCGACACATTACAAGCTTGCCGACAATCCTGACATCCTTCTTTCGCGCGCCGAAGCCCTCTACACGCAATGCCGCTTTGCAGAGGCTCTGGAGCTTACTTCGTCGATCTTGTCCAACTCGGAATCTTCCACGGCTCTGACCACGGCCACCGCTCCCCACCTATCCGCGCAGAATCACTTGGGACACGCACCGGCGGTGTATCCTTTGCATTTGGCGTGTCTCTACGAAACCGGTGCTACAAACTCACTTTTTCTCCTATCGCATACGCTGGCCGACCACGCTCCGGAGGAGTCTTATACCTACCTCGCCATTGGGGTCTACTATCTGTCCGTCTCTAAAGTTGCCGAAGCACGGCGATTTTTCTCGAAAGCGTCGTTGTTGGATCCACACTCGGCACCGGCCTGGATCGGGTTTGCTCACACCTTTGCCGCTGAAGGGGAGCATGATCAGGCCATCGCTGCTTACAGCACGGCGGCTAGACTCTTCCAGGGCAGTCATCTACCGCAGCTCTTCCTTGGCATGCAGCATTTAGCCTTGAACAACATGTCGTTGGCCCACGAATACCTATGTGCCGCTTACGCAATGTCGACCGGGGCTCCGTCCGGCTCCGTCACCTCGATCACTGCGCTCCCGTCATCCACTGAAGGGCACTCCTTGGGCGGCGATCCTCTGGTTCTCAACGAATTGGGCGTTGTACTATACCACCAGAACCAACTGGAAAGCGCCATTGAGCTTTTCCGGCAGTCCCTTGCCCTGGCAACGTCGCTTCACTGCGAACCTGGCGCCTGGGTGGCTACGCGGGCCAACCTAGGCCATGCGCTACGCCGGATCGGTCGTTTTACGGAATCGCTGAACCAGTTCGACGAATGTCTCCGCATCGGAGCCGCCGGTGCGAGCATTGGATACAGTCCGTTCCTGGGGGGAAGTGGTGGCCATGCGTCTGGTGTTTCGGCGTCAGGAGTCGGGGGATACGAAGATCGCGGCCTCGTTGGATCTCTTCACACTGCACGCGGTCTTGTGTTGTTGGAGCTCGGTCGGACGATGGAGGCCGTGACGGCCCTCCACGAAGCCGTGCGTGTATTGGGTGCAAGTGGTGGCGGAGATGCTGCCGGTGGCGCTGGGATTGCCGGCACGCTTCTCTCCCGCGCTCTCGAGATCTGGGCGGTGGAAGGCCATGGGACCGATTCCACGCCGGAGAGCGGCCGGTCAGGATCCAGCCGGAGCTCCGCCCGCGCCTCGCGAGACAAGGGAAAGGGCAAGTCCGCGCGACGGCGAGTACCTACGGAGGAGTCCTACGCCGAGGAATGGACCGATGACGTTCCTCAGGTTGACTCGCAAACCATGCCCGGCGAATCGGCGACGCTGGAGAAGGTCGAAATGGAGCTAGACGACGAGGCGGACGGGCTCTTACGCCAGGCGATGGGTCGGACACGGGACGGACACAGTCGACGACCCGGCCGGACTCCAGAACTGGATCTAGATGATACACCGGCGGCCGCCGGAGGACGACATCGGGGATCACGCACGGTGCGAAGTAACGCGAGACATTGATGTGGTGGCTTGGTTAATTTGGGTTCACTGCAGGGCGTTTGGATGACTTATACCCTGGTTGGTTCATTGAAAAGCATGGCTGGCGTCGATTATTTTGATTAGCTTGAGCATGATATTTAGCATTTTTACTGCGAATATATCTTTCTTCCGGATTATTGACGGTTATTACACCTCGTAAGAAATCCCTGGGGTTTTATAAGACAGTGGACTTAATGGCGACAGAAACTCCTATGTTTGGATTGTGTGTGAATAACTTTGGTATCGTTTGGATCAACCATTACCCCTGTCGGCTAACTATAGACCTGATAGTCCTTCCGTCGGTATCCATGCGACCTAAATACAAAGAAGCACCATCCGGATGATCAAGATCGACAAGTCCATCGAGAGAAATTAATACTTCAATGTAAAAAGAATGACAAGACTATCGAGATATGCAGAGCATGGCGACTGAGTAGTGAGCATACATATCTCGTCTGTTCCTAGCCAGCACGAAATCAGACCCAGCTCTAGGCCCTGTTTGGATACTATTAGCTCTATCGAGCACCGAGGATCCAGACTCCACGTGCTCCACAAGCCAGTCTACTCGTTTGCGAATCCGGTTCATTCTGCACTTTTCGGCGAAAGACGTCGGCCACAAGCTGCTTCCACTCCGGATGCCGGCCATCTAGCTATGACGGCATCGAGAATCAAAGCTTCTTGAAATGGTGCGAACGACCCTCACTATCAATTGATACTGCCAGAGTTACATACATACAACCTTTGTGCTTTCCAAAGCAACGCAAATGTCCACTACAGCATCAACCCCAATGAAATAACCGCGGAAAGGATCAGACCAACATAACTCTGCTGGTCCCTGTATCCCGAACTCGTCTTGACCATGAGCTCAGGCTCGTAAGTCGGCTCCGAACTATCGATCGTTCCATTCCAACAGTAACTCTTGAAGCACTCGGTGCAAATATCCGGCAGAGTGGTACCCGTTCGCTCGGCGGAACGCGACAAGATAGCGCAGCCGACACATGACGACCAGCTAGCATCCTCTGTACCATTGGCACGAGTGGCGACGTTATACCCGTTCGTGATCATCGCATCGCGGTCCTCGGCGCTGTATGACAGGTCGAAGGTCGAGGTGTTTGAAAGGTGCGTATAGGGGGCATTAGGGAGGTAGACGACCAACTGCGCCGGTCCGGTCATGTTCTTGCTATCGCAGCCGAAGAACGTAGGTCGTTTGTTCAGGCCTAGATTGATGAAGGTGTTGGGGTCCGGGACTGCTGGGAATACAGTCCCGTTGCCGACGCCAGTCGAGTTGAGAGATCGTTCATATGTGCGCACTAAGGACTTGCCGGACGGCCAGCTGTGGATGTTGGATGTGGAATCCACGGCGAAGATCACGTCCACATGGCGCTCAGGTTGGATCAAGGGATGCAGTGGAATGTTCTGGCCGTCTTCGCCTCCGTCCACGATGCTCAGATGGGATCGATTGGCGATGGCCGGTGTCGTAGCGCTGTTTTGGTAGAATGGGTTTGGATAGTTGGCGATATCCTTGTTATCCTCTCCAAGATCCGTGAGAATATGTTCCGTGGCGGACTTGAAAATCTTGGGAATCTTTGTCTTGTTGAGGCGCAACAGTCCTTGGTTGAAGAGCGATGACGAGGTACCCATGATATAACCTGCATTATCAAGCCCTCGCACGCAAGACCCGTGGATATTTCCACCTTTAAAATCAGAGCCGAGATATTCCAATGGCGCGAAGCTGTAAATAGCAGGATCGAAGGTCCCAAACTCCCACGGGTTGACTTCATATACGGTGGAATTAGCCCCGATGATTAATTCACCAGGGTTTCGTCCGTCCGCAACCAGGAAGGGTAGAGGGATGCGGCCTTCTTGGAAGTTCCTCATCGAAGCAATCGATGACCAGGTATAATCAATCCCCCCGTCGCTGGCATTAATGAACTGATAAGACAATGCTCGGCCCCAATAATCCGTCAGAGAAGTCTCAAATCCCGCCTTTTTCTTGGTGTGTACTGCTTCCACGAGATTGGTCCAGTAATCGATCGTATTGAGCAATTGGAGATGCTTCACGTTCGGGCCTTCTAAAATGTTGTTACTCAGGTCCCAGGTCTTCTCGCTCGCTTGTAGGTCTCCTATCGTGGTGAAGTTGTTGATGTAGACAGACCCTACCAGCCATCCACCACCACTAAGCCCGTAAAGGTAAGTGGCAGACTGCAATAGGCCTCCTAGTTGTCAGGATGTAGTCGAGTTTGTGGTTCGACTGTCAAACGCCTTGAGAGCTCCAGCGCCGTTCAACATGGCGCGGTATCCACCACCAGATACGGCAATCCCTATGTTGGGGAGATTCGACGTGTTCTTAGACACTCGGTCGATATAGGCCGGGGCATCGAAGTTGGTCAGGTTCAAGCGGCCGAGCAGATCTTTCAGTGGTGACACAATCTCTTTCCGACGCGATTCGAGCCATTCGGTTTCATTCGGGGACAGTTTAGATGCGGTGCGGACTCGAGGCTTTACCACAGGGCAAGAGACGTTTGCAGGTGCGTATTCATTGGGGGCATTTGGTAAGGCGCGCCGATCAGGACTCACGGCAGCACTGGTAATACCAGCTCCGAGAAGGAGCAAGGGGCTCAATTTCATATCACAGAAGTTCAATCAAGAGGATGATGTGGTCCAGCAATATGTATGTAGTGAGTTAGTTTCAGGTTTTCACCACGGATTTATACATGTGAAGATTTTGCCCTATTCAGCCCTGTCAATGTTAGGGGAAACAGGCAGCCACCAAAACACATGACTTAGCCCTATAAATGGTTCTCTCTTTTCCGCACCTAGTGGATCCCAATAATGTGAAATGGTGAAGGCTAGGCCACCACATTCCATTGCCCCCCAATCCCCATCGGGCAGGTTGTGCCCTACGGTATCGGTGGAGAACCGAGGATCACAGTGGAGATTGGACTCGGTCCGTCGGTAACCCAAGTTTGATCTTCTCCGTTGAAGACCAACTTTCCGCCTTTTATCGTCAGGGCACGTGGCGCATTCTTATGATGGAGAGGATTGCGAGTCAGTTAGGTATAAAATGTCTGGTTTAATGACCGCATCGTCGGAGCCGTGGGAGCCCGGGTTTTATGAATATTAAAGTTTTTGCTGGCCCAAAGTGCTTGCGCATGAATGCAGTCTTGAATGACAGGCTTGTCGCTGGAGGGCCTCCCGGATGATCTGATGGAGTAAATGAGGCACTTTGGTATAGGCGGGAGGATTATGAGGAGGCATAGATTCTTGATTTATTAGTAACGGATGAATAGGTAGCTGGTGGTGGACCTGGGTCACGCCTTCCTCCGAAACTACATGCACGGCACCTGGTGGTAGTTAATACATTCTCCGTGGTTGTCCCATCGATCGCCTAATTGTACGCTCCAGATTAGATAGCGTCGCGAAAATCCAGCCTTGTGGCAGTGAGCTTGTCTGACCGGGGCTTTCTGAAGTTTTAACAAAATGCGCGGGTATTGAAGAAAAGAAGCACACCAGGTCGCGCAACTCGCTCCTGTGGTATACTCGCCCCGCTCAATGGATTTATGTTGAGTTAGCAGACCCTTTCCAATTCGGTCAAAGAGGCATACAACGCGAGTCTCCGTGCGCACAGTTCTTGGCTATCATTTATCGAAAAGAGGAATGGGCGAGCGGATTTGCTGTCCAAACGCAAAGAGTCCTTGCGCTCTAGGTCCCCGCCTTCAGGAAGAGAAGGGGACAATCCACTGTAGTCCTCCACCATGCTGCTACCGTCGAACACAGTGTGTCCTTGGAAGACTGGTAGACGGGGTACTTCTTCGTCCCACCCGATGCCTCGCCCACTTCGATCAGTGATTCGCAGTTATACTGGTGTCAAAACATAAATGTACTATATCACCTTACTGATGATAGAATCAAAAACATGTCTCACTTGAATTGGTAACGGGGGGCATGTCATGAGATAGTCAGACAATTTCTGTTGTAGGTTCACCGGGGCGTCATGGAGTAGCTTATAATGAATTTAGCTCAGTCCTCCTAACGCCTGAGAGGGAAGGAGATATTCCCATATCTGCTTTGACTCTGATACTAGTGAGAAGGTTGTGATAATCATGAGCATAAGACACTGGCAGTGCTCTGTCAGCTTACTGGTTCGACTATATCGCACGTTGACTGGCCAAGAAAGAGGGTCTCAGTGTGGCAAGGAATTGACGGCTTTGACTATTGATCTGGTCGGTCCAGTGAGGTAGGCTAGATTAGTACTCGTCGCGAGAGAGTCGATATCGCCTTGCGGTGGCTCCAAGCCTTGTTTTGGAGTAAATAGACCGCAATTAAAGACCCCCTGGGTCATAAGTCTTCCATTTGTCGGTATCGATATGCGAGTGACAGAGAGGCGAGTATAGTTGTTGATCCACGTCTTAGAGCAGCCAAGGAAGTGCGTGGATACTCCAGGCAACATGAACTTCAGTCATATCTGTGGTGTCGGATATGGCTATCCGAATACAAGCCTCTCTCCCCACAATAGAAACTCGGGCGAGCAGTTAGAAACCAAGACTCCACATGGCGGTATAGGTACTAGGTAAAGCTTGGCGACCCACCTTCGACGAGAATATGCATCAATGCCATGATAAAAAAGTTAAGCCCATTGAAGGGGACCACGATGACAATGGTGGCTTAGTTGAAGCTCTCTGTTCTCACTGATTCCTCGGGCCCTTGAATGAAGAGATAAACATTCGGGCCGTCATTTTTCCAAATCTGAATCGAGGTCGACAAAATCACCGAACTCCGCCAGATAACCCACCTTGCACTCCGTACTCACAGCCAACTCCTACCATGGCAGCAACTATCAAGTCAACAATTCTCGACACCGACAACTTCTTCCCCAGCATTTTGCAATCCCATGAAAAAAGTTGGATTCATCGCTTGCCCATCTAAGGTGCCCACTACTAACGATGACACAGAGGAGCTCACTCCCTGGATTTTTGAAAATGCCGACTTTGCCGATCTCTTCTGTATAGAACGCTGGCCCGAGGAAGATTCAACTGAATTCCAAAAATTCTTCCACCTCTTAAACTCGTATATCTCCGAGGCTAACCTCTTTGATGCCTCCCTCGCCGAGCCCGACATCCTTCAGGCATACTATCCCGACAGTCAACCGTACGATCCCGATAGCGTAGAGGCGGGCTTGCTGGAAGATGTGGTAGGGAGATCTGAGACCATAGCTCTTCCTAGGAGGAGCTGGGAATATTCAACACGAGAGGACTTTGCGCACCTGATGACGCTACAGGCACTCGTGCTGAGATTGCTAATAGAGAGTATTTATCGGAAGTTGAACCTGACAGCTCTTGAACCTCGACTTTAGTAAGTTTAAAATCCACTGTAACAAGGTTCAATACTAAATTTCAAAAGCTTTCCCGTATCTAAATACAGGCAGACATATCATATAGGCGGTCAAAAGTATGCAGCAAGACCTGATTGCGCTACTATGATTCGTGTTCAGAACCAATACCTTCCTATCTTATCTTTTACATGTGTATGTCGACACTCCCCAGTAGAGCCCTCGCCCCCCTTTCTAACTGTCGCCGCAGTGGTTTCACGATCAGACGTGGGGGGAGTTTCTTGGAGAGACTCTGAGTATCATGCTAGGACAGCTTGCATGCAATATGAAGCAAGGGCTATGTGATCAAGAGATATATGTTCTTGGGTTCTATAAAAGGCAAACCTTTATTGCACGCGGGTTCTTCACGAAGGACCAGTTATCTCGGGTCCATTCAGAAGGGTGTTCAGATGACGAAACCTTCAATATAGCTTTTACGCGAGGCTATGATCTGTCCTACAAGAAAGATTGGGACGAAGCTGTAGAGAGAATAGTAGGGTTGCTAAGATACCTCCTCAGTGGGAATGCACAAATAGGTAGCTTGCAGGCTTTTTTTGGTCAATCGTCAAGTTCTGTATGATAAACCGCTTCAATTCTCCATACAATGTGCTTTATGGGAGGTGATCTACACTCCTCCCTTGGCCGGTGAAGCTTCTCTTGCTGTTGAAACCGGACTGGCGCACGGGTATAGACTACATAATGGCAAAGCCCCGGCCCCCTCAGGCCTTTGGTGCTACCTGATTTGCTGACATGCAACAAAGATGCGCCCTTGACGCCTGCCTACCAAAAGACTGATTATATATTAAGCACTGCCTCCCTGCCATCAACATGTTATACGTTTATTTTAGAACCCCTCCCCCTCCCCCATCCCCTTCCAAACAACCCATCCATCTCCTCCAACGTCCTCCCCTGTCCTTCAGGCACACAAACCCACGTAAACAAACCAGCTCCTACTGCGAATCCCGCAAAGATGAATCCGACTTTACTGCCCAGCTCCGCCGGTTCGTAAACCATATAAGGCACACTGAACGAGACCCCAAACTGGATGAGCACGTTGAACAGCGCCCCCGTGGTGTAGGTGATATCGCAGAGCCGGGCGGTTGGCGTTTCGGCCGCCACGAGATGCGAGAGAGGCGCCCAGCCTAGAGAGAATCCGGCGCCGAAAATCGTGATGGTTGCTGTAATAGCGGTCTTGATGGCTTTGGTGAGGTGAGGGAGGGTGCCGAGGAGCATTAGTGGTCTATCGTCAGTTAGTTTCACACCGCAACTTATTCAAGTCAAATTTCAGGGCGAACAGGAATGATGGGGCAAGAATACACTCTCCCAACCCAATCCACCAATCCCATAGACAGCAGCACAACGACGATATTGATCCCCGAGTTGATGCACGACATACTGAACGGGTTCACGGCTCCCAGGGACTTCATGAATACAGTCCCATAGTTGCTAACGAAGTTCTGGCCCGTGAGCTGCAGAAACACGTTCGTCCCGATGGTGATCAACGTTCGTCGCAAATTGCTTCCTTGGAAGATCTCCTTGAATTGAGCACCAGATTGCTCGGCTTTTGTGGCGGTGATCGCTTCTTGAAGGTGTTGGAATTCGAGGCTGATTTGTTCAGCTGTGAAGCGGCCCTGGCGGAGGGAGTGAAGAGCCTGGTAGGCTTTCTCAGGTTGCGATTGGAGGAGGAGATGGCGTGGGGACTGTCCTTGTTAGTTACCCTGTCCTGTGCTTTCCTGTTCTACATATGATGGAAAGAGGTATATAGAGCAAGGCCCTCACCTCCGGAATAAACCACACCGCACAAGCCACCACGCTCGGAATAACATACAACAACCCTAACGGAATCCTCCACGAGCGATCCCCTTCCAAGTCACTCGTTCCGCGACAAATAACCGACATAGCCAGATGTCCAACCAGCAAGCCCGCCTGGTACGTACCGACCACGAAACCACGCACCTGGGCGGGGACAATCTCCGCCTGAAAAACCGGCACGACAGCCAGCTCCATCCCGATATAAATGTACGCGATGACTCTACCAGCCAACATCTGCGCCCTAGTATGCGCCGTGATGACGATCGTTGCGCCTACCAAGGCCCAGAGGCACATTGCGAACATGCTCATGCGGCGACCATATCGCTGACTGATGACACCGCCGAGAATCAGGCCTGCTGCAAATCCGATATAAGGGAGACTGTTGAGCAGTGCGAGATAGGTGGAACTTAGGACGTAGGTGTCGGATTGAGGATTGTAAACGCCGAATTTGCGCACGAAGGCGCTCATAGCTTGCGTGTTGCTGAAAGCGCCTTGGTCCAGGCCGAAGTTGACTTGAGACAGGGCGATGAGGGAACAGGAGGTGAAAAGAAGGGGGTTAAAGGAGGCAATGATACGGTTGTTCTTTAAGCTAAACATTATTGTAGATTGAAAGGGGGGTGGGTGGGAGATGATTTATGTTATAGAGAAGAGTCGAGTGGAGTTGTGAAACTCGGACAGGATGCATACCTATACTATAAGAATGGTTTAGCAACTTACTACATCTTTGGAGTGCTTGTCCATTGTGTTTTCCTTAATCTGAATTGCCCCAGGCTGAGAATCCAAATAGCATTGAATGCGCATCTACTGGGGCATTCCCAATTTAAGTGCTGATGGCGCAATCCAACGCCGACCAAACCATCGGGGAGCAGTCGCTTATCTCCCCGATGTCTCCATACTCCTCTCCTTCCTTCACATCTTAAATATTCATCTCTCCCTCGGTCACAAATGCCCTTGATTGCGCAATTCTTAACACCATCACAATATTCTCTCTCTAACTTCAAGAAAGTACGGAAAATTATAGGCCAAAATGCCCCGACCCAACTTCCTCATCATTGTCGCCGACGACCTGGGTTACAGCGACATATCTCCCTTCGGCTCAGAGATTAACACCCCGGCCTTGTCCTTTCTCGCTCAGACCGGGACTTGCCTGACGAACTTCCACGCCGCGTCGGCATGTTCGCCTACGCGATCAATGCTGTTCTCCGGCACAGACAACCACATCGCGGGACTGGGCCAGATGGCCGAACATATGCGGAACGCGAGCATCTATGAGAATCGCCCAGGGTATGAAGGATATTTGAATTTTCGTGTGGCTGCCCTGTCGGAGGTCCTGCAGGATGAAGGATATTTTACCACGATGGCGGGGAAGTGGTATGTTCATCTGGCTCTCATTCAAGCTTCACCTCACCTTTGCTTCACCTACGTGGTAGTAGCAACCTAGTCTAGTCCATATAGCATGGCTAACAGCCTATACCTCAAATCCCATTGATACAGGCACCTCGGCCTCTCCAAATCCACCTCTCCCAGCGCGCGCGGCTTCACAAAAAACCTGTCTTTCCTCCCCGGCTGCGGCAACCACTTCAACTACGAGCCGCAGCTCTCCCACCCAGGAGACGGGATCCTCGCGCCGATGAAGCCCGCGCACGACTTCTGGATGCGCGACGACGCCTTCATCGACCGGATTGCGGACCTACCATCCCCGTTCTATTCAACCACGACCTTCACAGACGCCTTGCTGGGGTCTCTCCGCTCTCGTCACGACAACCAGCCATTCTTCGCCTATCTCCCCTTCACGGCACCGCATTGGCCACTACAAGCACCGCGAGAAGTCATTGACAAATATCGCGGCATGTATGATGACGGACCGGGGGCTCTAAGACGACGGAGGCTGAGGGAGTTGGTTCGATTAGGCCGTGTAGACGGTAGTGTCTTGGATGGCCGGACGCAGGACCACGACCTCGATGCACAGTGGAATTCTCTAACCCAAGAAGAACAGGCTTCTTCATCCCGAAAGATGGAAATCTACGCCGCAATGGTCGACATCATCGACAGAAACATCCAGCGCGTAATCGACCACCTTGCGGGCACCGGCGAACTCGACAATACATTCACCTCTTCATGTCCGATAACGGCGCCGAGGGTGCAATGCTAGAGGCTTTACCCGTGATGGGGCCTAGCGGGTCCCTGTCTTCTATCATCGATAAATACTATGACAACTCGCTTGAGAACATGGGAAACGCGGACTCGTTTGTATGGTATGGACCAGCTTGGGCGAGCGCCGCGATGGCGCCGTCAAGGGGGTTCAAGACGTGGATTACCGAGGGAGGAATCAGATGTCCTTGTTTGGTTAGGTTTCCGGGCTTATTCACAGAGTCTGAGACTGGAGAACAGGGTAAGGAAAAGGTATCAGGCAGTGGACAGACAAACTCCTTCGCAACGGTGATGGATATCTTTCCAACAGTGCTAGAGCTGGCGGGAATAGAACTCCCGCACGGCAGGTTCCGAGGAAGGGATATTGTACCTGTGCGAGGATCGTCCTGGGTGTCGCATTTGTCTGGCCAGACGGGGAGTTTCCACGATGAGGACAAAAGAGAAGGGTATATCACGGGGTGGGAGTTGTTTGGTCTGCGGGCGATACGTCAGGGGCCGTGGAAGGCGTTGTTTATGGCTCCGCCGCGTGGGAAGGATCGATGGGAGCTGTACAATTTGGATCGAGATCCCGGAGAGCTGGACGATTGTGCGGAGACGGAGCCGGAGATACTGCAGAGGCTGATTGAGCATTGGGAGGTGTATTACGCAGAGACTGGCATGTTCGATCCTGAACAAGAGTTTCCCTATACGAAATGCTGAGATTGACATTGTATGCCTCGTCGACCAAATTCGATATTCTAGCTCGACATAAGCCCACAGCTAAGGCTTAGCAATTACATGCAAACCAGGGGCTCACAATCAACGGGGGTTTGGCTCAGGATTAGGATAGGGCTGGCGGTATATGTATGTCTATATGTCTACTGTGTATGCAAAAAAAGAGCAGTGAGCCCAAGAAACATACTTTAGCCGGGATTCGCTTACACGGGCCATCCAACCTCCTTGAGAGACCAATGTTGGGGGGAAGCAAGCATGACAAAGAGCAGACGTAAGAGCAGGCCTTCATGGAGAGAACGCTTGCAGAAACGCTTGATAAGACCAAACACTTAGTTGTCCACAAACGCTTCTAGAGCCAAGAGATCGCGGTCTATTGTAAATGAGCACGTCTTCTTCCACTGAACTCATAGCGCGGTGTCAATTGACACGATAGGTACCCAGTTATAAACCCCGAGTCTTGGATAGGCTCTAGCAGTCTGAACCGGAGCTAGAACGCAATGCTCCTTCATTGAATGCAGGGTATGATAACATGAAGGAATCAAAGCCCGAACTTTGATCGGATTCTGAGCGCCACTTACCTCGAGTAGCTGTCGAAGATATGTGACGACAACGGAGACTTTGTGCATACAATTCACACAAGCTTATCGATAACTTAAGCGGAGACTTTTCGACTAGTCCTGTAGATGCTTTCTGACAAATCGACATCCGGATAGCATCAAGAGACCGCATTACGCTTCTAAACAGCTGTTCACCAATCAATTGGGCCTATGCAACAGCCTCACGAGAGACCTTTTGGTGTCACTGACCCTGGTAAACTCTCGTGGACAATCTCTGGCTACAGGAGTTTGATTGCAAGTAGGCTTATACCGAGCGTAAGCCGTGGACCGAAAAGAAAAGATAAAGTCGGGGACTAATCTATAATTATAACATCTACCTTACCAACAACTATAACATTTATAAAGACATGATTCTGTCTTCAGCTAACTAATTAGCACAAAGGGGGTGTCGTGGTAAATATTCAGCATAGATAAGAGGGAGGGCGGAAAATGAAAGGCACGCCTTTTCCCCACAACATCGCACCTTCTTTACTTCTTTGCTTCTTCCCTCCTCCACTCCTGCGCCTTCTAACTAAGGGTTCTGATAACCTCCCCGTTGCTCCCCGACCATGTCAAAGCGAAGTCCGGAATTGCATTCGAATTCTAATCCACGGCATTCCAAACGATCCCGCGGCACGACTGCCTGCCATGCCTGTCGATCACGCAAGACGCGGTGCGACAACACCAGGCCAATCTGTGGGTTCTGTATCGAGCGCCAGATCCACTGTATATATCCTGACGCGCTTCCAGCAGAGCCTGAGTGAGTGTTCTGATTCTCTGTTATGTTGCGTACTGTAGCTGATGCAGTGCTCGTAGAGTGGACCCGACGAGCAAGGCGATCCTGCAACAACTGAGCCATATTACAGCTCTGCTTGAAGACAAAAAGAATGGCCATTCTGACCCAGAACTCAAACAACCTTCATCGGATTCTGTCAACGAGATACCTGAATACTCGCAATTGTTCTCCTGCGCACCGGAATCGACCCTCAAATGGCCTGTCTTCAAAGGCATTGTGAGCGATGCCGATTCCTCCATACATTCGATCTTGCTGGAATCGCAGAAGGAAGACAACAGGCCTGTATATGTGGAGGAAGACCCCGACCGCGTCAAAGATGACTTTGTCGAGCCCTGCATCAGTTTTCTATCCTCCGCCAACCGTCGGAATCCCATCGTCGACGCCGAACAACTCAAACGATCCGCACGCAAGGTAACAGAAGAAGGGCCTGGCTGGGATGCCTCGTCATGTCTGGTGGTAAGTGCTCGCGATGACGCCATACCTTGCATACTAAAAGTTCCAATTCCAGCTACTTGCCTGCGCTTTGTCTCATCTAAGTGACCCCTTTCAAAACAGGGTGATCTCAGACGGGCCGGACGCGTGTCCGCCATCCGACAAGCATGTGGGCGAAGCTTATTTGAATGAGGCCAAGAAGCGGTTCGGAATGCTGCATACCTCGCTGATCGACATTCAATGTTTCTTCCTAGCGTCACTCTATGAGAAATACGCCATTCGGCCGCTAGAGGCCTGGATCTGCATTCAGCAGGCGTCGTCCCGGTTGAAGCTTCGCTTGGCTTCTAGACAAGCACCGCTGGACAGTCATGATCGACATCTGGAGCAGAGGTTGTATTGGTCATTGATAAGAGCTGAACGGTAACTGGTACTATTCAATTACTAGTGCTGGACTGACTGTAGGAAATACAAGGGAGTTGCAGCTGGAGGTTCCGTTAGAAGCATCTGGTCTTGAGAACTGCAGATATCCAGATCCTTTTCCCGAGCCTTCGTTCAACGAGACTACGTCCTTGTATAGTCCGTCTAGCATCGGTGACGTCGAACAGGAAGCTCCTTCCGACGCATCAGCAAGAATTGAAGAAGAAAGAGGCTGGTTTTTCTATCTTGCCGAGATATCATTCCGACGCATATTCGACAGTATTGTCCTTTTACTTTACCAGGATAGCCCCCGGCGGTGGACGACCAATATCACCCGGTTAATAAGGCAATGCAAAGAGAGCGACGAGCAAATGTCTTTATGGTAAGTCGAGGAATCAGTAACACCGACACATGTTAATACAGCCAGGTTTGCCCACCTTCCACCCCCAATCCGGCCTACCACGCCGCCAACCAACGACCTATCCTTCTTTCTCCGCGGTCGATACCTGTCATCCAGGGAGAAGATCCATCGACCTTTAATCTACGTCGCACTTCACCATCCGGGATTACTTGATACCGAAACCAGCCAAGAAGCCGAAGAGTTGTTGTCTCTGGCCCAACAAAGCATAGACTTCTGCGCCGCTTTAATCCCCCATTATTCGGTTCACTTCCGACATGGTGGAACTTGGTTCGTGCTCCGCGGTTCATTTGAAGCGGCGCTGTTGATTTTGGGGGTCGTAGTCGGGAGCCATCGGAGTAGAGCAGCTCAGACGCCATGCTTGCAGCCCCCGGATGATTGATTTTGCCTGGTCAAACTGTCCTTGAAGACCCTACGCAAATGGGAAGACGAGTCGAAGGATGTAGAGATGATGAGGATAATGCTGGAGGGGATTTTGGGTCGTGTGTGTCGAAAGACCACACAATGTCCCAACACGACTCTCTACTAAATTCAATCGAAGACAGAGAGATTTAGAGCAGCCGTATTAGAGAACTATGATGACCATTAATTGTCGTAATAATATAATAAATTGGATTGGTCTTTTTCTGACACCAAAGACATCTAATAATAACTACTATCTATTATCCCGTTGTCGCTGATAGAAAAAAAGAAAACACCTTGGAAAACCTCGTTTCGTTGAATATAAATTAACTAATTCTCTGTATTAATTCAGTCATGCCTATCAGTTTATCATTGATTGTTCTTATCACATCGGTGGCCCCCTTAGCGCTCTGAACGTCTATGTGAATGAGGAGGTACCTCGGACACCCAGTTCCACTGACTTGATGAAGACCGTGGTAATCGTTTCTTTCAGGTACAAAAAAGAAAGAAAGAAAGCCCCTGGTGGGGATCGAACCCACAGCCTTAAGATCTCAATATAGCTGCAGAGATAGTTAGTAACGTGTTTGCTGTAAAGGGGTCCTTGGGAGTACTTGCAAGTCTTACGCGCTACCGATTGCGCCACAAGGGCCATAAGGGCCATTTGTGCCGATCTATACAGTAATGTGCCTGCCCCCCGAAATACTCTCCTGGTGATTTATAAATGCCAAGATTTAGTAGTACAGACGGAGTATACAACTAATATAGCCTTGGCGTTTTACCATCTACAGAAAAGGATTCTCATCAAGAGTTTAATTTAAACTTCCAGTAGCATTGAATGACAGCACCACTAGAAGCTAATCACCTATCTCACAATATGTTCTTGACATATATCGACGTATCCAAATGCTCAACCTCAAAAAGGTTTCACAAAGTTTCACCTCATAGTCAACCGTCCGTCCGTTGACAACCCCCGCCCCCAATGACAGTAAACAACCGACAAGATCTATATTCATAATCTCTTCATCATAAGTGTCATACTCTGATCCGTAAAACAGTTCTCGTTTACATGCTGAGTCTTAGGTCGCTCTTTACCTCCGGGGAATCGAAACTCGAACTCATAGAGAAGACGGGCCATGATCGGCTTAATCTCCGCAACGGCAAACTGCCTTCCAGCGCAGCCCTGGTTGCCGTAGCCGAAGGCAAGGTTGTTGGGATGGGGTTATGTCCGCCTTGTGCAGGTCTCGCTGGCCAGGAGAGGACATGCGCTTGCGGTAGTTGCGCATTGGATCGAACTCGAGCGGTTCGGGGTAAGATTTCGGGATCCATCGAGTGCTCGTAGTTGGCGAAGGCGAGCCGCGATCTGGCAGGGACACGCGTGCTATCTTTGAGTGTGATGTCCTGGTAAGCCAATCTTTGAGGATTGACTGATACCAAGGTAAACGAGTAAAGTCAGAGTGGCATTCAACAGGAGAACAGGGGGGAGGGAGGGAGGAAACCAACGAAGGAGAATAGGATTGTGTCGCTGGCTTCCACAAAGAAACTATAATAGGAGTTGGGTAGACCTGTGCATGGTCCTGCCGCCTCGAGATCTTACATCCCGAAACATTTGGCCCCAGAATTTCTGCGGGCTGGATCAATATGCATAACCCCTCTCGTTCACACTGCATGCACACACCTGCCGCTTATATGCAGGAGCTCGAAAGGCAGCGCCAATCTATGAACTAAAAAATATGGGTCACCGTTCGTCGTTATATCCTGATTAAGCCAATTCGCATGACCTAGAGCAAGGTCCAATCTGACCTTTCCCCAAAGTACGTGATGAAAAGGACTGATGAATACAGAGACACATTGGTCATGGTTACATTCGAGAGAAAATTGAAGCTAGGACTTGGCGGCCCCAAGTTGAATCAAACCGCACGAAACCCGATTACCCCGAGTATGGCCATTGCTGTGCATGACGGGATTTGAAGAAAACGAATGCGCGATCTTCATGGTGTGTGTGCAGCCCAACCCAACAAAGCTCTAGACTCGCTTTCCCTTTAGAACGGGGCTACAAAGCCCCTTATCCACTGCAAAGGGAGACATCGCTTAGACATTATTGCGTAAGAGGAAGCCTCCGTGCTGCAACTTTTGGAATACCCCCTCGGGGTCGTACTTGGCTGCAACGTCCTGCATCCTCTGAGTATTCTCGGCCCCGTAGCTGCCCAAAACCTTTTGAGAGGCTTGAGCAAAGCTCATGCACCTGTAGTCAAGTAAGAGTTGCCTTTCCTGGGCCAAACTCTGCACTCTTTCGAGCATCTTGTCCACAGCATTTTGCGCAGCGGTGTCGTCGCCGTCCTTGGGCCATTCACACGTAAACACCCACCCTTTGCGTCAAAGTTATGTTAGCTCTGGGGATACAGTATGGATTAATATGGACTTACAAATCTGTGGAGTGCTCTGGTGTCCCATAATATTCTCCTCACGCCTCTTGCCTTCCTGGACACCAGCCGTGCCCATTGGCTGGATGGTATAGTGAAGAATATGTTCAGCCGGAAGAGCGTTGCGAACCTCAGTCCAGTATTTATACACTTCATTGTAGAGCTCTTGCGAAATTTGGGTGGTGGCCGTGCAAATGGCTCGCCTATTATGCATTAACGACGAGCTGAGTGCATTCTATATTCTGCCCGCACTTACTTCCTGGTATCCTGGACATGGCCCATGGCCTCAGCAGAGTTCCATTTGTGACAGGAAGAACGGTCGTCAGCAGACTTTTGAGTTCGCGGAATTGTTGGAAGGCGACAGGTGGCTCGGCCGGAGTGTCTCCATAAAGCATGCCGACCGCGACAAAGCCATTGTTGTAATTGGTAAACAGTCCAATTTTGGGATCCTCTTCCATAGCCTTCTGAGCTGCCACTGTAGCTTTATTGATCGCAATATAGTCCCCGGGGTTTTAAGCATTGATAGTATACTGAACATGGATCAATGGGTGGGTCTCAAGGTCGAACCGCGTCACGATGCCTGTTCAAATGGTTAGGAAGCTCGGGTCTGCTAAATATCGCAATCCAGGTCAGACTGAGAATGAAGAATGCCACCTACCGAAGTTGGAGCCACCACCCTTCAGAGCGCGGTGGAGATCAGCGTTCTCATTTGCGTTTGCGTTAACCAGTCTGCCGTCGGCCAACAGGATCTGAAGGTTTTTAGTTGTGAGCTTTGTAGGAAGGCAAAATCAAAAGGAAAGCAAAATTCAAGCTTCACTCACTTCGAAGTTCTTCACGCCGTCTGCTCCGAGTCCATAGAGATTGGGCAAGGCTCCCATGCCTCCTGTTGTCAATTGTTAGCGCTACACCTCAAAGTGTGTACTTTTCCAACGCCAATACATACCTCCCAGCAGGAACCCTCCCAGTCCGACCTGCCGGTCTCGGCCTCCAATGGCTGACAAGTTGTGCTTCTCGAGCCAGGCATACACCTCGCCCCAAGTGCTTCCCGAACCAACTCGAGCGACGCCGTCCGATGTCAGCTCCTTGGACTGGAACTGACGCATGTCAAGCACGATTGCAGTTTCGTCTGCACTACTAAATCCAGCGTTTGGGTTGTGGCCGGTGGTGCGAATGGCGAACTTGGATCCTGTGCTTTTGACAATGTCCACCGCTTGAGTGAGCTCCTGGGAGCCTTTCAGATAGAGGTAACCGGCCGCGGGGGTCCAGCAGGTTTGGGACCAGGGAACTGCTACAGCTTCCTGGTACTTCGCCTCCACGTCCGGAGTCACCAACTGATCAGCAAAAGCAGTTCTCAACTGCTGCTTCGTTGCCGTGAGCCATTGTAGGTGTGAAAGCGTGCTGCAGGTTGAACTTGAGGAATGAGACCTTGGCAGGTGTCTTTTAAGAGCGGTAAATTGGTTGCGACTTGTCTTTTTGTTCAACCGATCTGACATCCGGACAAACATCGGCTTACTTAAAAGAAACCCCCTCAACGCATGCGCTCGTTCCAGGCAGAACACTGCCCCTCCTGTCTTATGATCCCCGTTTGCCCAGGCTGAGCAAACAAAGAAATGCATTGAGACCCCGCCTGGCGTCTGCGGGTGTTGCCCGAGGAGGTTAGCCGGTACCTAGTTATACAGATAGCCTCGCCATCACGAACACTAGCGCCGTGGGCTCCCAAGCTTTCAGGGCACTCGTGGATCATCGTTTCGCTAATGGGTACTTTGCTCAAACCTCTCACATAGAAACATCTTTTGGGACTGGTAGATTCTTTTGTTGGTTTTCTTTGTTAGTTTATTGGATACTTTACAAAGATGACTGCGTCAGGAATTGAAATTTCTATCCCGGTACATCTCAAGTGTTGATTCCAGCCAAGCGACCATAACAAGCCAGGTTGGTTGTCCAGTGCCTTCTCATTTCTCAGCATCAAAGGCAGTAGAACATTTATTGAACCAATTTGAAATCTTGCTCTTGGCCTCCCAGGGACGGATGGCGAAAAAGCAGCTCTGCTGTCTGAAGCCCGCAGCACACTCTCAGCCTTTGTTAGATTCGTGATGAACAAAGTATCAGTTGCATCAGCGCCAGAATCTCTACGCCTACGAGTATCGCATGATTTGTGAACTTTTCTCCTAGCACATATAACTCACGGTGAAGATAACACACGTCTCAGCACACACTACAAGGCAGCTGAAAAACCTCTTTTTTTTTTCCCGATGCAAACATATTATGAATGGGTGCGAACTACTTCGACAGATCACACAAGCTGTCCCTATTTATTTGAGCTTTTCCGGTGCCTGGTATCATCCTCAGTCTCTAACGGTGTCGACTGCTTCTCTGGGACACGGAATCAGTACCTCGCTCAAGATGTCTGTCGTCATTTGGCCACAATGTGCCGACAGTATAATGACTATGGATCCGTTTCCCGCGATCGGGAGGAGAACAATCTCAACAGTATCAATTTTCCGGGGTTGCAAGCGGGTTATACACAAGAAAAAGAGGAGATGTATGATGCCTGCAGCCAATGGAGCGACAATGCGAAGCAGTCACTGTTGGATATTGCCAACTATGAACGCGAGTGCCTGGAGCTTGCTGTAAGACGGCTGCAACCTGGAATTACAGAACCTGTTCGGAAGGCTTGGAAGGTCTTCCTTGACGTGACAGATGTCTACGGCCAGGTTTAGGTCGTCAAAGACATCAATTCTGGGTAGATGCTTGTTGGCCAAAAGGAAGTGCCACCGGACGCTGATGAGTATTATTCAAACAGTTGATTTGGGACGTCCTGTAAATCTGATTCCCCTCGCATACAGACTTCTTTGTCATTCTAACAGTGACGGCCTGGATTTATACGTATATTTTTTGTGTTCTTGGATAATCACTTGTCGCAGAAGATTACACCAAGAAGCCCGATCTTTGACGGAACACGTAATGTATCCTTTTTTTCTTCTCGCTCTCTAATGCAATGGTGACAATCTCCTTGGATGAAATCGAATCCACCTCTTCCGTCAAACATGGAAGCATGATTCGCCGAGGATGTAACAACAAAGTATTCCATATCTCAGACGCATTCGTCGCCAAAAAAAAGTGTCCAAAGGAGTAGGCGTTCGCTTCGATAGACGAAGCACGTAGACGGGGGCTGGGATCGTATTCTCATGAGCTGTTGCGTAGTCATAATAGGTATTGTTGAAGTCGGCTACGAAGTAAGAGTGCTTTCCGGGGTAGATATTCACAGCGAGGAAGCGGACTGGGTTAGATGGATGGTGTTTGTGGAGATGGTCTTGGATTGTGGAGACGAATGGAGATAGAGATTCTAGATAGTCTGCGGGGTGGAGGATGGAGTTTGGAGTGTCGCCGAGGATTCGGATTGCAGTTGACTCGGGAAGCCTTGATAGACAATCGTTGGGAAGGTCTGAGATGTGGCTGATAATGCGCTCGCGAGTTTGTTGCATTGATTCTTCCGTGGGGAGTGATGGTGCGTCGTAGAAGGGACGGACTCTGCGAATGAGATTTAAATAGAATCAATGCTATATAAATAATGAGGGAATTGGGGATGAAGTCGCGACAGGGATTGTAGTAACGAGTGATCAATAAGCCAGGTGGACGGTCCTATCAACCGATCAATATGCCCCATGGGGTTGAATTGGGAGTAGGGACCGGCCAGGTTCACGGAAGCTGTATCCGCCCGAGTCACATGAGTCAGTCATCCAAGGTTGCGTTTTTTCTGTTGTTTACGGGGCAAACATAAGCAGTATTAGGTTTGGGTCTACGTGTAGATAAGAGTAAGGTGACATAATCTCAAACACGGGTATATTTGTTCTGAGCAAGTATGTGATCAAGCGGTATGTGGACAACCTTCGGTCTAAGACACGGACAGGTAGATGGTGGTCAAAAGGAATCAGATAACAGAGAAGAAAACCGGGCACGCTCATCAGGTATCTCCAGGGAATAAGACCATTGAAATGAGAAAAAAAAAGAAAGAAAAGAAAAGCAAAGGGTATGCAAGGGCTTTGTACACCTGTTCGTGTAGATATGCGCTTAGACTCCCAACTCCAACTCCAACTCCAACTCCAGTACTATGCATGATGTTGTCTTCCCCCTCCGTCCATATGATTAGTTCAGTTAGATGTAATGTAAAAGGTAATTCGTTCAAGGCATGTGACCACCGGTGGCTTTAAATTCGAACATCATCTGGCTATCCAACAGGATGAACGACTCGTATCGTAGCCCTCGCTCGCGCTGGTAGATCTCCGACCAGACGGGCACGGTGCTGTTCCAGACGCTGGCGTACCCGTCGAAGAGGCTACGCCAGTAGCAGGCCTCGGCGGCCTTGGTTAAGTATCGATCGCGGAAGGTGCGCACGCTGTTGGCGGCGATGCGCTCGGCGCGGCTGGAGTCGTTCAGCAAGGGGCTCATCTTGTCGGACAAGTCACTAAAGTCGCGCTCCACTTCGACGTAGTTCTGGTTGGGGCCGTCGGGAACGAGCAGGTAGTGGTGGTGCTGGATGTATTGCAGTTTGTGGGCCACGATAACCGAGTTGCAGGCTTGGCGATATTTGAGAGAGCCGGAATACGAGCGACCTTGATAAGGATACGGTCAGTAACTTTTTTTTTCCGATTTCGCTCAAGCTGGACGGAAAAGGGGAAGAGTTGAACGTACCCTCCACATGCGCTATGAACATATATTGGCAATGATCTTCCATGCGCAGGATGTTGGTGCGGTCATCCCAATCCACCTGCTTGACGTCGCCCCACGGCTTATCCCGCGCCGCCTCCATCAGGGCGCGACGCAACTTGGGGGCAAAACTGGGTTTCCCACGCCACACTAGCTGGCGCTTCTTTTCGGGCCACGACAGGTCGGCTCGTTTAACGCGCTCCACAACCTGGTCAAACGGCCCGATGGAGTTCTGGATATTCTCCCACGCCCAGTAGCCAAAGTCAGGCATTAGCCAGACAGCCTCCTCGAAGGCGGACCGCGCCAGCACCCAAACCGGGTTCTCAGAGTCGGTGACGTCGTCGACCTTGTCCTCGACAGAGAAAACAAACTCGATGTCCGGGCGCGTGGCACGATCGGCGTCGGCGACCAGCGCGCGATGGATGGAACTCAAGACGGCGAGGATTTTGCGCCGATGATCCTCCGCTTTGGCACGCGCGGCCACCACATGTAATTCGCCGCGGTGGATGAAGGCCCGTGCCATGCCCCATTCCAGTCGAATCATGTCCAACTCCTCGGTCGACAGCGCGCCGTGCGATCGCCAGTACCTCACGGCGCGGGCGGTGTCCTCGAACAGACCGGGGAATGCGGCCTGGCATTGGTTGCGATCCAAGGCTTCGTTGTTACCATCGCGAGCGACTTGAAATTCCCAGAGGGACGACGGAGGTTGGGGTAGTGCCGTGGGCTGCGAGCAGGAGAGACAGCTGGAGCATTGAAAGGTGGTGGAGGTCTGGCATGCGCAGTGGCCGGCGGGGATGAGTTGAGTCAAGAGGGGGTGGATGTAGTCGCGATCGGAATTGACGCCATACCAGATGGCAGCGATGCAAAACGTGCTGAGAATACCGATGACGTAGAAGAGGTACAGAAAGTAACCTTGTCGTAGGCGCCAACGAGAGCAGCTGGGGAGCGCCATGAAGCAGAAAGGAAGGCCGAGGGCACGTCAATCCGGGAGGGGGATTGATTGCATCGTAGGATGGAGAGGAAAAAGGAGGGGAAAGAAGGGAAGAGGAAAAAAGAAAAGGAAAGGAGGGGAGAGAGAGAGAGAGAGAGAGAGAGATACAAAAGAGGGGATGGTAGCTAAGAGCTATCGCAGACCAGGCCGTAAATCAAGCGAGAGGGCAAACGGTCAGGGGTGTCTGGCCTGGGGCTGCGAATGACGCGGCGATCAGTTGCGACTTGCGTAGTCCCTTAAAGGAGGTTGAAACGTCTTCAAGCTTTGGTGGACCGTCTTGCTGCAAACCCAAATTAAGTGTTTTCGCGGCGCAATTTCCCGCCTTTCACTTCATTTCATTCTATTTTCTAGTTTTCCCTTTTGTCTGTCCTGGGGTTCCCCGTCAACAAACGGAGTAGTTTCTCCATCTCCATCCTCTTTGGCCCTCTTGAGGCTCAGCCACTCCCAGACGGGTTTGCAGTCCCACCTTCAAAGGGTCCAATTTGAACTGCCAGGTTTTTCCCGATGATCTGAATAACGCGTTGCCCGGTCTGATCGCGGTCGATCCTGCCTGATGGGGAGGAGACGATCCTTGCCAGTATATTCACTTTCATCTTCCTCTTCATCATCATCAGTTCCATGTGCCCTCATCCCCAAACATTCCTGGAATCAAGCGTTGGCAGGCGAAATAGACGCCACGCTAACCGGGCCAGGTACCCGAATCCTGAAACCAGGGTCCCCCGGTCGGAAACTGAATCCTTCCGCCTAATCTGACTGTTGTCACCATCAGATCAAGGCACCGTTCGGATCATTCTCATGAACTCTTCAATTCTCTGATTTGTGACAAACTGACAATATCCCTAGCGAAGTGTCCTGTACACCGTAGTCTTCCCCCTCCAGTCCCGCCCCAAGATCATCGACCCTGACGTAAAGATTGGGGGCCAAGCGCCAAGGGTTTTCACCCGCCCCACCTGCCAAGAGTTGGTCCTTTTATTTTAAGAATGATTTGCAGCCGCGTTCTCAGGGTCCACGCAATTGATTTGTCTCCCCGTCAAGGATTCAGATCTTTTGCCTCTTGGAGAGATCTCGCTAAACTTTCGGCGGTTGGCTTCTTGGCGGGACGGGCTGGATTTGGCTTGATGTCGGTTATTTCTGCCTGTTAAAATATGGTTAATCATGGTACTAGGCAGCAGTCAAAAAGGAAGACAAAGAAAACAAGAAAGAAACAAGCTTTTTTTCGATGCAGCGTTACATTCGTGAGTTGCTCCGATCAAAAGATCAAAGGATCCCAACTTCTCTTGAACTTGTCGGCTGTCCCCCCCTGAATCAGGTCTAGCGCACGGCCCGCGAATGGACGGACTCGATCGAGTGGTTCAGCCATGAGGGAGACAATTCATCAGTTTGCCAGTCAGACAGTTGAAAGAACCCCTTTCCGCACATCCAACGTTAGCAACCTTAGCCTGGACACCTGCACACACAGCCCCCCATCATGTAACCGTGGCGGTTGAATAGGCAAGTCTAGGCTGGAGACAGTAACACTCGAGGAGCACCCGAATTGAATTGAATGACAGGTGTCAACTGCCAGGTTTCGCATTTCAGTTTCCACTCTGCTTGATTCTTTCTCGGTATATACTTTGGTCCCGAGATTGCATCTTCCACCCGTTCTGATTATCGGTTCATTTCCAGCCACAGTCCAGTCCTTCATATCTACGCTGAGTTCGTTACTCAAGTCAAGTGGACAACGAAGGAAGGAAACCCGACCTACAGTACGGAGTAGTAGACAACACGATGAAAATAAAAAAAAGGACACTTCCTCTCCTAAAAGGAGACAGGCCGAGGAAAGAATCAAGAGCTGTCATAACAAAATATCCGCAGTCAACTGTGGCGCCAATAACCACCTGCCAGCTTACGAGGCCTGATTACCTCCCTGGTATCCAGCTTCCAATTCCATCTGCATTTCGCACATACTCCTCGGTTGATTACAGTAATTACCCCATAAACTAGTCCACTAGATAATGGATTATGGATTACGGATCCAGAAATGAAAAGAAATTGAGACACGTCGGACATTGGGTGGTCTGTGTTCGGCTACTTCAGTTTTCAATTCAGTGCTAACTTCTGAGGCAAGTAAGTCAGACGAACGACACTGCGTGAACTATTTATACCATTAACTAGTAGTACTACCTACTCCGTAATCCGTAGTCGCTGTGCTGCGCCAGAACTCTATTAGATGGTTGTCTCAGACAGGGTGGGTTGATTAGACACATTCTCATTTCGTTTCCAAATTGGTCAATGGTGAGACAAACACATCGCAGGATCGAATAAAAAGCAAAAACAACCCCTGAACTACTCCGTAGGCAGTTAGAGGTCCTGCACGGTAAGATCAGGTGGAGCGGATTCGAAAGTCTTGCCCTTAGCTTAAAATACTCTATTTTCTGACCCATACTGACTTGCAGTTGCAACCCCTGACTCTACACGTCGAAAGAGACTGCACTGGACAACTGCCATTCTATGCATATGCACATTCCGTTACTCTGTACAAGTGAAAAGAAAAGAAAGGGAAAGAAAGAAGAGAAAAGGAAAAAATGGAGAGAAACAAAACTCAAACAAAAGAAACAGCACACGCAATGCAATACAAAAACGCCGGCCGACCGACATGACATGACTTTGATCATTCCTCATTTTTGGTTCACCAATCATTCACAACCTGTTCACTGACATCCATTCATTTCCTACTGGTATTCCTCACCAATCTCTCATAACCTGACTGCTGTACACTCGCTGATTTTTCGTGGTTCAACTTTACTTACAATAGCCTGTTCTTCGTTTCATAGATTCCTCAAAAGCTCATTCGCTGACATGTTCTCCGAGCACAATACTGAACTGGCCTCCCGCCGAGGCGGAGACCAACCTCTTGCCGGCAATATGTTTACCGTCAAGAAGTGTAGGTAAGATGATTTCATCGGTGGACGATGGTTTGCCAGCCTGGCACTGGGCATTAAAGCCCCAAGAGTAAGCGTTTCCGTCTGCGGAAATCGCAAAAGAGTGATCGGTGCCGGCGGTGGCGTAGACGATGTTTTCCAAGGTGGGGATAGCCTGCGGCTGCACAGAGATGCGAGGTCTATCGCGGGAGTCATAGATGATCTTGTCCTGCGAGAGGACTTCGGGGTCATATCCCAGGGCCTTGTTCTCAATGCGACCCCAGGTGAAGCACTGGCCTGTCTGATCGACAGCGATGCTGTGGTCCTTGCCGCCGTGGATCTGAACGATCTTGGGAGTTTTGTTGAGACTTTTGACGCGGGTAGGATAGGGTATGATGGCGTCATTTTCGCCGGCGTTGGACGCGATGCCGACCTGGCCGAAGTTGTTGGAGCCCCAGCCGTACACGGCGCCGGTTTTGTGGACAGCGAAGGAGTGGTACATACCGGCACCGATATCGACCACGCCGCCAGGCAAGGCGCACTGGTCGGGAATAAGAGGGTGGACGTCACGCGAACGACTGGTTCGGCGGCGTCCGAGCTGGTACTGTTCGTTGCAGCCCCAGCTGTACACAGTGCCGGCTGAAGTCAAGGCCAACATGTGTTGCGCTCCTGCGGCGAGCTTGGTGACGTTCTTCAGTCCCGGGATCAGGAGGGGAGTGAGTTGTTTGAAATTGCTGTGGGGTGCAAACCCGATTTCTCCGTTGATGCCCTGTATTATCAGTCAGTATACCAGGCTCTCAGTTAAGGGGGCAATACGTACTCTAAATGTGCCCCATCCATAGACTAAGCCGTCGGTGGTCAGGGCGTAGGTAGCACTATCGGTCGCAGAAAGCTGCGCAAAGACAGTTCCCTTCGGAAAGAGGGAGGAGTCAACGGGGAGGGGTGTTGCTTCTTTCATGTTCAAGGTGACATCATCATCATCATCATCATCACTTTCGCTTTCTTCGATCTTCGCATCGGTCATGATTTCATCTTTCAAATCCTCCTTGGTATCTCTTCCAAGGGTGGCATCATCGTTCACTCCCCATGTCATAATTTTGTTGTCACAAGTCAAGGCTGCCGAGTGAATACCACCGACTACGAGCTGGACGACACCGACAGTCTCAGCTGCCAGGTTGGCGTTCAAAACGGGACGCGCAAACTCAGACTTGCGCCACAGGTTGCCGAGTCCAAGCTCGCCGTAGCAGTTGGTTCCACAGGCGTAGACATCGAACTTCTTCGAAGGCACGATGTTGAAAATGGTAGAAGACGCTGTACCACCATTAGTCAGACAGCTCAGCTCAGTCAGGTCCACGCCGATGAGATCATTCGGGAACTGACCTTTCTGGCGCTTCGGGCCCCTTGCAGGGGTTTCAGAGGCGGCCGCCGCTGCCGCTGGGGCCTTTCTCTTTCGGCCAATCGCGGCGTTTTTGGTGGTGGGCTTCGGGGCTGGTGGAGGGTTGGGGGCGCTCTTCTTGCGCAGTGAGGCGCGTCTCGCCATGTTGATGCTGGGTGGAGATTGTTGATAGGGAAAAGGTTTATTTTGAAGTGGGTTTGAATTTGGAAAAAAACAGATTTCACAAAGACAAATACTCTTGCTGCTGGGAAAAGCTTTGTGTTTTGATTGTGGGTAGAAGGAGAGAGTAAGAAAGGTGAGAGAAAGTGGGTGATTGTTTTGATTGGGAGGAAGGGCAGTTGTCAAGAAAGAACAAAGAGAACCTTTGGAAGGATCCCACGTCAGAGATCACCTGACAGACAAAGAATCAACAACGAATCTTGCAACATTCGTTTACATGAAAGATATAGGAAACAACGCCCGTATTCATGCTTCTACTTCATTGCTCACTTCACACCTAGGGGTGAATGATGACGGATTCATCCTTAAGACGGGTGATCTACAGTGAATCATAGTTCTTCCAATCTTGTGGAAACGGGTGTTTCCATTGAAACACCAGAGGTTCATTTGACTTTGATCATGAACCATCTAGAAGGTAGGTAGGCCCAGGAGGATTTGGTAGTCCTATTCCAGACAAGGTTATACATCAATGGAAGAATCTCACACGTCAAACAGTGTTGACAATGCCTTCGGACCTGTTTCTAAAGATGCATTGCAATTATTGACCAAGATGACAATAGAGAATTCTCATGTACCTCAATAAGTGCAATGAATAACTAGATTTAGATTTCGGAGAGTCATTCGATATCCAAATGAGTCAGAGGGGAGGTGTAGAGTGATGCGGACTGAATCTTCCGCCATAGTTCTAAAAGTCTTTGAAAGTATTTAGTAGACTGTATACACCAAAGTGCTAACTCCCTTATTTGTCAACTTTTGATCTGTCCAAGGAAGTTGTAACCTCTTTCTGAAAGCTCAACGATGGTCCCCGAAAGATTGCATGATCCCAGCGGCGCCTTGCGCACATGTACTCGCGGTGTTCACCATGCTATTAAAAAGTTCCTGGACCCACAGAAGTTTGATTTGTTGAAACTGACCGCAAAGTGAACATGCCGACTTGCAGACTTCCGCGGCATTTTCATGTCGGGGACGGTTGATTGTCCACTAGTAGGTATCCTGCAGAAATTCTCCTTTGCTTCTTACTTTAGACACACCGCAATATCGACCGAGCTAAAGGAAGACGGAGGATCATACGAAAGCAATGAAGCATCTCCGTATAAGTCTAACGGATATACGGAAAAGACCGGGAAGTACTGGAAAGCAAGGCTATGTGATATCAAGATTTCGGCATTAGTAGAAAGTCGGTTGAAATAAGCATCCCCTACATTTCTCCCTTCGTTGCTTTTTCTGAGTCTGATTCATAATATGGATGTCAGAATTGTTTTGTTTTGCCCGTCACTTTCAATGTGACATTGTAATGTGATATCGACAATGATCGACATGTATCAGTTCCCATCATCGAATGCTTTCCCACAATGTCAGTATAGAGAATCTGCAATTGTACGGAGTCAGACCCGCTAAGCCGGACATTGGCTTTGTCTAGTTTCACAAAATTCTTTCTAGATTTGAAACAAGGCTGCGTAATATAGGAGAGCTGGAATGTTTGTAAGTACGTCAAGCAGATTCGATCGGCGCAAGGGATACCGGCATTCAATTGAGCAGGTAAACAGGAATAGCTTAGTGATCGGCCAAAGACTATTGCCCATTTTCTCTGGTCCATTCTTTTACTTCCTCCACCAGGGAAATTCTATGATAAACCCCCCTCCCCTGGAACCCATCCAGGATCATTTCGAGAAGATTTTGTTATTACGATTTCGCTCATATATCGCCATGCATTCAACCGATGGCACCCAGGTCACGGTCTCGACGGTGCCCGAGCACGCGCGGGGACCGGACTACGAGCTTGGAGCAATTGAAGCGCCGATCGAATATGCCGAGGACTTATCGGACTATCCCGAAGGAGGACGACACGCTTGGTTGGTGGTGTTTGGCGTATGGTGCGCGCTCTTTCCGACCTTTGCGATGATGAACATCACCGGAATTCTGCAAGAATGGCTAGAAGACAACCAGTTGAAGGAACACTCCACGGCCAAAGTATCGTGGATCTTTAGCCTATACAACTGTCTGTTTTGGCTCGGCGGTATCCAAGTGGGTGCGAATGCCAATCCAATCCGTCGGTACAACCCTGTATGCATTCCATCTAATCATCATTGGCAGGACCGTTATTTGACTCCTACGGGCTGAAGTATACCTTTGTTCCGGGATGTGTCGGCATGTGCGCAGCTATAATGGCTTTGAGTGTCTCAGAAGGTACTGGTCTATATGCCCCAACACCCCCCAACACCCCCAGAGCCCCAATGCGCAATATACACAATAGTATACACGATATGCCCAAGATGCGCAATCTATATGACAGACGGAATTTTCCAAACTGCTTCGAATGCACGATATTTGCAAGATATTTCAACCAGTCCTTTGAGTTGCAGGCCTCAGGGCTTTGAGTGTTTCGAAGGCTACTGGTCAACATGCACAGAATACACACTCAACCATGATACAAAATAAGCTAACAACATCAAGAGTATTACCAATTTATACTTGGCTTTAGTATCCTGGGTGGGCTTTCCTCGTCAGCTATCTTGACCCCAAGCCTCGGAACGATCAACCACTGGTATCTCAAGCGCCGAGGATTCGCCACAGGGATAGCAACAACCTCCGGCGGCATTGGAAGCATCCTGTTTTCCGCTTTGATGGGCGAACTGCTCAAGAAGATCGGGTTTCCGTGGACGATACGAGTCCTCGGATTCATTTCCATCCTGTTCTTTGCCATCGGCCTGGTTCTTGTTCGAACCCGACTTCCTCCTAACAAGACTTCCGGTAGCACGATAGATGTGCGATGTCTCCGGGAACCAGTCTTCACGGTAGCCTCTGTTGCGGTCAGCTTCGCGGAGGTGGGTATGATGGTCGTGATCACCTATCTTCCATCCTATGCTTCCTCCCACGGGGTCACCGGTTCCCTGTCGTACAATCTCATGTCCATCTTCAGCGCCACGCTGATCTTCGGCCGAATCATTCCGGGACTGGTAGCCGACCACTGGGGCCGCTACAACGTCATGATCGTCACCGGCAGTGTGTGCATGCTCTTGGTCCTTGCATTGTGGATGAAAGCAGGAGAGGACACCGCCGCGATCGTGACTTTTGCGGCGTTGTTTGGGTTCTGGAGCAGTCCGGCAGTAGGATTGTCGCCGGTGTGTATAGCGCAGATCTCGCGGACCGAGGATTATGGGAAACGGTACGGAACGACGACGGCGATCTTCGGTCTGGCGATCTTGGTGTCCATTCCCGTTGCGGGGGAGATTTTGGGGGCGCAGAACCCTGGGATGTCAGGAGAGGAAACTGATTATTCGGGTCTGGTAATATTCTGTGGAGCTGCGTATGCCACGTCGACTGTGCTTTTGGTCGTGACTAAAATCATCAGCGTGGGTTGGAGCATTACTAGAGTATTCTGAGGGGAGGAGAAGATAGATGATAGATTGAGGGAAAGAAAGAGTGAAATAGAGAAAGAAAGGGAAATGCAGTGTAGTCACCGGAATACCAGTTCCCGAATGGCTAGTGAGCTAAAAGCCCGAAGAACCGATAAGTTAGCGCTCGTGAATCAAACTTACTCATTCATACACTGCCTTCGCAGAATTAGAGAGAGTATGGCAAACGCTTCATTGATAAGCTTATGAAACGTGCGCCGTGTGTTGCTGGGCGAGCTACAACCTGCTGGAAAGCCCATTCTGAAAAAGGATAATTCTGTGTTAGAGGATGAGGGCAATCTCTTGCGCGAAGCGACAGACAAAGGTGTGGTCAATGTGGCAAGGTACTACTATCATGAAACTGTTCATAGCAACACGAAGGTCGACGACATTCGCCACAATGTCCGAGGAGGACTGGATCTATCCCAGGCTACTGCAAAAGCAAGTAGTAGAACGCGAGCTGGCCCCACGAAAAGATCATCCAGCAGCATTGGTGCAGAGGTACCGCCCAGCAAGCGTGCTCGCCTATCCAGATACAACCCTGCAACGCAAAACAGGATTCATCGTCGTCATCATCCGCGATTATGGGACTCCTATCTATAAAGCAAAATCACGCGTTTCTATGCTATCTGCACTAGAATGTTGCTTAGATGGTAAGCCGCTCTTTCTTTTGCTAGGTTTTCTACTAACAGCAGCAGGTTATGAATCATTACGTTCAAAGACTGGACTCTTACAAGGTGATATTTCCGGGAATCTCATCATTAACGAAGATGGGGGCTCTTCATGGCCAGGCTTTTTAGTTGACTTAGACCTTGCTGTCAAAGAAAACAGAGATAGTTCCTCTGGGGCAAAGGCTAAGACAGGAACAAGAGCATTTATGGCCATAGGATTGCTTCGGGGAGAACAACACTCTTCCAGACATGACCTCGAGGCCCTTTTTTGGGTCCTATTCTGGATTTGTATTCACTACAAGGGTCCAAACGAAAGCGCTAGGGTTGTCGAAAGATTCGATATATGGAATTACGCGGACCCCGTGGAGCTCTCTGACCTCAAAACTGGCTTGATTCACATTGAAGGGAATTTCATCAAGCGGACGACGAAGTACTTTACCGAATTCTATCAGCCGCTTGTACCATGGGTCAACAGGTTGCGACGACAGGTTTTTCCTATGGATAAGCCATTGAAGAAGGACGACCCTGAGTTACATTCCAACATGAAGCAAATCCTTCCGGAAGCACAGGAGGCTCCGGAGGTTTTCGATGTCTGATATATTTATGTTTTGTTCTCATTGCCAGTGACCACCCACTTTATCATGTACCTACTATAGCGCACTTTTGCGGCTAGCCGGCAAACTAGTTCTGCGAAATTAGATTAAATTATAGTATGTTAGTATAATGATAGGTACCCTTTACCACTACCGATAAATAACTTCGTTGAGGATAGTATGTATGATCAAACTATGTACGCAATCGGGTTATGGAATTCAGCCAAGGCAGACTTTGGTCCGTCTGTTCGGTGAATGAAGTTGCATGTTTTCTTTTCTTCTGATAATTTAAGAGACTACAGTGAATAAAGAAGTTACGGGTGCGGGTCTACGTACCTGGCCTTTTCTCCCATTTCTCCCCCCGTTTCTCTCCTAATTCTCTCCCAGTCCTACTTTTCTCTTCCCTGACAACTGCCCACCGATAATATCGCTATTACCGAGTTTTCTATCTCTCAGATCTGACCCCATCCATCCATCGTTAATAACTCCCTCATTACTCCATCCAACGAAGGACAAAGAATCCCTACACCCGAGCGCCACCTTAACATCGCGTTCAATTTCCCATTGACAACAAACGAACTGCATAAGACGGTGCTATCAGGAATATATATACCGATGGTGTACAGCATGGGTGAATACGGTATGCCTGTCTATCCTCTATAGCTCATCCCAAACCGCCACTGACGGCGGAAATGACTTGCCCTTCGCCCTCTTCTAACAGCTGACCAGTCGAGGGCAATAAGGAAACAGGTTCCTGGCCTTCTCTCTGTGGAGACGTGACTATCAATCAGTCACTTACTGAAGCTCCGGTGTTTCCAGTGGCTTCGTTCATCAGATGGCTGTTCTCATCAAGTACAACACATACAACACACGACATAACAAAAGTCCATATTCAAGCTGAGCGACTAGGACCTTCTTTGATTAGTTCACATCCGGAGTGACTGACATGGAAAAACGCCATTTGCGTGGTCTGTCCGGGATAGTCGTAACAACAGGATCAGAGCCAATATTGAACAGGATATGTTCATGCAGATACCGGAAGCCCAGGATCTGAGCGTTGGAACTTGTGACACGGACTCATGGGTCCTAAGAGCCCAGAGCCCGATGCGTGGCACTTCTAGACATGCCCAAGCCTGGACGCCAATGGCACGACGTTTCGGTGAGTTGTCCTACAATCGAGGCACATTTCAACGGTCGATGCTGATTTTGAGCTTAGAGAATATACCGATACATAGTATGCCACTGATATCTCCAGCGACGATGCTTTGGTTAAGACCCCGCGCTGTTTACATCCGCTATTTCCTAGTAATACTAGTTTCTGAAAACCGCTTGCGTCTTGGTCCCTCTCAGAATGAGGAACTAATTCCTCAAGCTTGGGTTACCAAGACCTGGGTATCACATAACGGTAGCGCGGGATGCTTTCTTTATCAATCTCATGGCATTCTCTCGGATATCCCAAAACTGATCGACACGGAGATTGCCGTTGCTGAGGATCTCAAAGGCATTCGAGTGTCTGGAAGGAACGAGAACGATATGGAGATGTGGTCAATATCTCACTGCACTAGAAGGGTCAATCCTTCTTAGCGAAGGGCTTGTCGAAGTATATGCAGTGTCATATGCGTGATAATAGGAAGATACTTTGATGAACATCAGCGGAATGGACAAACCTTTGGTACGTTTTCATTCCTGTTTCAATCCTTCTCTCGTCCACTATTGATACCGTAATAGATGTGCACTTGCAATTCCTAGATAGTGAACATGGGAGTCTCGCCAGACGACAAGTATGCTCGCTTCTAGATACAATATTACAGCAATTGAACCTAGCCACCAAACGCCGTATACTTACAGACTAACCAGAGCCCTGCTTCAAGTCCTTTACCAAAGCCCTGTGACGATTTTCTGCTCCGTCTAGCCAAGGATTACATCGGCAGAATGAACGGCTGGACACCGGAATTATAAGGCTCCGCTTCCCTAGGCTCTTTCGAGGATCTTTGAGGATTGAGTGCTTTTTATTGCCAGTCAAGGCAGCTTCGACTTTACCGATTCGATGGGGAAGGTTACTGTTTTCTTTTGGGGATCATGATGGGAAACAGAGGGATGAGGAGTAGGCTGGCTTGAAGGACTGTTTTTGGAGAGAAAGTTTTTCGATAGATAATGAATCAATTAGGCAGACAAGGCTCTGAGAACTAACACAAAAACAGCAAATCCATTACAGTCCAGGTATCCCATATCTCATGTCAATAACAGGTATAATATAACGCAGGTATCACAGATTCCAGCCAAATTCAGTAACAGTATCAGTCTAGCCAACCCTTGGTCTCGGTCCCGTCACGGCGAAGAATTCCTGCGGCCGCACGCTGAACGCCCCGTTATAGTTGACGCCGCCGTTGGCCATGGTATACTTAGTGTCAGCGAACTCGAATTCCACGTCCTTCAGGATTGTGACGAGAGCCATGAATGACCATTCCCAGGCGTATTGCGTGCCGAAGCACTGGCGCTTGCCGTTGCCGAAGCCCTTCTTCACACCTGCTGGAAGCTGCTCGTATTTCTCGCCGAACATGCGCTCGGGCTTGAAGGCCTCGGGGTTCTCGAAGACGGCGGGGTCACGGTTCACGGCGGACAAGATGGCGATGAGGGGTTGCGTGCGGGGAACTTCGTATTCGCCGCCGGCGAGCAATACGGGGCCTTCGCCGGTGGGAAGGGGCTCGATGTTGAAGCCTGGAGCGACGCCGGAGAGACGGAAAGTCTCGCGCAGAATGGCTTCGCAATAGGGCAGGCGGGCGAGATGGTCGTGTTGGAGCTCGCCCGAGGGCCCGCCGACGACGTTGTCGATTTCCTCGCGCGCCTTGGTGATCTCGTCCGGGTTCTTCATCAGGTAGTACATGGCGAAGGCGATGAGGTTGGGAGCGGTGGCACTGCCGACGAAGATGTTGATGATTTCGTCTAGGACCTGGCTCTCCGTCAGGGATTTGCCGGTCTGGGGATCCTTGCCGTGCAGAAGGGCGTAGAGCATGTCCTTCTTATCGGTAGGGTTCTCTTGCCGGGTCGCGACGATACTGGCGCAGTAATCGCGCATGGTCTTAATGTCTTTGTCCCACTTGCTCTGGTGGAAAAGCCAGGTGAGGAACCTAGGACGAGCGGCACGCTTCATCGATTCTCTTGTGCAGCTATCCATGGCCTTGATGAGAGACGGTTCGGTGCCCTCCATGCAGTGAACTCGTTGGTCGAAGAAACACAGCATATTGGCAGCATGGTTCACTCGGTCCAAATCATTTGTCACGTTGACGCGCTGTCGAGGGTTGGCAGCCCACTTCCTGACTAGATCCTTGGACGTCTCCTGCATGCCCGAGAAGACATTTGCGACAGCCTCCGGCGAGACGAGCGGGGCCATGATTCGGTGTGCAATCCCCCAACTATCTTCATCATGGAATGCGGTGAAAAGACTGTCATGAACAAGATCGCGAATCTCGACAATCGGGCCGGTCACGCATTTTCGGAAGCGCTTCTCGTCACAGATCTCCTCCAGAAGGGCAGCGCCCGTCACGAACACAATATCTTTACCAAGGATGGTGATTTTGAAAATGGGACCTAACCAGAGACGAAGGACTTAGCCATCCGAAGGGAAGGGGATTAATCACCGAATGACTTACGATAATTGGTCGATAGTTTATTGAACGAGCCCCAGGGGTTGTTGCCATCGAGGTCAAAAAGGTTGCCGAGGATAGGCAGACCTTTGGGTTTGGGAATCGGGGTCGGCATAATGCTCCGGACAGGATAATAAGACAAATCAGAGCAAAGTTAAATCGAAGCCGAAAGCAACCAAGAGAGAAGGGAAGGGAAAGAGGGATCAAGGGGAGAAGACGGAGAGCGCAAACAGCGAGACCAGACAAATTTAAATTCCCACACCAGCAACATGCTGCTGCTGCTGCTATTGCTAGTTGTCTTTCATCATGCATGATTCCCCATTTCTCTTGCCCGTGCAACCACCCATCAGCTCCGCAACAATTGTGATTTGTGCTAAGGGCGCTCCCTTTGTGGCTGCAGATCTCGGCTCAGCTGAATCGCGCCGATTCAAGCGATGATCATTTCGATAGTCGGGCCATCTGGCTCCCTTGGGAGATCCACTTGGCGACTCTCAGTGGTCCCAAAGGAGGATCGATCATCGCACAGATCATGGTTCGTCTGGAGAGTGGGAGCTTCCTTGCTTGCGGTGGGCCCGACCAATGCCATTCAGAGTGGATCGATTGTCAGCATCGCGAGTCGCGATTTGAGTGCGAAAGGGAAATGAAGGGGGCTGGCGGTGAAAGGTTTTGATTTTGTCTGATCCGGGCTAGTCGGTGAAATTTAATTCGAGGATGAGAATCAATCCCCCACCGATGGCTGAGGATGGCGTCCCCAGCAAGTGGAGTTGTCAAGGTGGGTTTGCCGTAATCTTCAGGGAAGGAAGAATAGCCGATTGAGATGGGACTGGATGTTTTGTTCGATGATGGAACACGAAGCATCGCTACACTGGATGGGATCAAACAAAACCCATCAACTCTGGAGTCGACCTGAAGTCGATAACGAGGAAGGAGGTGAGCGCAGCGTGTCTACACTGTAGACAAGATGGAAAGAAGAACAAAGATTAGATAAGCCGCCCGGTGACCGCCAAGGAGCAAATCTGTAGTTAATACTTTCAGAGTGCTCAAGAGACAGGCTTGTTCGTATTCCATCTTCCCCGCCACACCTGTCTCATGCGCTGGCCTGGCAGAGTACGCGGCCTTCTCTCCCATAGAATCCTTATTATCAGCCAGCGCACTGAACACACTAGAGGTAGAAGATAATGACACATGCCAGATACCTTCTAGCGGGGCCCGTCTGCACTCCCGACGAAAGGGACATATGTCATACATCAGCGACTGGCATGGAGAATGTCGGTGGATGATGACAATAGGAACAAGCACGAGACTTCGTTGAATGTGATTACTCATCCCCTTCAGTAGATATTGTGTGCATTTCCTCTTTGGGTCGGGTATATCTATCCATTCCCCTGCCTTCCGTCATATGCCACGGCCAGAGACATATGAACGGAAGACTTACCCGAAATCCTAATTGATTCGATCCATGGACCGGAAAATCTCAAATATCACTCTCTCTGGGAATGGGGACAAGATCGTACGACGTGTGTGTAGCCTGGACTGTGCTTTTTGGTAGTTGGAGAGATGGTGTAGAAGGAGTTACTCGTTACTCTAGCTCTGGGTTAGGTGTTGTCATTATGAAGATATTGTAAATCCCCATGCCGCGTTCAAGTTGAAACCTATTCATAAAATTCTTATAACCTTATTATCATGCGGTCATTCCTAGATCATCATCAGCTTTTTCTTGGCTATATAAGAGTCAACCCATCCCCGAAACCTCTTCACACCCACTCAACCCCCCACGCCAGACATTCAAGTTTCTTTTCAAGGTAGCATAGCTTTTAATGTCCTACTCCGATTATTGTACCGTCATTGTGGACCTTGACAAGATGATTTCCATTACCATTTCGTCCGACACCGTTGCTGATTCTCTTTCGTATGATGAGCTCATACAAGCTATAACTGACCTCGCACGAGTCAAAGTCGAAGCCGAGAGATATTCGATGTGGTTGGTTGGAGTTATGGTCAAAATGCTTTGTTTCCTCTTCCTGTCCCCTCTTATCGTTGGCTTCTTCAAACCATTTATCGGTAAGACTATCCCGAAGTAAAATTCTAGCTTGAAAAACATCTGGATCCCTAGTGGATCTGATCCTTCTCGTGGAAAAAGAAACTCACATACAAGTTACAGAAGATGCTTCGACTGCATCAAAAACGACCGGGGCCAGCAACTCGAGCCGCGATACCAAACCACACCTCAGACAGATAACCGACCACAAGAACACTCGCCGAGATTCTCCCTGTGTGTGTCTGACTATGATAGGCAGAAATACTCCTTGCCCACAGCACAGATCATGATACAACCATGTCATTGCCTCCGCTGCTAGAGCCGAGCTCAGACAGAGCAACAACTATTGGGAAGCCCGCAGAGATATCGAGTGTGCGGGCTCCATTGCTGGGATAACCAAGGAATGGTAGAACGGCTATTTGCTTTCCCTAGTCCAGGGTTTTGGATCTAATACTGGGTCTATTGTTTTTGGCTTGATGTCTGATATGGCGTGAATCTCTGTTTCTTGAATGCTCCTCCTAGTAGCATACCAGATCTAGATATTTTATCTTGTGCTGGGGTTTAAAATTTCCGATTTTTTGAACTGCTTAATCTTTACGTAGATAGTAACTGTAGGCTCTGTGAGCTCTTAAAGACGTTTACTTTGGTTGATTCCGAAATATCCATCAATCATGTACTACACTGACTGAATCTGTTGGACTGGGCTCCGGAGGTGTAGATGTAGCGCACAGGGTGTTCGCAGCAGATTTTATAGATCTTTCTTCGCGAATACACCTTGTTAGTTAGCTGGCTGGTTGAAGAATCTTGGGGACTTATTAGAGACATCTGCGAATATTGAATGCTAAATCTGGTTAGATCAAAGGGGGAGAGACAAACAACAATATCTCGAACTTTGTCAGGCAGAATATGCAATGAATTGATGAACAGAACACTGATTAATATAACGAATCTATCTGCCGGCTCCGTCCTCTCCTTCAATCCACTGAACAGCCAGCTAAGTCTAACAAGCAACTTAAAGGGTAACATGAAATCGAACGAAAAAAGGTATCAATACTAGCATTAATGAGAGATTTTGGAAAGGAGAACACGACTAGAAGGCAGATCCATCAACTAGCGGCGCCACCTTATCCAAGAATAGGTTCTTGCGGAGCATGTGTACCAGGAAACCTGGAATCTTGAAGTTCCCTAGATGGCCGGTGCCTGTTTTGCGGCCGATTTGGAGACCGAGACCTATAGTGTATTGCATTAGTTAGTGGGACTTATCAACCAGGAAACCGATTATTCAAGATGGGTAGAGGAAAAATTGAATGGAGTAAGTCAAGAAAGATCAAAACAGGTGACAGATGAGGTAAGGGAGGGAATATATGAAGGACCTACCCTTCGGGCCCAGTTTGTACTCCACCGGCTGCTTCCCACCGAGCACCAAGACAATATTCTTTGCCAGGTGAGTCGACTGCTTATCAACGAACATGACCTGCGGGGGTTCGAGGTTCGAAACGTCCCCAATGGCAAATACGTTGGGTTGTCCGCTCACGCGGAACTGCTGGTCCACTTTCACGAAACCCTTGTCGTCAAGGTATGAGGCGGGGATATAGGAGCTGTTCGGCAGCACACCGTATGTGGGGATGTACATGTCCGTGAGTATCTTCTCGCCGGATGAGAGAGTGAGTTCAATTTGGCCGGAGGAAATGGGAGATGATGATACGACTTTCGTGGAGAGCTTCACTTCCACAGCGAGTCGATGGAGGATGTCGCTTGCGACTTTGGAGACGCTGGGGATCGCGGAGTCGAGGACTCGAGTGGCGGATGTGAGCTGAATTGTTTGTTGAAGTCAGTGTGTGTTGAGATCCTGTTGTGGAAGAGAGGGAAGTATACCAGGATGGTTCGCTTTTGTTTCCCATACTCGAACGCCAGCTCACCAGCCGTTTCGACGCCCGTGGGTCCGGCGCCGCCGATAACAATCGTCTTTGCCTTCCTCGCCTGCTCTTGGTAGCCATGCAGAGCTTCTCTAGTCTTCTCGGTGGTGTCGAGTGTCTTGAATGGGATGTCGCCGGCGGTGCGCGACCCAGTAGCGAGGACCAGGTAGTCGTAATCGAGTGTCCGCTCGCCGGATTCGTCTATGATCTCGACCGTCTTAGTTTCAAAGTCAAGACTCTGCGCGCGCCCGGTGATGATCTCATATTGGCTGTTCTTATACTGTTTGAAGCCCGCCGCGATGGGCAAGAATATTTTCTCATCGCTTATTTGGCCGGGGAGGATTGCCCGGGGGGCGGCGACGTTCCAATAGAAGTGAGTGTTAGGCGAGACGAGAGTGATCTTGACTGGACCGGCCTTCGCAGACTGTTTGAGAATGCGATGGGCAGTGCTGATCCCCGCGAAGGAGCCACCTAGGATGACGATCTTCTTCATTGGTCCGGTTGCCGGTGGAGGAAGCTCAGCGAAATAGTTGATAGTGAGAAAGTGAAAAACAGTAGTGAGACCATGTTGCACGATGCTGGCGAGCAGACGGAGAATATATACCATGATGAAGACTACAGGAGAGATGAAGAGTGACAAACGTCAGGAGAGAAAGTCAGTTATAAGTCCTGTCAAACAAGACAAATGCCTATGGGCCTATCTAGATCCCCGGTGCCTGAGGCTAATAGCGGCAGCCTGAAGGATCGGGCGCCAATCACGGTCCGTGACGCGGACTGCAGCCAATCAGCGGTCTGAGCGCCCACGAATCTGCCGCTGTCATAAACCAATGACAGGCCGGAGCGCCGAGACATGAACCTACAAGGAATCCAAAAGCGACGAGAGGCGCCGAAAAGTCTTCCTGCAACCACGGAAGTCTTGTTCCAAGTCTGTGTTTCACCACGAATGGTGCTGCTAAACGCGCCCGCGGCCAATGGCAGACAGCCTGCTGATTGATAGTGTCAATGACAAAGCACGCTGGCGCAATTGATGTGCGCCTGGCAACAATAAGTGGCGATGATAAATCATTCTTCTACCCCAAGAACGAGACCGGAATATTACTCAGGACATTATGCAATGCTTATTTACCCCTTTCAATCCATTTGTCAGCCCATTTGCTAATCATTCCGGGATGTCTTGAGATCCTTGATCTCTAAGATGCCCAACTTGGGCCGATCGACGGATACACAGGACTCAGTGAAGTAGAAGGTTGTTGGTTAGATCCAGAGTGCTTGCCCACGTGAGGCTGAGAGGGTCCGTTCTTTTCCTCCAAATCTCTTCTAGAATGGGTAAAACCTTCCCTCGATGCTCCAGCAGCGGATCCAGCAATATCGGCGACGAGAACACACTCCGGAAAAACTGCTCGTCTTCTGATCGGGCGACGGTGCCGATTACATACAGCGGCGCGACTAAGCTAGGTAACACATTGGGCGGAATCTGAGTTTGGAGGATCCGCATGACCTCTGAAATCGTCGGGCCTAATAGTTCCAAGGCCTGGAAATCGTGCGTGACAAGGTGGAGGTATATCGACGCCATGCAAGCAAACACATGGGTGACGAGGGTGCACGGGTCCAAGATAGCATTGAACATCTTCGAATTCCCGTCTGAGAGACTGAACCCTTCCAAGCCTCCTTGGGCCAGGCCACACTGGATATCCCGCTGAATATCGCCGATCGTCTGTTCAAATTCCGAGCAGAGAGCATTGCCGTGCTGCAAGGCCTGCACTTTATGCGCGTGCAGTGCAGAAATGCGACCTATCTGAACCATGGCCCAGTTTTTACAACCCATAATACCCTCGAGCTGAATCTGCGCATCCGGTCCGATCACAGTAGCATGGCAGGACAGCAATTCCGGTGCGGTTCCTGCCGTGATGGAAGAGATAATGTCCAGCCAAAGTATCGTGCCCGTCAGGAATCTGAAAGAAACCACCTGTTCTGTCACTACAGGCTCTCCTTCCGGTAGAGGGAGGTCGTCGTCTAAGATGTGCCTGGACCTTCCCTCCATTCCGAAACAACTGAAATGATGGCCATGAGCCGCTGAGACCATGTTCGTCGCTGCGCGAAGATGTACTTTCCATACATTCCCTTGTCCCGTGAACAGCTGTGCGAATGATCATTAGAATCTCACAACCTGTAAAGCAAAAAAGAAGATACCTCAAAGAACACCAGCTGGACGACCGAGGCCGCAATGCCCAACCCCTTACTTTTATCCAGAGACAGCATCTGCAAAGACAAACTGGCAGCTTTCAATGCCTGTTGAAACTCCTTTAGACAGATCTCCAAATGCTTCTCCTGCTCCACCAAACCAGCCACCTGACACGGGTGGTGGATGTTAAATATCATCTTCCGGCGATGGTAAGAACTGACCGCAAGAGTGGCATGGTAGAGAGGTTTTGTCCGAAGTAGTAGAGCTAGTAACCATCCTCGCCCTCCCTCAAAAGGGCCGGGTTTATACATTGGATGCTGTAGCGGGAAGACATTATCTAAGAAGTGCATCAACAAAACCGACTCGGTCGCCGATGATGGGAATATGGATTCCGCTATCGATTCATCCTGAGTGGTCTGGGACGCCGGAGAGCTCTATAAACACACATTAGAGAATTTCAATGGCACGAATGTCACACTCACATCCAGCGCAGTTAGCAGCACGTGAGCTGCCTCGTCCTGCGAAGAGCCATTATCCGAAGGGGGATTCACAACATGCGTGCCATTGGAGACAGGACTAGATGAGGAACTCTCCCCCGAGCCATTCATCGGCTTCGGTGCAATCTTAGCGACCGCACCAGATCGCCTCGGGAAGACCACGGGAACCTTGCGCCGAGACGTGCGCTTGACGGTCTGTTTGAGGTCATTGGCGACGGCGCGCTCCTGGTCACCATGATCCATCCACTCGGGCTTCGGGCCATACCCGTAGCATGGGATGGAAAGCGAATCACAAGTCGAGCAGTAGGGCCGGCCCTCGTCGCATTTTTTCTTGCGCAGGCGACACGTCCAACAGCCCTGCTTATTGCGGAGTAGAGCTTTCATGGTGACTGGATGGAGAATCTATCGGCGGGTCCGATAGGGTCTTAGCGATGCGATGTATGTGGATCGTTGCAGAGAGTACACCGTATGTGTTGGGGCTAGAGGGGTCAGTAATATGTCCGCATGGACATGTTCGGCATTTGACAGTGAAGCTACCTAGGTCGTTGGTAAGCTTGAGGGAATAAAGCCGGGGTGAGACTAAGCCAAGCCAAGCGTTCCGGTGGCGATGGATGAGCCTTTTAGTCAGCGGCATTGATAAGGATGGCAATCCCGGTAGTTAACGGTGGAATCCTACTAATTACAGTTCATTAGCCTGGTGATTTTCATTTCATATGGAAATTCCATACGTACATTGGAGGATAATCGTTCCTTTTATAGCATCACACTATCTCATCTACATGCAACCAGTATATAAACCACCCCATATGGATTAGTTAATGAGAAAGTCCTCTTTGCTGGGCATCTTTTAGATAATGAAAATATCGAGGCTGGCTGCGCTTCCTCAATATTTTCCCCCATTTTATCCATGGGAATACAGTGAGTGTATACCCAAATCCAATAAACGCAGCCAAAATAAAAGCGTTCTGATATTGCAAATCGAGCACCCAGGGGGTGAACCTGCGATTGTCAGCAGAATGCGTCGCAAGCTCTTAGATTCTAACACATACCCATAGGAACACGCGAAGAAAATGGTGTTTCGAATGATGATAACCGTAACAAGAGCCTCGGCTCCAAGTTCTGAATAGCAATCGATGCAATATGTGACCCATATCTGGGACCCGGCTGTCGTTATAAACGAGATGGTTCCCATTGCGAACACGAGTCCAAACCAGTGAATGCCATGGTATGCACCCACTCCCCAGAGAATGCATCCAAATGGCAGGAGCACTAGGCAAACAAGAAAAAGCCATAGTCGATGCTCTGCCTCCATGACACCTTTGTTTCGGCGCGCGAGTCGAATAACGAGCCGGTCTCCGAAAATACCAACATAGCCGGATCTAAAAAGGTCACCTTTAGTGGAATTTCAAAGGAAGAACGGTCAAGGAAGACTCACGCTAAGGTAGTTCCTATAAGAGGTGCGATGAAAGTAATCCCGACAGCTGCTGTGGAAAAGTTGTATGGCTCACCAGAGAACACGAGGGACTCGGTTGCATTTAGGATTGCCAGCCAGAGGATGTATACGCCGTAGGAGAAACCAGCATAAAATATCACAGGGAAGGAGAGGAAAATGATTGGTCTGATCATGCGTTGAGCAAGCTGATTCTTATGATGCAAATTCTCCACTTGGAATGGTAGGAGGCGACGCCAGTAGCTCTTATCTGGGATGATGGTTTGCCCACTTTGTTCTTCATTAGACCCAGCAGTAGAGCCACCAGATTTATCAGCTCCGCTACTTTTGTGAGTTTTTAAGGGGCTCTCAGAACAAGGCCCTAGGGTATGGGCTTCTCCTGTCGGCTCACGATGGTAGTTGGTTTCTTCCATAAAGAAGAAACAAAAGATAAACGTAAACCCACAGAAGATTGCGCACCAATACTTCGTCATTAGCATCATCCATAAGAAACAGGAGCTTCGAAACTCACAAATACCCAGCGCCAGCCCTGTCCCATGTTGATGAATCCCATGATCAGTGGTGCAATTCCATTGCTATACCCAAGAGCCAGGGCGTATACAGCCATATAGCGACCTCGTTCGTGGGTGAAGAACTACCGTGGCGATCAGAATAAAAATGACAGTCTTCTCAGAGGTACTCACCACATCAGAGACACTGATCTCCGGAAGTGACTCCATAGGAGATCCAAAGAAACCCTGCAGAATCTTTGCGGCAATCCATTGTCCATTTGACTTGGTATATGGCTGCCATATCATAATTCCCTACTGAGCTTAGCCAGTTGTTGTTGACTTAATGCTTTCACTTTCCGAGAACTCACTAATGTTCCAAGAAGAGTAATCAGATACACCGGACGCTTTCCATACTGGAGTGCAACCGCCTGCCAAAAGATACATCCCCAGCCCAGAAGCAGAAACTATACCAGGTCAGTATTATTTAGTGTGACGGATGGTTCAATTACCATGTACCCTGTCCCTGCATTGAGATTTCCCAAACTAAGGCCAGTGACACGCGAAAGGGGGTCCAAGGTTGAATAGAGGGAGGATGAGCATATGCCTATCACGAGAACGTAGCTGCCATTTTATGGTCAGCGATGAAATTCCACTCTTATGACATAGGACATCGCACATGGCCATACAAAACGCCGATAGCAATTTCCTCGGGCGTGACCAGTTCAATGGATCGCCTGGGTGAATAGACGGGCTGGGGACCAGGATAATGTCACGCTCACTGCCACTTCCATGCCTGCCCCGTATCTGCCCGTCTAAATCAACCAGGTGCACCGTTCCCGGTATATTTGATGGGGCTTCTGACTCCATAATGGTGTGAGTGGGTTATAGCTGCATGAAAATGCCGGTAAGAAGTGGATATATGGGGATGCAGATAGCTCCACTCCTGTCCTTTTATAGCTGACCCGGAGAGAAGAACTCCTGAGGTCATCAGTACAACGCGACACATAGCCGTGCATTCTTTGTGTCTTGGCGATTGTCGGGATTGGCGGATAGCAAATCATTGGAGATAAGGCTACGGTTAAAACGAGGTGACTGGCTATGTTTGATAATGCAGACAAAGACGATCTGACATCAAGATACATCTAATTGGTCACGGCTATGTGGATTTCAGAGTATTCCACGCACGGTAGATCTGGTTGATATGCCACGGTTTCTTATTCGGGCAGTTAACCCCAGACTCGGGAATGGCATACCCCGCATATTCCTTCCTACCCCGCAACCACGTTGATACGGCTTTGTTGTTGATTTGATTTGCGTTCCTGGGCACTTAAATCACCTTCCTACTTGGGTAAATCTGCTATCTAGTGTCTCATGGTGTGGATCTGGGGTTGATAAGTTCCAACTTCTCATTTGGGCAGTTGACTTCGACTCAGGAGTAGCATGGCAATGTCCTTCGTACCCCGCAACGATTTTGATACTACTTTGATGGTCTTGGGAATCAACGGATCTTCTGTCAAAATGCGTGGTCTCTCTTAATTTACCTTCCTACCTGAGTAATTGTGAGATCTCGGACTTAGCGCATGACCGATATAGAAAGAATGTCACGGCGAAGATCAGCACAAGAAGGCGGAAGAAGAATGGGCGCATACAGGTACAGCTATAAAGGCTTCCAAAAGCACAGTTCAGTCTTGAACTTGACTTCCAGACTACTGCTCATCTATTGTCAATAGATAGAACCCTTAGAGGACCTCTTTTGTATTTTTCTTCACTTTACTATTTTCACTACCTTTTCCCTTTCAATGGCATCCACACGCGAGATTCTGCCTGTTAGACCTCTGCTTCAAATTACTGAAGAGGAGGTTATAGGTTATGTTGACCCTTGGATAGCCTCACCCGGAGAAACGGTTGATGTGAAGGTGAGTCAGATATACAAGTTCACATTGAATGACAGCTTAGCTCCATAACATTGACAGGTCTCTTCTACGCAATCCAAACTCGAATATCAACTTGTGCGTCTACTCGCCGGTTTGGACATGCCCCATGCACCACCGGCACAGAAAGAGGTCATTGAAAACGGTCCCAAAGGTCAATGTAGCGGCCACTTCCAGGCCGCGCACCCTGGCTCTTATGCAGAAGTTCAGGCATGGATGCGTGAGCCTCTCATGAACAAGGCTGAAGGGATCCAGGTTGAGGCCTTTGTTCAGCCATGGATGCTCAACGCTCCCTATCTCCAGGCATTGGTGTCTACACTGGACGTCACAACCAAGTCGGGGTTCCTTGTAGCACTGAGCTCTGAAAATCACTTTGTGATTTGGATTGGAACTGGATCTAGCGTTGAAATTCTCTCTGTTCCTTTCAACCCTCGCTCTCAACGGTGGTTCCAATTTAAGCTCGTCATCCGTGGAGCCTCCGTCAATCTATCGGTCAACCATGTCGCAAACCATCTTGAAAAGATTCCAGACCATACAACCTTCGAAACCAAACTTACAACTTCGGCTCAACTGAATTCATGTACCCCTCTATTATTGGCAGCCACCCGTGCAGCAACACCCTCCCAGTATACTGACCGTCCGACGCACTTCTTCAACGGTCGACTCGATGGTCCGAGTTTGAAGGCACTTGGCCCACAAGATTGGGACCTTGCGAGATACGACTTCTCTATCGATATCTCCAGCGACGAAATTGTAGACATATCCGGATGCGGCTTGCATGGACGGCTGATAAACGCACCTACACGTGCTGTCCGAGGCCACGATTATGGCCATCATTCTGTCGGCACGGAGTGGACCACTGCTACCAGCGGTTTTGGGGCTATTCATTTTCACGAAGACGATCTGGACGACGCTGCTTGGGACACCAGCTTTCAGCTCACGATTCCACAGCATCTCCGCTCTGGGGCCTACGCAGTTGAAATCTGGGACGAAAAGCGCACACTTCATGATTATATTGTCTTCTTTGTGCGTCCAAAAGAGGTTCGGCCACAGGCTAAAACTGCTTTCGTTTTCTCAACCTTTACGTACCTGGCATACGGAAACGAGCACATGTACGACGAGACCAAGTCCACCCATATCTCTTTCCCGGAAGGAGTTCAGCTCCTGCGTTCAGACAATTACGACCGCATGGTCCGTCGCTCTGACCTTGGTCTCGCCATTTATGATCTTCACAGCGACGGATCTGGTGTTGTTTATAGCTCTTCAAAGCGGCCGCTGCTGAACATGCGACCTGACTATGTTCATTGGGGATTCGAGCGACCACGCGAGTTCTCCGCCGATTTGCTCATGGTTGGATTCTTAGAGAAGATACTAGGCGATGGGTATGATATTCTCACGGACCACGACCTGCATTTACGTGGGGTGTCGGCACTGGCCAACTATGACTGTGTCATCACCGGATCTCACCCGGAATACCCATCTATGGAATCTTTGGACGCCTACGAAGGGTTTGCAAAGCTCGGAAAATATCTGATGTACACTGGAGGAAACGGGTTCTATGTAAGAAGCCGTCTTTCATAATGCCTATCACAGCACTAACATGGCCTTTTCTTTTTAACAGTGGCGCTCAGCTACGGATCCCAACCGACCGCACCGCATGGAAGTCCGTCGTGCAGATGTCGGTGCGCGCACACATGAGCTCCCGGCTGGTGAGCGCTACCACTCTGTAAACGGTGGCGGGCTAGGAGGTCTGTGGCGATCACTGGGCCGCTCCCCTAACCTCTTGTTTGGAATCGGAAGCTGTGCATCCGGTAAGGGCCCCGGACGGCCTTTCATTCCAACGGCCGAAGCAACCAACAACTCAGCCTTCTCATGGCTGTGGAAGAACATGGACTCGTCCTCCCGACAACTCCTCGGTAAATGCGGACTCGCAGGCGGTGCAAGCGGCGACGAATTGGACCGGATGGATTTCTCCATCGGAACACCGAGCAACGCGGTGTTGCTGGCACGCAGTGAGAGACATGATGATCATTTCATGTTGTTCAACGAAGAGTTGATTTTTCCCATGATTGGGACCCTGGGGTCCGAGACCGAGCTTGTCAGGAGTGATATTGTCTATTATGAGACGAACGCAGGAGGAGCGGTGTTTAGTGTGGGAAGCATAAACTGGAACAACTCGCTGGCTTGGGATAATTATAGCAACGATATTGCTCAGTTCACGGAGAACGTTCTTCGGGAGTTTTTGAGGCGGGCACAGTCGACTGACTGCTGAAATTTGCAGTATCTGTATCAATCAGTCAAATCAATCCCAATTCTACTATTAACCCTCTACCGGCACACGCCCACATTACTATCCGGCTTGGTCAGCCACCGGTCCCGTCGTTCCTGCAGTAGGAATTAGAGAAACAGCTCGTTGTGGTCAGAAAAAAGCTCAGCGTGGTCAGGATTTGGCTTGGCATTTCTCTGACCACGCTGAACTCTGTCGATCCTGGGACCTCAGTGGTCACAGAATACTCTACCCACGATGAGCTTCGCATAAGTGCGGGTATTGTATAATAGAACTATGCACCCACCTTCTTAGGCACCACTACCACCACTACTGCTCCTACTGCCCCTAAGCACTACTAAACACTACTAAACACTACTAAGCACTCTACCTAGGTACTGGATGGTAGTGGCGCTTAGGAGCAGTAGGAGCAGTAGGAGCAGTAGGAGCAGTAGGAGCAGTAGGAGCAGTAGGAGCAGTAGGAGCAGTAGGAGCAGTAGAAGCAGTAGAAGCAGTAGGAGCAGTAGGGGTGGTAGTGGTGCTTAGGGGCATAGAGGGTATTTAGTCAGGAATTTTATAAAAAAATATCAGCATAGCTAGACAGATTTAAAAATGAAGTATCAGCGTAGATAAAAATTCTACTCACGCCGAGCTTTTTCCTACCCACGCACGCTAAGCTATAAGTCCGTAGAGGTTTCACTATCATATATACGCGTATCCAACACCATTTCTCACACAATCTCTTAATTATGGAGATTGAATTCTTATATCATGAAGGGAATTTATAACATTCCAGACTAAGTAGAGCGCTACATAGCTCTACATTCTATCACGAGCTTAGCAAAAGATAGATACACCTCTATCTACTAATATAAGAGGGTAGTAGATAGTCTACTCTCTCATATGAACCAAAGGACTAACATTAAATTTCCATGGGGCTCATTATCTAACCCGCTATATATAGTGCTGTACTACGTTAGGGCGAGCTTACCTATCTCTAGGCTTTTATAATCGCGGTAACGAGCGCCCTTGAGGCCCTAATAATAAGGAGCTTCTCGAGATCGCAAAAATACTACTAGGATTTCTAATCTTTCTAACGATATTATTAAGCGGTCTGCTTTATTAGTAAAAGAGCTATCCCTTCAAGATACTCCACCACCAGGACCGGTGACTAACTAAGCCAAATGGGCACGTAGGGATGGATGTGTGGATAGCCGGAGGGGTGTGCCGGTAGAGTGTTCCTTCTATTAACCTGATGATTCTGCGACGTGTCTGCTAATGCGGTGAACGAGAATTAAGGTTAGAAATTGAATCAGATAGATTGAGAGGATTGAATTATCTATGACAGATATGCATGCTCCGCGGGATAACTTCAACTCCCACTGTTGTCCAATATCACCACATAGGGTGCACGCCAGTATTTACCAATTCGTAGCCGCAAGAATATCAGCGGGACAGAATCGACCAATTCTGAGATATCAAGAAAGAAGGTAAACCCGAATACGCCCAACAGGAAATACCCTCGCAGGCCGTGAAAGGAGCCACATTTGGAGCTTTTATAGAACGAGGTATCTCGCAAGTGCTTAGAGTCCATGAGGTAGGTGAAGGACATGAAATATCTTATGCTATGATGTATGATGTATAGTATGTAAGGAATAGTTGTGAGCTGGTGACGAAGAACGATAAGGCTGTCAAGCATATGGAGCGAACATTGTTCGATTCGAATTTTTCGCGGACCAATTCCATGGTGATAGGTATTCTTGGGGCAGTGGAGATGGGGGAAGATCCTATGGACTGCAGGGACTTCGTAGGGTAGGTGCCCACGAGGTGTACATACGTGTACGACCCCGGATAGGTAGTATTAAACCGAGTAGTATGACCCGAGCTAAAGATATGACCTTGGTTGCTATTACGTCTGGAGAAGTAGGTGAGGCTATTCACAGATGACATGGTTGCCTAGTCGAGTAGGAATGGGGACGTCATCAAGATGGGCGTGTCGAGAACTTACTCATCCTAACATATTTTTCGGAACCACATCGCCGATTGTCTACCATGTTTATGGTACCATTTAAAAAGCAAATATGCTTCTCAAAATTGCTGACAAGACTCCATACCTAAGATATATTTTACCCACCACCTCCATAGTTCATTACAACAGCGAAAAGGAACTACATCTACATCAAGAGGAGCCTCAATTCAACGCATGTACATGCATACATAAAATTCCAACCTACCTACATATTCCAGTAACACTTGGTAGAACCTTACGTTGTAGGACGTAGGCCCGCCCCCTCCCCCCTTACGTCCGGAAGACGCCACCTACGATCCCCGAAAGCCAAATCCAGATTGGCTCGAGCATCGTTTCTCGATTCGTTTGTGTGTACTCCTTGTTGGCATCCCGAGAAGGGGGTGGATTATTGACTGGTCAGATTGTTTGTTTGACGGAGGGGCTGGTTCTGGTTATGGAGTTACAGACTGGAGTACCATCGTAGTGGTTAAGGTTGGGTTGGGTTGGGTTGGGTTGGGTTGGTTAGGCTACTATCCATCTCTCTATGTATCCATGATCTATTAATTGTCCGAGTTTATTTTCATTGTTTTTCTTCACTCCATTTTCTTGTGTTCTGGTGTTCTTCCGTTTGTGGCGGTAAGTCGGAGATAGAGTTCGGGTTATTGGGTTCTATCGATTTTCGTCGGAGTCGTTGTGTAACGTTTTCATCTGTGGGATTCCGTGTCCGCGTCCTTGCGTTTCTGGGAATAGAGGCTGTAGACATACGGGGTTATCCGTAGTTCTATTTGGGTTCGGTCCTTGCTTGCATGCATCGCCCTTTTTCTTATATTATTTGTTTTTTGTTCTTCTTTGAGGGAAGAAAATGTTTGAAGGGGTGGAAGGGGTTAGGAACTATGTAGTAGATAAGTGGGCGGTTACGGATACTTGCTCGAACTAGCTATTTATCTATCGAATTTAATCTATAATTCATATTGAATTGGTTGGCGTTTGGATGGTTGGGCAGGTATTTATCTAGAGGTGGGAAGATGATCACTGGAGGTGGAAAGGGCAAATCTGTTCTGACTAACTTATTCAGCTCCTCGTATGAAGAGATTCTAGACTGAGGACTCGGTGTCCTCGGATCTATTATTGGTTTAGATGTTCTTTTTTCGGACGGCTGGGGAGGGAAAGTTGAAAGCTGAAGGACGGGTCTTGAACTCCACTTATAGATTTCCAGCCCGAATAATGGCATGCCATTTTCCACTTTCCAGCATTCAGTGATCCACTCGGCGTGTGATTGTGACCGTGACGCAAATCCAATGTTCTGTCAAATTTATCCTTGGACGGAGTAGACGTGAAGCTCATCCCCGGGGCAGTATCTACATAGGGGCTAGTCTGAGCAGATCGACTGATAATCGAGTCAGACCGAAGTATCCAGAGCCTGTCAATTGAATTGACTTCAAAGTTCAAACTTGTCAGTTGTCGCTGTCCTGAAGTTGATGGCGCGGCCCACGGACCGTCTTGTCGGATCATCCTTTACCGATCTGGAGAGGTTGAGTGCCGACGGATGGGTCGGCTGTAGTGCGTACACGTAGCAAGTGGTTCCAGAGGATTGCTTGTGGCGAGTTGGTCTTGTTGGAGATGTATTCAATACTATGGATAGAACATAAACTAGCGATGTACTGTAGTATTAATTGTCCATTATCAGTCAGAAAATGAGGGCAACATAATTATACTACAGACGGGTCCTAGTGCCCTCGTGTACCCCCTAAAGTATCCTCGGGCGGGACAGGCGGAAAGTCCAACGGCTCGATGCGTTTAATTACGATCGGAAATTCGTGGAATTGGGCCAGTCTGGTAAGTTGACTTCCCCCCCCCCCCTTTTTTTTTCTGTTTGTTTTTGGAGGAATTGTTGTATGGTGCAGAGATAGCGATCGACAAGGTCGACTCATCTTTGGATTTGGGACAGACAGAGAGAATAGAACGGTTAGACCGGTAGAACCATAACTATCTGTAGACAGGAACCGTAAGGCACCCCGTGTGGCAGGCGAATGGATCATGCAATTCGACTAATTAAATTAAATTGGCCCGATCGCTGGTGGAGAAGGGCCAGGAACAAGACCGAGAATATGAGAGAGAATGCGAGAGAGAGAGGGCGAAACATCCACGTTCCAAGGTCCCTAAACCCTCACGTTCCAGTGGTTCGGTCTGGGCTGCATCTGCATCTGCATTCGATTTCTATTTCTATTTCTATTTCTATTTTCATTTGTTTTGTTTTGAACTTTGATTCGGCCTGCAGACCACTTTCAAACCGGAATCCAGCCGGTTTGTCTACATTGTTTGACGACAACGCCCTGGATGTCATGTCATGTCAATTCCCATCGGTGGTCCTCCATAGTTCATTCCTGCGGTGGGACCCGCTCGACAATCGAAGCACCGGCTGTATCACCATCCCAGTCAAGCTTCCCCATTCATACTGGCGTCGGAGAAGAAAGAAGAAATTGGCAATGGGGGGACCATGTTGAAACTTGAAACAGAAACCCGAGGCCACATGTCTGACTGGCTGCGTTCTCCAGTAGGTTATTTTAGAACTGGTCGGATTCCCGTCGCCTCGTCTATATTATTGATTCTTGAAGGTAGGACGGGGATTCTGGCAGCATGCAGGGTGGAGATTGAATGCACGTCTTCTGTACGGATACTCCGGGTTGTCGGACTCAGTCCCAGACAGACAAGGACCGAACTTGGTGGTAACACGGAGTTTGGGCCCATGTTTCCACTGCTGTCTGCTGTTCCCTTCCAGTAGGATCCATGCATGCAATTCTCCGTCAAAAGGCTCGATCCCTGGCTTTCATCCGCAACGAACCGTGGAACAGCAGGCCAAGGTTCCGGCGGTGCGGGCAGCCGTCCCTGTCCTGCATGGACTGGATAAAACGCTCAATAGTCTCATGAACGGGGATAGAGAGACAGACAAAGACAGAGAGCAGACAGCTCGCCATAACTAGAGAACTCCTTAGAAGGA